GGTGTTCAGTATCTCCAAGGGTGTTCAGCACCTTGCACGATCGGGCCATAAAATGATATGGGTCGAGGCAGGGAACTCTAAGGAGCAAATAGTTTGGAGTAGCCTTTGCTGAGCACTGCCACAGACCTTCAGCAAAGGGGGTTTTGAAAGACCATCCACACATACAGCCCACTGGCTGGTTCTATCTTCCCTCTTCTGCTCCAGAGCAGTGAGCAAAGGGTCTCTGCTCAGGGCGCTTGAAAGGCTTCAGCTTTGCGTAGACAGAGAAACTCATTCGTCCCGCCAACCAATGTCAGTGCAATATATTCACAAAATATTGCAAATTGCTTTCAGTCTCTTCTGAAGAACGCTGTTAAGGCAGACAACTGCCTCTGTCCTAACAAAGCAAAATTTCTTACTGTCTCCCTATCAGAAATACCACCTCCGTGAAGTGACTGAGCTGTTGTTCCCTCTTGCCTTTGTGTAAATTACCTCTCGGTTGGGTAATATCCTCATTATATCCAATGTGAAACTGTATTCCCTCTCATACCATATAGAAACACATCCAACTCTCCTCGCCAGCAACTGAATACCCATGTATGAAAGGAGGTTGGCCTCAGTCCAGTTCTCAGCATCACATATGCTGGCAGCAAAATCTTTCCAACATCAGACTGCAGGAAAAAAAGACAAATTGTTTGATCCTTCAATTTCAATGTCATCCTAGACAAAAGAAGCTCCTGCAGCCTTTACTTTCTTATCAAGTGGTGGGGTGACAGGGATAAGCTGATCCGATGGGGTAAAGAAGAATTTCCTCCCAGACTGTGCAGGTGTTTCACAGGGTGGGCTTAGTAACCGTGGCAGATGCTGAACTATCTAGTTAAGGCGACGGTCTGAAGGAATGTTGGATTTACTGGATTGTTTCTATCTTCCAGTATGGCAATTTTAATGGGCCAAGCTCCATTCTTCATTGCTTGTGCTTGGCTCCCAATGGGAGCCCCCCCAGCACACATCCAAGAGCAGAATTTGGCCTTAAGTTCCTCTGTGAAAGCTATTTATTACTCAGCAGCCCAGGATCATAGACTTCCATCTCTGACAAAGGCTCCCTTTTATCTACCCTCTCTGCTGCTTCTTCCTGCCTGGTTTATTGTTAAAATCTGCAGGCTTCAGAGATCATATCCAGTATCCACATCCCTCAAAGGCCAGCATGTGTGTGGGAGTCTGAGCTACCCTGTTCTAATGACTTTCTCCTTTCCGCTCCACGTCCTTGGTGAAAACTTATTGTTTGGGAACCATGAATCTGAACTAGCAGTGAGTTACCCTCCTGTCGTCTTTTCAGCTTAGCAATTTTTTGGCCTTTCAGCTGTGTCTGTTGATTTTGTGAACTACTGACTTTGTCAACACCAACCATATGTCTGGACTGCCCCCAAAATGAAAACTACTGACAGTACTACAAATACAAAGTTCCACACTGTGTAAAATAGAATGATTTGTTTGTTTTTTTCTTTCTCTTATATTCTACTCTCTATATAGAATTTTATGGTGCGTTCATCAGTGTAGTATCTGAATGCCTTCCAGCAATGCATTAAGCCATGTGACTATGCATCTGTTATGTGTTGTTTGTTCTCTCAACCCCTCTCCCGGAGGGAGAAACGGGTGCAATGGAGTGTCTTGTTTTGGTAGTGTATGGGTTTATACATATACACACCTGTTACTCTGTGTTTATGTAAGAGAAGGCAAGGTCAAAAAAATGCACCTGGCACTTGGTGTAGAAAGTGGTGAGGTTTGCGGAGGTCCTTATTTCCCTGGGGAGTTCATTCCACAGTCTCAGAACACCCCCGGAGAAATCTGTGTCTCCTGCACAGACAAGCTTTACTCTTATTGTTGCAAGCTCCATGGTGCCAAAGGAATGAAGTTGCCAATCATGGTCTTTATCCCAGAGCTTTAGACAATCTTTTAGAGACCTTGGGCCCAGGAAGACTTGGAGAGCTTTGACATTAAGGACCAAGACCTTGAACTTAATTCAGTATTCTATGGGAGGCTATTATAGAGAGCAGAAGCCAGGTTTGATGTACTCACGGTAGCCTGCGTTGCTAAGGAGGCGTTCTGCAGCATTCTGAACTGGTTGGAGTCTCCTAAGTGCTGACTGCTTCATGTCCAGGTGTATCACATTGCTGCAGTACAGCCGAGAGGTGGCGAAGGCGGGAATAACTGAGGCCAGGTCTTCGTCCGCCAGGATGAGATGGAGTTTCCAACTGTAAGATCTCTTTCCTATAAATCTGCGTTCCCAGGAAAGATCAGAAACTCCAAAATCAGGCACATAAGCACCTGTGTGATTTGTTTTCATATATACATCCCATGTCACTTATTTGAGGAGCTGTGTGACTTACCTGTGTGACCTATATCACCCACAAGCTGTTCTTAGTTACACCAGCCTGGCCTACACAACTCCACACGTCAGCACTCTTTTGCTCCTAACTCTGTTCCCCTATCCCTTTTCGTCCCCCGCCCTGCTCCACTTTTCTTAATTGATATACAATGTGTAAATCTATTGCACAGCCAGGTAGTGTAACTAAGGCCCTGTCTACACTACAGCTTTTACCCGAGTTTGTAGTCAGAGACACAACAGTATCATGATGTAGTTTGTGTCTGCAGTACCATATGGTTAATACTCTGTTAATAACTTGTGGCAGCTGACAATGCTTTGCCCAGGTCAGTGTCCTAAGGTGGTTACAGTCTTCCTGTAACCAATTTATCACACCATGTTTTGCAGTATAAATGGGACCTCCTAAATGCCTGTGTAATCAGGTTGGCTAGCCCTCCTCCTTTTCAGTTCTCTGTGTGGAAGGACCTCCCAGAGTGCAATGCTCCACATGCTGCTGGTGTCCTGCTTTGCATGTCCTCCAAACACTCTGTCCCCTGGTGAGGGACATGGGGATAGCTGCCCAGATTTCCCCATGTGGCACTGATACAAACAACCTTCGACAGCAAGGTAGATGTGGCTACTTAATCTTGGTTGACACATGGGAGTGCTGCAAAAAACAAACAAACAAAACATGCTCTGTGGATGCAGCTCAGCCTTGTGTGTTGTAATTGGGTCAGACGCATGTCATGAACCAGTTACAAAATCATGGTTGTACCAGTAGCATAGGCAGGACACCCAGACGCTTTCCTCTTTAAATCTGGTCTTAAACCTTCCTTTTCTCTTAGGCGTCTGATTCACACTCTTTGTAAAGTGCTTTGCTAAGCTCTGTATAAAAAATACTAAATACAAATATGCTGCTAGTGTATAATGACGTCCTTGTCACCAATTTCTTTAAGCAAAACAGCAGGTGTTTTTCCCGTCTCTTGAGCTGTATTCCCAGACTCCCTGCTCAGGTTTTCAGTGAAAAACACATTTCACCCTTTTTGACAATCTGAGTTGCTTGGTACCACTGCAATCTACTTCTGAGTGTTTCTCTTAGCATTAAGTCTGAAGAAACAGGAGACACGGTCTGTCCTTGGATGCTTTTGCAGTTTCCTTCGAAGTCATGTGGAGGTGCATTCGCACATCTGAGGGCACAATTTGTATTTTTCTTATACTAATCGATACTGTAGAACTGTTGTTCCAATATCTTTGCCACCTCACCTAACATTTTATGTAAGTTAAGGAATAAGTGACTATTTCCAGAGCTCAGTGAAATCTGCTTAGGAATTAAAGCTTCACTTTCTGTTCTATGCGCTGTGCAGATATTTTAAATATAGAATTTAAACAACTCACATTTTTAATGTTATGTTTATTTTATATCTACCTGGCTATTTCTGTGGCCTCCATCACTGTAGAATCTGAGCTCCTCACAATCTTTAATACATTTATTCTTGCAACACCCCTGTGAAGCAAGGAAGTACAGTTATCCCCATTTTACAGATAGGAACTGAGGCCCAGAGGGATTAAGGGCCATAGTCTCTGCTTATGTTAATTGACATAGTAGTCCATTAACTTCAGTGAAGCTGGTCCCTTTTTCACCAGCAGAAATCTGACATTTTCAGAAGCATATAGTCCCATTTTCAAAACTGATTTAGCGACTTAGGAGCCAAAGTCCCATTGACTTTCAGTGACATTTAGGCTCCTAAAGGCCGAAGGACCAGATCTTTAAAGTATTTAGGTGCCTATAGTTGCCTAGTGAGATTTTCCAAAACACTTAACTCCCATTGAAAGCAGTGGGTGTTAGTCACCTAGGCACTTTTGAAAATCCCACTAGGCGCCTATTTGCATCTTTAAGCACCTAAAAACCTTTGAAAATGGGACTTAAACTCTTAAGGCACTTAGACATTTTTGAAAATTTACCTGTAAATTACTTGCCCAAGATCACACAGGAAACTTGTGGCAGAGCCAAGAACTGAACCCAGCTGCGAGACTCAGATTAGTGGCTGCATCATTAGACAATCCTTCCTTGTTTACAGAAGCTAGAATAACACCAATAGGGTAAATACCAGTGAAAAGGATACAAAATTACATCAGAGACATAACTAGAATTAAATTAAGAAATTATATTACAAGATATAAAACAGCTATCAACATACAAAGTAGGGTCTGTTTTCAGGAGCATTCGCACATTGCAGATATGTTTATTTAGTAACATTTGTTCTCCTAAAAAAGAAAATAAACCATTTTAAAAAGCCAGCTTAGTCATTTTACAGTAAAAATGAATTTTAATAATGAAATTAAATCCATATTTCTGTAGAACTCTGCTTATCTGAAGGGAGCAGTTGATATGGAATTTATCTGGATAAAAAAAGGCTTCTGGTAGAGGAGTTTTTCATTTAAGTGATGCACATTGGGAGGGAGCAACAACAAAAATGTGGATGATGGGGGATTGGATAAGAAGAATTGATAATTGTAAATCAAAATTTTTGACAGAGCTTTTGGTGACCACAATTTGGTCACCTTAGAATTGCGCACTATTCAGGGAACTCTCGGGAATGATTTGAGCTTGTACCTGTTAACCCACAAGCTTATACTTGTATTTATTTCTTTTGTATAGAATGAAGTGATAAGTCAGCAACTGTCTGTCATTTTCACTCATTGCTATGGACCTTATCCTATTCCAAAGCTTGTTGAAATCAAACGAAAGCAGACCTCTCGTTTAGGTAAGTCACAGGTGAGGTGCAGATCACAATGTTCACAGAGTGCTGTCCTAGGATTTGGAGAGATCAAAAGAAAGGAAAGAGGTAAACGCTAATGTAAGTCTTTGGGTTTCTAAGCATTGCTGCAAGAACTCTGGCAGCAGAAATGTGATTTCAGTTTGAGTGCTCTGGAGCCACTGCATTCTTCTATATACTAGGCAGTCGTCGTGGCCAGAAGACAGAGCACACCAAACTATAAAACGCAGAATTGGAAAAACTGGGTCTGGGGCCCGATCCTGCATTTCTTACTCGCCTAAAATTTCCATTGAAATCTATAGGTGTCTTTGGATGCCCAGGATTGGACCTGCAGTTTTGCAAGTTACTTTTGGGTCTGATTCCTTTACACTCAGGCCACACAACCAGAGTGGTGTAAAAGGGCCTTAATGTACATGAGACTCAGGGCCTCTTGTGTCTGCTTAAGTACAGATGTCACTAGGTGCAGAGGGAGAACAGGACTAGGGAGCAGTTCAAAGTTCAGCCAAAGTCTAGAAAGAACTGCATGTGATGGATGACTGTTATCTTATATGAGATAAAAATGACTTTCAGAGTTTTTTAATTGACTTTGTACAGATTCTGTTAGAATATCAATATATCTTCCACCTCGGACTATTCAAACCAGCTTCACAGGCTTTTCTCATTTAAAAACATGTCCCCTTAAGCCATTGCCTTTTCTCACAAAAACAGGAAAATGCTTTCTATACATTTCACCTGTTCCCAACTAAAGTTTTTCTTTTCCTTTTGTGATTCCAGATCCCCATTTTCTTAACAATAAAGAGATGTCAGATGTTACATTTCTGGTGGAAGGAAGACCATTTTATGCACATCGAGTGTTACTATTTACTGCATCCCCAAGGTAAATGTACAGGTGTATTTTTTTTAATAAATGCAAATAATTTGATCTTTTCTGCTGTTGAGATTTGTTGGCACTAATGATTCAGGTAATGGGCTTCAGTCTTTGGGTTTGTTTAGAGAGTATTTTCTTGACAGCATGGTTCTGATTGGTTTGTAGGACATTTAACAAATGACGGGCTCTAGGCCCCAATCTTCTAATGCGCTCCATGCTTGCAAACCCTTGCACCTGTGCAGAAGTCAATGGGGCTCCCTTTGAACACAGGAATTCACTTGCATGAAGCTCGTTGCAGGATCAGGGCCCTAGTAATGAAAGATTCACACTCCTTTTATGCTCCGTTTTCATATACATTGAATGGCCAAACCCTCCTTTGCACGTTTCCTGTATGCATTTTATTTATAGAAGTGTCCATTACACAACCCATTGGGAGAGTTTACATTTTTTAAAATGGAATTAAATGTACAGAAACATACCAGACAACTTCCAGTGGCAGCATTCATTGTCAATCCCCTACTCCAAAGACTGGAACCTGGAACAACAGCTCTAAACCAGCTTCAAGCAGGGTTTCCTTCGTCTCCGAGTCACAGGCCTAGTCTATACACAAACTTGCATCAGTTTAACTAAAGGTATATATTAGCTAACCCAGTGCAAATTTTGTGTGTAGGCACTCTTATTTTGGTTTGAATGGCTTATTTCCATTTAACAGGCGTTTGTAAATATACAGGTGCAATCTAATCAATATAGCCAGTTTTAAACAGATATAAATGTATCCATACAGCAGTTTGCACCCATTTAACTAAACTGGGTTTTAAACCTATTTTAGTTAAATTGATGCAGCTAGGCCACACTCCAGCAGATATTTGTCTTAACGGATAAGCTGGGCTTGCAACATATTCAGAAGGTCAACTTTTGGAAAATGTTGGGGATGAAATTCTGGTCCTGTTGAAGACAATAGTAAAACTCCCATCGGCTTCAGTGAGGCAGGATTTCATCGCTACTATCTATGATGAATCCAGCCCATTGTCTTAACCATGCATTGGGTGGAAGGTTTGGGTTACAACTTCAGGGAGTGGGAAAATCTCTTTCTTGTCATCATACTTTCTACTTTTGAGAGAAAAATAGTGGCACTTGAAGTCCAAACTTGCAAGTATCTCTTGGAGAGCAGGAAGGAGCTGGGGCAAGGCATTCCTCACCCTTCCCCCTCCCCCCAAAAATATTGAATTATTAACCTAGGAAATTATTTCCTGCTATCTAGGAAACACACCTTTAAATGTAGATACCTATAAACAAGTGTAAGGAACCTGGTACCCTTACCTGCAGCTGGATTTACAAAGAAAATATCATTGAGAGGGTACCTGTGTATATCACCCTTCTCAGACAAAATTTTGTAGACTGCCGTTTCATGATTCTCAGCTTTCTTTTGTTTTATGTGGTAGGAGATAATTATTTGGCTGTCAACGCCTAATTAAAATACTACATTTACACACACACATACAAGCTGTACCAGCCCTAATATGGCAATCAAAAAAGAAATTGCATTGTCTGCCATGGATTAGCACTGAGAAGGAAGATAGGCACATAAGAGAATGCTCTGAGTCATGAAATAAAATGTCAAGAGTTAAAAGGTTAGCCTGAATATTGTGAGATGCCTCAAAGGCAAAAAACATAGCAAACAAGAGGTACTGGTTTGAATACAGCCAGTGCTGGTTGTGAATGAAAGCATTTACTATCTGTTGGCTGCTTGTGAACTGAGTGGTGGTCTCAGACTAGTTTCAAGTGGAGATATGTCCCTGATAACAAAAAGCACCAGCAAAAGCTGCCAGACTTAGCAGAGGTGCGTTGAAAAGGCAGTCCTTCGAAAACAAAGGTATGACACATTTGGAAGACTGTACATTTGCTGTCCTTGCTTAGCTGTCCTGTGCACGATGATGTGCATTCAAGCCCTGATTCAGGAAAGCATTTAGACCTTTGCTTAAGTCTGTCCCCCGTCTAGGCCAATGCTTATGTGCTGTCCTGAGTAGAAATGTTTTCTCGAATCAGGGCCGAAAAGAGGTCTTCAGTGTCTAAAGTTGTCAATTACAGTCTAGTAATTTAAACATTTGTAAAAGCTAAAATCCTAGATTTATAGGTAAATATCTACATATCTGTATAAATATCACATACAATTACAATTAACTTAAATGAATTCTACTCTGCTTTTATGTCCAAATCTGTGGTTGAAGTGAGAATTTTAACATTCTGAGAACAGCGATCCATCCAGTTCTTTCTCTCCCCTTCCCCAAACTATTGTTTTAAATCTGCATTAAAGTATTAAACTTCTTTATGTAGAATCTTCAACATTTTGTACTGGCCATCTTGCAAGCCAGGACAATGGAGATGCGAGAGGGAAAAAAAGCTGCAAATATTTAAAATGCAAGCTGATATCAATCCAAGAAGAAATTCTGAATTTTTAAAAGTTGCAGGTTTTACTCAAAAATGGCGCTATCTACATTCAAAGAAACAGTCAGTCCCTGATCCTGTAATAAGTTCCAAGTGGGCACAGCATTTATATTTCCTAGGTAGGTTTTTTCACAAAATTAGTTCTTCTTCGAGTGATTGCTCATGTGTATTCCACAATAGGCGTGCGTGCTTGCCACAGGCACCGGTGCCAGACGTTTTTCCCTCTAGCAGTACCCATAGGGGGAAGCACCCCCTGCGACTCCTGGAATGGCGCCTGCCTGGCGCAGTATAAGGGGAGCTGTGCGCTCCCCCCCCACCCTCAGTTCCTTCTTGCCGCCAGTGAAGGTGCGTCGGAACTGATCTGCTCCAGCTTTGCTGTTGTTCGTCCCCAGAACTGTTCGTTCGTTCAGTATTAGTACCTGTAGTTAGTTAGCTGTTTAGTTAGTTTAGTTAGTCAGTGAACCCGGGCCGGGGCATGCCCCGCGCCCCGGAGTTTAAGTTGTGCAGCTCTACAGCTAACTAACTACAGGTACTGACACTGAATGAACGAACAGTTTGGGGGATGAGCTACAGCAAAGCTGGAGCAGAGCAGTTCCGACGCACCTTCACTGGCGGCAAGAAGGAACTGAGGGTGGGGGGGAGCGCACAGCTCCCCTTATACCACGCCAGGCAGGCGCCACTCCAGGGGTTGTGGGGGGAGGGGGGCTCCCCCCCCTATGGGTACTGCTAGGGGAAAAACTTCCGGCACCAGTGCACGTGGCGAGCACACACACCTATTGTGGAATAGACAAAGCAACACATCTCAAAGAACACCAGTTCCTGAAAAGGTAACTGTCTTATACATTTTCCAGAAACTCAGAATGAAATGTCCTAATCAATGAGGTTTCCTAATTTCACTTTGAATTTAGTGACATGCCTCTAAGGGGGCGTCTACACTGCAATCGAAGAAGTGATTGCAGCTCAAGCAGACATACCTGGGCTCGCTTTCATCTAGCTAGCTTGGCTAAAAATAGGAATGACGGTGGAGCAGCATGGGCTGTACAAGCCTGCCCACAAGTTGGTATGAACTCGCTTTGCTAGCCTGCACGGGGGTCCACGCTGCCACGTCTTCATTGCTATTTTGAGAGTTGTGCTAACTAGATTAAAGCTAGCACGGGTATGCCATGCTGCATTCATGCTCCCAATTATGGTGTAGACAAACTCCCTGCAGTATATAAACCATCATATATTTCAGGATATAAATCCCGGTAAGCTTCTCCACGTTCTAATGTCCTATTTTCACAGTAATTGATGGTCGCCTCCCTTCCACTTTGCTCTATTTCAGCAGAAAGGTAATTGTAGTGTGGTATTTCAATCTTGCTCATTTTTATTTAGGTTTAAAGCACTGCTATCTAGCAAACCCTCAGCTGAGAACACTTGTATTGAGATCAGCTATGTGAAGTACCCCATATTTCAGGTAAAGTCTGTGCCCACATACCATCCGAATGGAATGTGTGTCATCAACAATTGTATGTACCCTGCACAAATTAATGAAATTACATTTAGTAAATGAGACATATCATACCTTAGAGTAGTGGTTTCATAAGCAAAGGCCTCAACTCCCTTTATATAGTAACCTGCATTATCATGCTGATTGCAGTCAAATAACATGTAAGTGACTAGATTTAACTGTGTATATTTCACTTCTGTAGTCTTTGAAGACAGAGCAGTGCATTTCAGTGGAACATTTGCATAGACTTTTGAGTTCTTTTTTCTCATGTTTGGTATTCCTGCATTTGCACACACAAGCTGGGAGGATGTAGAGGCCTTTCTTTTCCTAGCAATATTTGTTTACTCAAATTTTGTAATTCCTTCTGTGAAAATGTGGAGCCAAACTTACTGTCTCACATATTAGGCTAGATGCAGTGTATTCAAGACCTTGCATGCCTAAGAAAAGTTTATTTTAACCAGAGCAATGACAGTTCCATTTACTGACTGTTAGAGCTGCAGATATTTTTCAGTGTCACTTACAGCTGCCTGCAATAACATTTAAACTTAATCTAAGTTTCCTGAGGAGAAATATTATTTGGCCCATGTTACAATGCAAAACCCCAGCACAAACCTTCTCACCAACCATGCTTGCTTGCCTATAGAAGTGTGGGAAGGAGGGGGTGTGGTTTCCCAGAAAGGGAAGAAATCAGGGAACAGCCACTATATGTGGCATGTTCTCCTGAATAAGTGGTGTAAAAACGGTATCAGAAAATGAATGAGCCGGGATCAACTTGCCCTGTGAGCTACCTGAACCTCTTTGGAGAGTCACAGCACTGTGTGGCTAATAGGGATTGGGAGAGAAGCCTTGCTACCTGTGAAGAGACACCTAGAACTGTGCAGAGACAGAGAAGATATCCATGTATGGCCTGACCCCTGCAGGTTTTTGACCAGTTTGACTGACAAATCCGTAGCCCTGCACATTGTTTGGTAGCCTCACACGCCTTCCCCCACCACACCATTCCCATGATGCAAAGTTAAAAATGGTGCTCATGAGGGGCTTTTCCAAAGCGGCTTATTTTTCAGAGTAACCTCTTCACTTGCGTGTGTTTTACTCAAGCAGGAATGATATGGTTCTGTGAGCCTCCCCATGTTACACTAATGACAGTGACCGCTGAAGCAAAGGGAGGCAGGACAATGAAAGGAAGACTTATGTAGTGAACATGTGTTGTCTGCTTTTCATAAGCAAACAGTCTCTTTGTTTTGTTTCAGCTGGTTATGCAGTATCTTTACTATGGCGGTGCAGAATCACTCCTGATTAAGAATAATGAAATAATGGAGGTAAGAAGTATTTTACTCCATTCCAATGGGAGTTACAATAAGTGATCTCTCCAGTGTTCACATAGCTGCACATGGAAATGGTCTCCATCAAGCGTTGGCAAACAGCACATAACTCTTCACCAGATTGTTTCGTTTTCCCCATGGCTACAGTGGCATCTGTCTGCACTTTTTGAGGAAAGGAATCAAAACCTGCTTTCATTTCTTCCTCCAGTCTCAGACTGTCTCTCCACCACTTCTTCCTGCTTCCCTGAGTTCAGAGTTGATCCTCACTGAGGTGCCACCATTATGAATACCCAGCTTGCAGCCTCCACCCTCAATTCCAGTTAACATAAATAAAAGTAGGTTTTATTAGACATAGGACAGAAAAGAGAGAGGAAAAACCTCAAAGCAAAAGATAATTTGAACTAAAATGTCTGGCCAGACACTCTGAAAAGCTCTTCTAGTCGAGCAAAAAGCTTGTGTTACAAAATTTGGAAATCTTTCCCTCAGCATGGTACAACAGCCTCATTCTCTTAGTCTTAATAGGATGTCTCTTGCCGCTAAATCAGTCTATTCCCCTTTCCAAGCTGTGTCTCTGGGGTTGTTAGCTAGGAGTCAAATGTCCAGAAAAGTAGAATAATCTCATGTGTAGTTCCTCATTCAGGAAGATATGCAAGCATATGCCTAACTTTAAGCATGTGAGTAGTTCCATTGAAGTCAAAGTTCAGCTTCAAGTAGCCAGATGCTTAACTGTGTTGCTGAATTGGGACCTTTAAACTGCCTCCTGAGATGGAAGGAAGGGGGAATATTTTTTTATCCCAAAAGCATATCCTCCTGTCCAAGGAGTCCAGTTACACTTTTCATCTTCCCCCTCCACCTGCCCTCCCCCACAAAAAATACTGAATCTGACTCATCCTCTCCCCAGCCAAATGTGCATAACTTGTATGGATTTTAAGTGATCTCCTTCCAAAATTTTGTGCATTGTTATTATCAGCCATTGTTCAGCCAAGTGGCTCCCAATAAAACACAAACTAAGGCATATTTGGGCAACTTCCTCGCCAATCTGAGCTGGAAGCTTTCATATCCACAGCTTTCAGGTTATATCAGGTAAAACTAATATAGGACACTAAATATTAAAATCACTGATATTTATACAGTTGGTAAAAATCATAGTGCACAAACTATATAGTATCAGAGGGGTAGAGGGGTTATATAGAATCTGCCACTATATTATTGTGCAGTGTGAGACACCCAAGCAAGGTGTTTTGACAGAGATAGTGCTACTGGAAACTGACAGCAATTGGGTATGATTGGCCAATGAGAGTCTATTTTGGTGGGTATTGTAATGCTTATAATAATCCTGCTGAGGAAGTTTTGGAGGGGGGAGTATTTGTATAAGTAGACAAAACTGGAATTAGTCCTCTCCAGTTCAGTGGCACAGTTTTAACTAAGCTCAGTTGAATTAACTTCCTTTCTCTTACTAAAACCAGCTGTTATTTTTCAAATTCATTCCCACAACTTTGCAAAGAGGCCGATAAACCCTAACTCTTCCGACAAAAAGTGTTATCAAACTAGATAGGACAACAGCTTTACAGATACAGATCTATACACATAATCAGCTAGGTAACACCCCCTCCCTCTTTCTGAATCGAGACTATATAAATATAGACCTCCCCAACAGTTGACTGGATGGGGAAAGAGAAAGGCCTATTTGGCCTTATATGGGTGTCCAAGCCCGGCACATGGCCCCCTCTGAGGGCATTCCCATGGGCTTTACTGTCAAATATGGCATCTGTGTTGGACAAAACGGGGGGGTTGAGCAGCCTTGAAAAGACTATGCAGCTGCCTAAGAGAAGGCTCCTAATCCCTCAGGATTCCCTTTGTTTCCTGTGGTTTAAGAGCCCTTGTGGATCACAGGTCTGACTCCTTGAGCCACAGTGGCAGCTGGAGCCTGGATACGGCCCTAGTTTTCTAAAGTTATATTTAGCAACTTGCTTTATTATAAATGTGGTAACAAGAAGCACAGGAAATACTGAAATCTTTGCTGCAATTCATAATTGGGGCCATATGGCTGCTGTCACATCAGCACTGCAGATTTTCCAGATTTTGGATTTATTTAGGGGATTATTTAGGGGAGCTGGAGGTGAGTGGATGGACAGGGCCAGAACAACTTTCTAACAGTTTTTTCCTAACAGCCCTGGCCTGCAGTGTGAGGGCACTGTTGGGTTCCACTGAGCAGCACTTTGTCGGGTATTCCCAGTGATAAGTGTTATATAAATGGCTAAAAATAGATAGAGCTCCCAGCTCAACCTCATATATGTGTATTGAACAGAGCAAACTGCGTAGTGCTGAAGAACCCCTGCCTACCTTCCAGAAAAGGGATTGGGTGGAGCTCTGCCTGCACTACCCTTTTCCACCAGCTGAGATAAGAGGTTTGAACCCACCTGATTTCATAGATTTTAAGGCCGGAAGGGACTATTGCAGTTGTCTAATCTAACCACCTGCAAAACACATGCCATAGGTTTTCACCCTGTAATTCCTACATCAATCCCATAACTTCTGTTTGTGCTAATGCAAAAAGCAGGGTTGAACCCTGGCTGTTTGTTTCTAACGTGTAGCTGGGCAGATTCTTCAGAGTCACATTTGTGGAAGGGCTGTAGGCTCTGATGGTTATGCTGCTTCCTCGATAGTGCCCAGAGATCAGGGGAACTTATACACTTCTGTCCCACACCCCCAAAATGGCAGCATCTGGATCTGAATGTTCTGTTTTCCACTCATCACTTACCAACAGCCGCTCATCATAGTTTAAGCTGTTATGTTACTTCCCTTTGTAACACCAAAAAGGGTAAAATCAGCAAAAGAACCTTCTTATTATGGCAGTTAAATGACTGATAGTTAAATTAAATTAAATTAAACGTAATTAATTATAAGTCTGTGTATAAATGTAATAAAATAGCAAGGAAATGATACTGTTTAATATGGTCCTAACACTTTTTTTATCTGCTGTTTAGCTTCTCTCTGCTGCTAAATTTTTCCAGCTTGAAGCTTTGCAACGACACTGTGAGATCATCTGTGCAAAAAGTATAAACACAGAAAACTGTGTGGATATTTACAACCATGCCAAGGTAAAACAATTGTACGTGTGTGCATGCATGTCTGTCTACCCCGACTGTGTGAAGTTCATCGCCAGGTGATAGGCAGTGATAAATGTATCACATGCTTGTGCAATTTGTCACATATCTATGACCTCATCATCTGTCCCTATAGGCCACTCTCTGGGACTTATTGTAACATTCCACATCCCTAAGCCATTTCAAACAGTTGCCTTTAAAAAAAAGTAATCTTGCCTTCCTTCCTCTTGCAAATGGGGATATTCCCACTAACATCACCCTCACTGGAGGTTCATGATGAGTAGTACTTGGCCTTAGTAGCTGACAGCTTTTCTGTATCTAAAAATGACACATTGTCAAAGTCTAATGTCTTACAACCCTGCAGGGATAGTAATGAGACTTTTATACCATTGGAGAGGAAAAATGCCCAGCTTCCCAGTTGAATCCAGGATTCCATAATCCTCCCAGTGGTCCTGAATTATAGGATATTAAAGCATGATGTTTTTAGACTTAGAAAAACTACTTTAGGTGTTTTACATTTTTTAGTTTTATTTTTTCCTCTCCTTTGGAGCATTGTATAGTGGAACTCACATTAACTAAGGCTTGGCAGGTGGAGGGATACAAAATAAAGTCCCAATAAAAATATGTTACAAGCATTCCTAAAATTATTTTTCTGTAACATGTGGCATGTACAAAAGAGCTAATGGTGTGGTGTGACCTAGGGATTTGATCAGCACTCGTTTGAGGTGATCCACAGGCCATTCCCAACTCCTGCTGATCAAATCTTTATTTCTCACAGTCATGTATTCCCAATATATAATGCTATGCATTTGATGTGCATAGGTATGCCATCAACTTTTGAAATAGGAAAACATTTCATTCCTGAAAATGAGTTATATATGAAGTGTATCTCAAGGCCTATCTTTTGTGATAGAAACAAATGAAGGAACAGAATAATCCTCCACCTTGAAAGGCACCTGATTTATTTCCCAGTTTGTGAGACAACTTCTGGATTTAGCAGGGGTTTTTAATTCTAGTTAAAAAGAATCATTTCAATTTGGATTTCAACTCTTGGGCCTTTTCTTCAAAAAGTGAGATAAACTACGCTGGATTTTTTATCTCTGTAGGCCCCAATTCAGCAGTTCACTTAAGCATGTGAGTAACCCCACTGAAGGCAAGGTTGGGCACATGCTGGATCTGGGCCCTAGTTCACTTCTGTGGGCCAGATCCAGCAAGTGCTCAATGCATGGAGCTGTCACTGAATTCTGCCAGTGGAAGGTGTGTCTATATGGCAGACTTATGAGACCAAGACCCTTCACTTCAGACTCGATGGTCTGTAAATTGTTAAATTGTTCACATTTCAATATTCAGTTCTTCTCACCCTGCTCAGAATGCAGGTTTTACAAGCAGCCTCTATTTCTTGTCTTCTGCTGGCATAGAGTGTCCCCAGATCACAGGTGCATTAGTTAACTCTGTGGCATGGGATAGTGTTATATTCTGAATATTCAGGTTTCAGAGGAACAGCCGTGTTAGTCTGTATTCGCAAAAAGAAAAGGAGTACTTGTGGCACCTTAGAGACTAACCAATTTATTTGAGCATGAGCTTTCGTGAGCTACAGCTCACTTCATCAGATGTTTACCGTGGAAACTGCGGTAAACATCTGATGAAGTGAGCTGTAGCTCACGAAAGCTCATGCTCAAATAAATTGGTTAGTCTCTAAGGTGCCACAAGTACTCCTTTTCTTTTTCTGAATATTCAGTTCATTTAGATGGTTGCTGAGGACTTTCTATTCCTGTGATTATAAAGGACCTTAGGAAGAAATGGTCATTTGATTAGCATAGCTTTCAAGTTTTCATTTTTACTCCAGGTTCTCTTTACTGTGTGCTCTCTCCAGAGAAAAGCCATGTGATTTGGCAAATTGCATTGGTGACACTGGTTGATTAGTTTCTACAAGGTACCAGTCATGCTTTCCATGCATACCCCAAACTTTCAGTGAGGTCAATAGGAGTTTTGAGAGTACACATAATAATACTCAGCACTTCCCCAACATGCCAGCTGGGAATCAGATTAATAATAAGAAAGAAAAGAGAAATATATTATTTCCTCACTGCAATGTACTGTACATTGAAATAGAGTAAGGATAACGGAAGGAGGAGTAAAGAAGAATGGAGTGAAATCTTAAGAGAACAGTAAATCCACCAAAGAAAATTAATCCAGTCTCTGATCCAGATCCTCAGATGGTGTAAATTAACACAACTCCCTGATTTCAATGAAGCTACTTCAGTTTACACCAGCTAAGCATCTGACCTTCCAGATCCAAAATAATGTTCTCCTTTAGAAAGCTCCTAACTTGCCCTGAACTGTCCCTTATTTTGGAGTCAACATTTGTGTCATCCACAGATTATGTTAATTTAGTGGTGGGCCTGTACTATGGACCCTACTTTCTAGACTCTGCAGAGTAAAGATCCCAAGGCTGAAGATAGGAAAAGCCATCTACAGTTCTGGGTTGCATAGGCCTCCCGGCAGCTCCATCCACTAGCATGTCCAAAGCTTTCCATTTGTTCTCAGAGCTCAAACACACCAGGAGTTTGCCCAGGCTGGTGGATCCATGGAGCACTTTTCTGTGTGCTTTGCAGAACACGCTCAGGGCCTAGTCCTTGACTAGAATGCTCAGGGCTACTACTTGCATAAACTCAGGATCAGGCCATTTGCTCACTACTTCTTATGAGGCAACTGCTACTTCCTGTGCTCTAGTGAATCACGTAGTGCTTGCTTACTCGCAAGCAAGATGGGATACACTGAGTGTAAAGGAATGTAGTGGTCCCAAAAACAACATACTTCACATGCAGCTATTTTCCAGCTGGAGGTATTTCACCCCAGGCCTAGAGTACATGTCTTTAAGCAGTTACTTCTGATGGTGGTGCCGGTCAGGTGTGTCATGCTTGGCAGGAATGCTGGGAGACAGTGTTGCTAGACCTGGCCTCTAGTAGATCTCCCCAAATCTACTGGTTTTGGTGGTGGAAACTTTGGGGCCAAATCCTGGCCCCAATGACATGCATGACACAAATCCCATTGATTTGTATGGGGCCTGAATTTCATCCTTGGAATTTTGCCTCCAAGGTGACCTTAGTTTATTGACGTAGTCTTAAGTCTGGAATTTGTCATTTGAAGCAAACAATGTGAAATATCACTTGACACACACATATATGTGGGTGTCAATGTTCCCGTCTGAAAAACGTAGCTAGTATAGTTTGTGTGCAGTTTGTTATCTTTACTTCTCATGAACAGTATTTATTAACCCATACCTATCAGAGTGATTACCTTTCTTTAATCCCCACTTTTTGTAGTTTCTCGGAGTCACAGAACTGTCCTCCTATTGTGAAGGCTACTTTCTAAAAAATATGATGGTCCTCATTGAAAATGAAGCTTTCAAACAGCTATTGTATGACAAGAATGGAGACACGTCTGGTCAGAATGTACTACAAGACTTACAGAGGACGTTGGCGACAAGGATTCAGTCAATTCATTTGTCTTCTTCAAAGGGCTCCGTTGTATAAAGTTCAGGAAGGAGATCGCGCTCAGAAAAGACACTGCGAGTTAAGGCTCCTGTTGCAGTTGCTTAAATTAACATACAAAATTCTACTTCACATTGGAATATTTTTTGTTGTTGTTGGCCAAAGGTGCTGCTTTTAAGCTGCAGCCTCACTTAGATGAGGGAATACTGAACGTATGGCTCCTACCCATTTTTGAGAAACAAGGATCTAGCACTATTCTGTGAATTACTGTTATGTTCAGTTCTGAACACAAAAGTGTGTGGTCTTGGAGCTAGTGCCAACAAAAGCCAGAACTCACCAATGAACAGCAGAAGCCTCTGCCTGAACAAAGATGCCATGGACCACTTAAACTGACAAATGGATTATTTAAGGTTATTTTGCTCCACCAAGTTATACATTTAAGAAGTGTACTGTACCTATCCCAGATTCCGTTCTATTGTGCATTTAAGAAACGTAAGATTTGTTAGTTGCTGTTTCATAAGGGTCAACTGTGTTAGAAAGTTGGTAAGACTGTTATAAATGAGGAAATATATTGGCAAATTTTTAGGGGTGGGAACTTTTTAAAATTGTTCATAACAAATGGGGTGGCCTTGTAGTTTAAAATCTATTTCTTAAGCTTAAAAATTAATTTTTGACAGAGTTGTGTTTGCGAATCTATGTAACACGTTTTGTTTTTTAAAGGCACACTGTGTAAATACTGTATACATATGAGCAGGTTTTGTTTGTATTCTTTCCCAAGGTGGTATAATCTTGCCTAAATGGTTATGGTTACACCAAAGAGGTACATTACCAAGACAATATCTATTACAGTAGTTGGGGAATAAAAATCTGCATGCTAATTGTGATTTGGGGTTAAAAACAATAACAAACTCAACATGCATTTGCATGGTAACTGTACCTGTGAAATGTTATGTTTGTGCTTTGTTTTGCCAAGACTGCTTGTCAAACTCCATTTGTGAAATTAGCATATTTACTTTTTTTTCTTGGTGCAAATGGTTCTCACAGAAACTTGTTGGAAGATGCTGATTTCTGTTTGTTACATGAAAGAGTTAATATCAGCCTTTATTCTAGTAACATGTCAATATTTCGCTACTGGCCAGAGATTGTGACTAAGGTAGACTTTTTAAAATTATTATTAAATATGTACTATAGAATAATTTCTTACTGTATCTTCAGAATGTATAGGTTATCTACAATGGAGGTGTGCAATGTCAGGGCTCAATTTATTTTGCAGCATACTGTTAGCAAGAGAGATCTGTTAAGTGGCACAATTTTCCTGACCTCTTGTATTTGATGATACCTTTCATGAATCGGTTGATTTAAAACATAGGGAAGACCTCAGTAAAGAGTAGGAGAAAGGCGCTACCTTTTCAGTGGCAAAATTACATGTATTTCTTTTCTAGCATGCTTTTTGAAACTGTGCCCGGTTCACAGATTTTTAGAAGCTTTAATTTGACAGTGCATGATAACTTCTTGGTCTTTTGTTAGAATATTTATGTCCGGTGCTATTTCATGTTTATAGCTTTTGGAATGCTCAGAAAACACAGTCTTTGCATTAGTTATCACCATGATAGGAAACTGTTTTATTGTTCTGATCTGTAAATCCTCCTGTATGCTTGATCATTTTAAAGCCTATACAATATCTGCAACAAATTACAAAATTGTCTCAACTACCATTAATGTCTCAGAGACACAGCATGTCAGCCTAACAATGAATTACCAGACAATTTGTTTCTGCATATGGTATGCCATATAAGATGTTGTCTAGAACATTTAGCTACTGGCGACTTACTTTTCTGTGAATGTTGCAATGCTAAAGAAGCAAGAACCTGATAAATGCAATTGCAACTCTTGGGGGTGCTTATATTATAGTTTGGTGTGCTTCCTCACTCCTTGAAACCCATTATTCCATATTGGTGACAATCTACATATAAAAACAAATCTCACCCAGCAGCTTAATGTTAACTTCTCTGAATATAAAATTATAATGCTCCAGATTTTCACCCTGTAATCAAGTAGGCCAAATTTTACCCTCAGGTACCCACAGAGCTCCCACTAAAGTCATCAGGCATTGCAGACTTGTATCCACAAGCAGAATTTTTCTCAGTGGGAAATAAAAACACAGGTATAAATTCAGCGAGGCAATCTGGTGTCTAACAGAATGATAACCACTGCTTATGTAGCAATGATTTCAGGGCATACATTAATAGCAGTCCAGGGCATTGGTAATGGGATATAGAGCCCTCTACCCCTGGGTTACTCATTGGAATATTGATGTTGACTGATGTCACCAGCACAGAAATCCACCACAATAGATGTAACTTCCTTTGGCAGTGTCAGCAAAAAAAAAATGAAAGACTGGATGGGGAAGGGAGACTTCTCTCCTGTCTCACCCTGAGAACTGGCTCCTCTAGGTTAGGACTGAGATGCATAGGATGGGCTGTGTTGGTAAGCTTGAAGTGTCACCGACTTTGTGGTATCTGTTCTGCGGCTAAACAGAGGACTTCACTTGCTTGATCTGTAGTACATCTTTCATGAGCATACATTCACTCGCAGTATCCTGTTAGGAACAAAGGGACAAATTCTCCCTTCACTCTGTACCCAGGGCTTACCATAGACTAAAAGGGAATTGTGTGAGCATGCAAGGCAAAATTAGACCCAAAACTAGTTGCAGCAAAGCATACCTGCCTCTGAACAAACGCATTCCCTTTGCTTCTTCAGGGGCTCATTAATCTGGAACACTGAGCACGATCTAATGCTTGGTGTTCTAGTGCATAAGCCTTCAGATTTAATTTACGCTACCGTGGGATTTGCTTTGCTGGTCTCAACTAAACATGAGCAGGAGAACAAGATTATAGAAGTCTATGGGATCAAAAATGCTCCTGAAAGAGGATTCTGGCTATTGATTGATGCAGCAGTGTCTATTGCTATTAAAGCTATTGTTAATGGATACATTAGAGTACATTGGATGATTAATGGTTTGCATATACTGGTGGAAAAGCTCATGGGAGGGCTTATTAGGGCAGCAAAAACTGCATGGTTTCCATCACGGAGTTTCCTCCATGTCCTTCAATTGGAGGCAGAGTTCCCAGACTCAAATAAGCAGGGGGTACAGACCTGGGGTCCCATTGAGCTCCACAATGCACAGATTCTGGAGTCCCTCTAAGTGCTTGAGCCGCACCTAACCGGACCAGAACTGCTATCGTTCCATTTCAGTAGAAGCCTCTATGATGAATTTCATCCAAAAAATACTTAGAATGTGACCATGATGCCTATAAGACAGCATATCCATGCAGCAATGAGGCCTATAAGACAGCATATCCATGCAGCAATGAGGCCTATAAGACGGCATATCCATACAGCAATCGTTATTGTAGTGGTACATAGCAGCATCCTTTAGAAAGTGCTGTTATTTCAGGAAACAAAAGCCTCTGTTCAGTAATCTCTGTACCGATTGCAATACTTCATCCATTTTGGGGGAAGAATTCCCTCAATCCTCCCAACCCAAGGAATTTCAGATGGTTGGGTGTACTGGAAATTCTTTTTAAAACCCTTAGAAAAAGTGTATATACATTTTTCAATCATAACTCGCACTCCCCCTTCCCTCTGCACAACGATCTAGGGCTTTTTTTTTTCCCATCTAGGTTTTTATAAAGTCTCCCGTCACTGTTGGTATCTGGGCATCTACAGGCACTTTGACCTTTCTCTGTTGCAAGTCCTGCCTTCTCCTTCTCTAGAAGAGACACAATCTCCTCTTAGCTCCCTTAATTGCCCCACAGTCCCCAGAACACACCCATCTTGCCTAATCTGTTGCCAGCTCCTGCACTCTCCCTGTTCTAGAACCAGACTGGTTCCCTCCCTGACCCTGGCAGATATTATCTCAACTAACCCAGCTCTCCCCTATGGTTCATTGCCCCATAGTCAGCTTGAGAACTGGCAGAGGAGGTGGGCTGGTGGAAACATATGATAGGAAAGTTTTGGGGCATCAGGGAACAAGGTTAGTACTCTTTTTCAGGGAAAACTCCAGAACCACCTCCCCATTACTCAAATCCTCCCTGTTCCACAGATTGGAGACCATTCCTCACCCCTCCCATCTTTTAGAAACAGATGGCTTCCAAATGTTTTCTACTCTAGAAAATGGCCAGTTTCCTAAGGGAACCTTTCTCAAGGTTAAAACTTTGCATGCAAGTTCTTGGCTCACAAGTGAATTGATTGGGCAAAGTATATAAATGTATATATTCCAAGTGGTGCATGTGGAATTAGTGGAAAACCTCCCACCGGCACTATCAGTAGCTGCTCTGCTAAGTTTCCACCTGCCACTTTGTAAACTGACACGGTTCATGTGGAAGATCCACTGACCGTTGGCTTCATACCAAAAATTGTACTAGTCCCTTTTGGATGCATTACAGTGTGTGGTGTGATAGGGAGTTTTTCTGGAACCTCCAGTTCTGTGCCAAAATGTACTGTGGTTTGATGTTTGAAGATTTTTTTTTTCCAGTGATTTCAGCTCCTACTGAAATGAGCTACATTTCAATGGTGCAGTAGTGAGAGAGAGAGAGAGAGAGAGAGAGCTGGCCTTTTCTTCAAAAACAAAAATCAAATTAAGGGCCCACAGTCCTGCACACAACACCAAGGGAAGTCAATTGGGACCTTTTTGTCAGTGTGTTACTGACATACGTACAGCTGTCATTAAAGTGAACGCACTTAAATTTATATACAATACTGAGATTCAAGGTTGGGCTCAAGCCATTTCCCTATATTATTCACCACAGGCCAAATGCTGAGGTGTGCATAGTACCTGCAGCTTCCATTGAAATCAATGCAAGTTGTAGATACTCCGAGTCCCTCAGGAGTTAGCTCTATATTAATAATAATATTTACATAGGACCAGATCCTGAAGTCTGTATGCATCAAAGCTGGTACTGAAATCAGTTGGTGTTCTGCATGAATAAGGGTGGATTAAAAACTGAATAAGAACTTTGGGATTTGGCCCATGGTGTCTTTCATCTGAGAATTTCAAAATGCTTTACAAACATTACCGGCCTGATCTTGCTGCTCTTACTCCTGCTTAATACCTTATCCCAGAAATAGTCCCATTGACATTAATAGGACGAAGGATGGAGTGTGGTATTAAGCAAGGAGAGGGAGGGTGTCTGCATCTAGCCTTTAATAAACATCACAATGTCTCTGTGAGGGAGATAGTTATTATATCCATCTAACATGCTGGTAACTCGAGACATAAGCAGGTTAAGCGATTTGCCCAACTCAGTGTGAAATCTAGAGTTTTGCCCTGCTGATATCGGCTATTGTAACCATTCGTGGGGAGCTGTATTCTCATTTCTAATATGCATGCACTCCTCCCATTGACTGGATAGTTGAGCTCTAGCAAATGTTAACTTTTCTATGTCAGTATAAATGTCTGCATTGCATCTGAGAGAGTGAATTTGTCTGAACACCTTTGGCTGGTGGCTGACCTTGGCCATTCAACTTCCCATTGTTGCTGCTGCTGTGTTTTCATTAAAACTTCGATTACCTTTCCCACTCACTGCGGTTATAGATGAGTTTTTCTTATCACATTTCTGAAGCAAACAAAGAAAACAACCTGACATATCAAAGCAGAAACAATTCATGTTTAAAAATAAGGCAAGTTAGAAAACAGGGACGCTCAGCCATACAAGGATGTGACCTTTATAAAACAGTCACATTAGAAAACAGCGCATTCTTTAAATGGTCAACTTCAACAAGATATCATGTGGGCCACAGCCATAACACCAGTCAGGGATGGCTTAGTGATCTAAGATTCAAATTAACTAGAATCCTTCATGCCACATAATCAAATCCCAGCAGCATTGACTGACCCTTTCATCACCCTATGGTGGATAAATTCAGTACCATCTAGTTTACTATTTGGGGGGGAAGCGGTATCGTTCAGGTGAGACCTTATAAAATCTGGTCCTCTCCACTCTACATGACCTTTAAACAGCACATACATAGCACTTCAAGTGGAGGGATTTGCCCCATTATCCTTAATTGAAAGTTCCCCTTCCCCTGTACTTGTGCAGTGAGCTGTGTGCCAGTTGGATGCTGCCCCGTGCCCCTGTGGTGGCTGGGTTTCAATGTTGCTGTAGGGCTCTAAATCATGAAGCGCTTTGAGAGTCTTCAGAATGAACAGTGCTACATAAAAGTAAAATAATTCATCCTGTCAGAGAGCCCAAGCTAAGTACGGTCAAGGCTGGCTAGACCTCCAGTAAAACATGTGCTTCAGAAGGCAGTGCTGGTGTGTCAGAAAGTGGCTTTTCCCCTCTTGAGTCCCTGAACCAATGCCCTAGCGTGGTATTTGGGAGCACTGTGCTCTGGGTGGTGACATCTTTCAGATGAGTCAGAAAGCTGAGGTCCTGACCCCTTGTGGTCATTAAAGAACTGCTGGCACATTACACAAGAGTAGGTTAGAGTTGTCGACCTCAGGGTCTTGGCCAAACTCCAATTTAGTAATTATATTGTGCCTACCAAAATTCCTCTTGTGTATTTCAAGTAGGTATATTATTCACTTCCTGTCCTAAATTTCTGTGTACTGTTGAAGCGTGCTGTTGTAAGCACCTGCCTTTCACCCTAGCATTTGCTTGTATGTCAGTAGTAGATGAAGAAATTTGTGTGTGAGAGAGAATTATGCATATCATAAATAAGTCAAACTCCCACCCTATGTTGTATGGGTGCAACTACACAGCAAAGTACGATACTCTCCTAGTGCTCTTTTCAGCACTGCGTGGAGGGCCTGGCTAATGTGTCTCCTGGTACTTTACGGACCAAGGTGATGTAGTCGGGACCCATGCTCCCCTCTATACTGTGTTCTGCATCACACAATAGAGAGGTCTGGATCCTGCTAGTTTTAGAGCAGCATTATGGTGTTCTGAAAAGAGTTCCTTCAGCCTCTTTGCACTAATGAGACTGGCTATCCTTCAGTCCAGCTCATCTGCAAGCCTTCCCTTGTAATATCACCTGCACAGAATGAGTCTACTCAGAGCAAGATCTTGACTCTGTAAAGCATTTTAGGACCCTCTGGGACAAAAGATGCTTTATAAAATGAGATATTCTGTATCTGAACAGTTCATGTTCTGCATCTTCTGTTTTTTACATGTGAAATGTTTTTGTTTTTTTATTTGTGTGTGTGTGTGAGAGAGAGAGAGAGAGAGATGGACAGTATATAAATTTACTGTATATCTTGTGAGATGTGAAATCATGTCTGTAAAGAGGTCTCTTGTTAATGTCAGTCAGCCTTCCCCGATGCTAAGGGTTCGGCAGTATGCATTAGTGAATTGAATAGCTAAACCTCCACTTGCCCAAAAGGGCTTACCTTTGTACATAGATTAGCATTTTTAACATTTGATATAAGATCATTGAAAGTAATTTGTAATTTAGATGAGGGGGATATGGGCATTCTAGAAAAAAATACCAATTCAAATTATAGTGTGGGGCCATTCATAAAACAAACCAAAAGGCTTGGTGCAACACCCATTGAAGTCCAGTAGATTGGGCCCCATTTTTTAGCTCTTATTCAGACATTAAACAATTTGCCATGAATCTGCTATATGTGAATCTGAAGTGTAGATCATGTTGCACCTAAGCAGAAAAGCAAAATGCATGTTTGTAATTGGGTACCAGTGTCTATGTGCTTAAGTAGGGAAAGATACCTCCCCATCCATCTCCATCTCTGAGGACCTGTCATTGTGTTCTTCTGTTTACCTCAGAAAATAACAGATGAAAGAATCCCAGCACCAATGCTTTGGTGACACAGAAGAGCTAGCACTAAACATGAGACATGCTTGCTAGCTTCCTTCATCCTTGTCCAAGTCTATCAGTTATCTCTTTCAGATTTCAGTAAAAGTTATATTTATAAAGTTATTAGGGAAAAATGAAAACCAGAGAGAAAGCCATGATGGAAAAAATTGCTACCAAGAATAAAACAGAACTGTAGCGTGAAGACTTCAGATTACAAAATCTGCAGCAAACCCTTCCTGCTGAAAAAAGACAGCTTTTCGCTGTCATCTTGTAAAACTAATGATGGTTTGATTACTTGTTGGAGCTTTTTTATTAGTATTATTATTTCTGTATCTAGCACAGGAAGCTCTTATATGCCATCTCTCAATGAGGTTTCTATGGAAAAGGTTTCTTTATTGGGAAACAAAAATCACACAACCAGATAATACTATCCAGAGCACAAGGAAGTGATGTCCTACTTTATGCAACCATCATTTAAGTACTGGCTTTTGGGTTTATATAAGTGTTCTAGTTATTTTAAAATGAACAATATAGCTGGAACATTTGTTTGCCCTTCTCATTGTCCATTTAAGCTTGTACAAACTGCACAATAGTAAAAGCCACTGCACAGAAAATAGGGGAATTGTGGATGATTTGAAGGATTAAGCAATAGTTTAGCTCAATGGGTAAAATTTTTGAAAGGGCCTGGTGATTTAGGAGCTGAAGGCCATTTTTCAAAAGAGACTTAGGAGTCTACCTCTTATTGGAAGTCATTGGGACTTAGGCACTTTTGAAAAATCTTCCCCAATATCAAAACTATTCAGATGTTAATATTATGAAGCAAGCTGTCTACACCCAGGAAATTAAAGGTTAAGGAGAATAATCTACTTTTAACTCACGCCGTATTTAATATGAGATACCAGCCTTAATTTTAAATGTAGCCACTTTTGTCTAACTGTGTCACAACCTGAATTCTGCTTTAAAATATTTTTATTTAATTTCCTTGTTTTCTTTTTTAAAAAAAAGTTTAAAAAGAAGGTTTGTCTTTCAGCATAATGTGTTCAGTCTGCTAGATCTTTATGTGCTCAATCATATAATGAGATCCTTAGCACGTTATCAGTGCTAAAATGTCTTAGGAAAATTTCTGAAAACATGTTCACTGAGTGCACCTTAGAATATTTTAACCCCCGATCTCTGATGATAAGTCTTTTAAAATCTCCAGTGAGATGAGGATTCATGTCTTGCCAAATGTCATTTTGTAAATCCAGTGTTAACATTGTACAAACACAAACCAGCATTTGAAACCAGCAAGGATTTTTTTTTCTTTAATCTGGTTAGCCAGCTCTTCTTTTCAAGTGTAAAATAATTTGCTTTTAGTTTGCGACTATGTATGCAAAGCTTCTGCGTGACTTGTTATAACCAAGTTAAAAAATGGGAAGCTGGGTTTAGAGAGAAATTTAACTGCAGTAGTGCAAAAGGTACGCTTATTTTAGGGCCTGAGCTAACTCCCACTCACAGCAATAGGAATCCTTCCATTGACTTCAGTGGGAGTTGGATCAGGCCTAAAGCAGTTTGTCGTAGCCTTTTTGATACCAGGGACTGGCTTGCTGCCTTCCTAAACTGTGTCATGGAGATCTCAGGGACCGGAGCCAGCCCATGGACTGGTCATTGAGAAACACTGTGCTAAAGGATATAATCTCCTCTCTCCCCATATTCAGATCTGTGGTTGGTATCAGTGAGAGGCTCCCATAAGGACTGAAGGGAAAATATGCCCTGAAGGCCCAATCCTATTGTCCTTGTGCATATTGTCCCAAATTCAGCAAAGGCACTTAATTAAGCATGTGCTTAACGTGTGTGACTTTAAGCATCCCTTCCCAGCAAAATACTTAAGCATTTGTTGGTTTCAATGGTACTTAAGCATGTGTTTAAAATTAAAGTGAAGCACATACTTAAGAGTTTTGCTAAACAAAGATGGGATTACTCATGTACTTAAGTGCCCTGGTGATTCAGGGCATTCAAACTTCCAGTGATTTCGCTGGAAGCATCACGTGACGCGTTTACAGGCTGCAGAATCAGGCTCAAGTGTGGGGGTGAAGCATTTTTATGAATTGGACCTGCCTGAGAAAACAATGGCAATTTTAATTTCAGGAGCTGACATTCCATTAACATCCGTTTAGCTGGTAGGGTTAATATGTAATATTTACTATAATTACATTTCATCTTTTTTTAAAAAAATCCCTCTCTTTGAGGCAGCACCTGAGTCCAGCAAGTATGAAATAATGCCAAAGAACTTTAAATACTTGCCCATATGGCCAAACCCTGCTAACTTGCCCAAACAGAAGTAGTCCCATCAAAATTAAGGAGAGCATGATTTGGCCCATGGACTGTACAAATTTACTGATGTGTGAACACAAGTCCCAATTCAGTTCAGTAAAACTGATTACTTCCTGGAAAAAAACACATCCTCCCAATTCACCCTGGTTGTAAATGAATTGAAGTCAAAGGAGTTATAGCAGAGATGAATTTAGCTCGCTGGATGCCATCCAGTATGTAGGCAAAACTCCCAGTGAAGTCAGTAGGTGTTTTCCTTTGTAAGGACTGCATAATTGGGGCCACATAATGAACTATATTTATCAGACAGACAGACCATTCTTGTGTAAACGCTGTTGGTAGCTTTGTGCGAAGGCCAAAAGAAACAAAACAAAATCAAACTTCATGGGAACACACCAGAGAATAATAAACTTGCACCTTGATAGAATAGCTTTATTTGTGTATATTGTATGTAAATTTCAAACCAGAGAATACATGCCATTCACTGTACATATCTGGTTACTTGGCTGGCAGTGCTGTGCACTGCTGTTTAGGAGCTCCAGGTTCTTTAGTCTTGGGTTTCCAACTTTAAAGGTTGCTGGAGACCAAGACCTTGGGGCCAGTCAAAAATAGGAGGAATGGAGTGATAGCCACCCACTACAAATGTGGTGAAGACTATGGATCAGGACTGAGGTTAGCTTTGGAGAAGGTTGCTTGCCCACACTCCTGGCCAGCGGATAAGTCCCTCCTTCATAGTCATGTACAGTAGAAGGGAAGTTATTGAGTTTCTGGTGGTCCACATGGGTGGAGTATACTCAAAATCCTATTTGAACCAGTCTTTAATAGGGACCTGGTGTGGTAAGAAGGAACCCATGATTTAATGTAACACAAAAAGGACCACAACAAAACAGTGTGTATATACCTATCTATCTCCTAATGTCTCTGTATTGAATGGATTTGATAATTTGTAAAAAAAAAAAAAAAAAAAAAACAACTGATTGCTCATGTTGTGTTACTGCTTTGAATTTCTTTGCATGAACTCTGGCATATAATTCTTTAAGGAAAAAAATATATATATATATTATAGCCTGCAAAATATTCTTGTTGGACAGCCATGTTTTGTGCAAATTGTATATTATTGTTGTGAGCAATATTGGAATATGAACTTTTATTAGTTGTTGGCATTAAAATATGTTTTCATTGATAGTAAATTTGTCATATTATTTTTGGGTGTTATGTAACATGGACTTCCATATTTAGGTGTGAGCACAACTACCGAAAGGGCCATTTTCAGTGCAGTGAAAATATCACCAACTTTCACTAAACAGGCCGGTATGCAAATCACATTCATTTTAATGCACGTTACAAGCTTATTTATTCATGCCAATTGATAGGCCTATACTTTTGTAGGCTCGCTATAGCAATGCTTGACTTCATCTTTGAAAAGATCATGCTGTTAGCCCCTTTTCATAAAGATGGAACTAAAGCCCCAATCCAGAAAAGCATATGTTTAATTTTAAGCACCTGAGTAGGCCCCTTAACCTCAGTGAGACCACTTGCATGCTTAAAGTTAAGTATCTGCTTAAATGCTTTGCTGGATCAGGCGCTAAAAAAAATCCAGTTTTCTCTTGCCCTTGGATAGTCAATGCTTTATTTTTAGCTTTTCGGGCAGCACATTTTCCAGTGTCGGGGCCTGTGGAAAGTGAAATATTAATACGGCTTTATGAGAGCTACAGCAACTATCTAGTCATTTGGCACTTGACGTTTATAGCTTTTAGGTGGCTTGTAAACACCATAAATAGCGATTTGCTCTAGGTTTACTTCTGCGAAATGTGTTCCATTTTGATTTAAAATGTTTAAAGTTAATACATTGACTGCCTTTTTTGTACATTTGTTACTTCAAAGGTTTGATTTAAATTATAACCATTGTAGTCTGTTTTCAGCCTTTAAATAACAGCTGACCGTTCTGTATTTGAGAGGCAAAGTTATGAATAAATATAGCAGATTAATATTCTAATCCCGTTTCATACAGCTCCCTCCACAGCTTTGTCAGATTGCACTGACTACACCTGAGCAGCAGGTGGAGCCCTTTCGAGTGTGTTTATGAGCCATCCCTGCTCAATAAAGATTTCACTTTTTCTAGCTTAGGAAATGGTGCTGTGAGTGTTTTTTGTTTTTCCTTCTCCACTTCAGATATTTCTCTGTATAATTCAAACACCAATAATGCTGAGATTCTCCCAGTAACAGGGTCCCAGGACTCTTATGGATTTTACAGCTGGGAATTCTGACGGTTTTTAGTTCAGCACTTACAATGTGATTGTCATTGTACAGAACATGGAAAAGACATGGTCCCCGCTCCAAGAAGCGTTCAGTCGACAGCCCTGATCCTGCACATTCAATTTGACTTCAGTGAGACGACTTGTGCTTAAAACTCAGCATGTGCATAATAAGTCTTTGTAGGATCTGGGCATAACTAGAGAATTTGGATACATAAAGACCTGGGTGATCAGAAGTTGGAGTTATCATATAATGGTGCAGCAAGCGTATAAACTAGGTGGCAGTTAAATACTAATAGGTGTCACAAAAGCAGTATGCTTTGGAAGAGATATTAAAAAGGATTTCAAAGCAGGTGTTTAAAAACCTTTGATTTCAGGTTTTTTGAATCAGCATGTTGACTTTAACTGTTTCAGATCTTGTATGATTTGGGAGATTTAGAGGCAATTACTGCCCTTATATTCTTGCTTACAACTCCCTTGATTTCAACAGAAGCCATATGGATATGTGAAGGCAGGACTGTTCCCTTCATCTGCATTTTGTTTATTGTAAAGCCAAGTGGTAGTACTTTTTCAAGCTCTGCCCACAAAATAAGATCTGCATGTGTGAATCATCCCAATGAGATGCTGCTCACAGTAGATTGTACAGATATTTAAAATATGATCATGTGTGCTGTTAGGCTCCAGGGGGCTCCTTGAGCTGATTTCCCCCTTAGAGGTGCTTGAATGTGCCTATGGGCTCTGCTAAGCACCTTGGAATTGGCTCCTTTGTGACTAGAAAAGGAGTACTTGTGGCACCTTAGAGACTAACCAATTTATTTGAGCATGAGCTTTCACGAAAGTACTCCTTTTCTTTTTGCGAAGACAGACTAACACGGCTGTTACTCTGAATCCTTTGTGACTGTGAGAGATACCACGTTTCCTCCCCCACCCCACCCACTCCTGGTGCCACAGTGAGACATCAAATTGTTCAGCTCTTTGACCCTTCCGTCAGCGTAGAGCATCTTCATTAAAGCTGTACAGTGGCACACCAATGCACCATTTTAAGTGTAGACTTGCCCCTAGTGTAGTCACTTTTATTCCATTATGAGTGGCCTTTTTCAGTTTAGTTTATGGAGAAAGAGTTTAGGCTAAGCTGCAAAAAGCCACTCATATATCAGAATAAGGGCAAGTCTACACTACAAAATTAAATCGACCCAAGTTACATCAACTTACAGCCACTGTAGTAATTAAACTGCTTTTGCACATCCATGCTAATAGCGTCCACTTAGGGACTTATACTGGTATAATTATACTGGTATTACAGTACTGGTAAAACTTTCCCATGTAGACAAGGCTTACTTTATTTCTCGGAGAACAAGATAGTAACTTCAGAGAAGTGCCGGTGTGGTGTATGAGTATGTACTGTATTGGCTGGGTCCGAGCCCTACTGTAAAGTGCTGGGGGTATTGCATAAATGATGATGTTCTATGCATCAAAGAGCTGGAGTCTACTCCTGAAATACTGAACATTTAAAAAGAAAAGGAGGACTTGTGGCACCTTAGAGACTAACAAATTTATTTGAGCATAAGCTACAGCTCACTTCATCAGATGCATTCAGTGGAATACAGACTAACACGGCTGAACATTTAAAGGAACTAGTATTTAACAATACACAAAAGAGATGGGGATAACCACTATTGAGCCAAAACCTGACCCTATCAGCTTCCGTGGTGAAGAGCAGCCAGAGTTGTGAGGCCCTGCAATTGCTTTGATGAGTAGAAGACACCCCCTCAGGTAGTTGTGCAGCCCTCAGACAACCACTCAACACCATTCTTCTTCCTGACTCAGTCCCACATCCCACTACCCTCTCCACATCATGTGGGGATTAAATGATGTCCTGGAGGCTCTGTGTTTACATAGAGCTTTCCTGTGTCCCAGCAGGGGAGTATCATGTGACCAAGTGGTATAGGGGAAAATACTTGTTGCAGTAGGGAGGGAGGAGATTCAGTAAAGTGACTAGTAATATAAAGTACAGCAGAACACCAGGGTGGAAATTACTTACATTGCAATTACCCCAGAGGCCACAGTTAGGCTTGGGGCCTCATTGTGCTAGCACTTTACAAATACAAGACAAGACACAACAAATGGATGCAGCAAACAAGGTGTGAGAGATGACAGAAGCTCATTACAAATACTGTATTTTGATAGATATTACTGTACGTCCTTCTCACTCCAGCACCACAGAAGGCTCACAATCAAAAATGGAAAATGCCCCCACAGCTCTGTCTGCTTGACATATGGCTAAAGTACTGTAGTCATCCTGTCTGCCAAGTTTAAAATTTGCTGTCAAACACTTGTGTTTTATAATGTGAACTATTCCTTACCTTAACCTCATTTAAATGCTTTCCAATACTTGTATTTCTCAGTTAACCTCTGAAATAAAAGTTTAGTGATGCAAATAGCAATGATTTCTGCCCGTTCAAAAAAAACCCCATAATCCTACTTGTTACAATAGACATTTTCCCATCCTATGACGATTTAGTTGGATATAGTGTGTAGGATACTAGCATTCAGAAGGGGAAAAGAAAAAAAATTCCTATGAGCTAGTTATACAATTATGGCGTTTTATTTCCTGCACCATCCTCTGAAGCATCTGATACGGGCCATTGGACAGATCCAGTGTGTTAATTTCTGTTCCTGTGGAAGGATTTTTAGAGAGGACATACCTTGAGGACACCTTTATTATTTACTGAGCACAGTTTAATGTACTCGGTGATGTTCAAAGAGAGAAGATAACATGGTGCCTTCCCAAGCAGTTTATAACCTAGATCAGACACAGGCAGTATGGTCCAGACACATACAATGATACATAAGCTGATCTTATTTTGAAGCAGTGCTAGGTGGTTGATTTTGTTTTTCATGTTTATTTGTTTATCCACCAATTTTGGTGGATTGGTGTTGAAAAGCTCCAGAACAAAAGTGTGAGAAGTCCAGAGACATGAGGAGGTCAGAGTTATGAATTTCCCTGCAGGGTATGGATGGGGAGCTGTAGTTCAGTGCAGAAGGTAAGGGATTTGAAGAGGTGAGTGATCTGGTCAGAGTGACTAGTGAGGGAGATGATTTTAGAAACCACCTTTTTGCTAGTAGCCTGGAGCCGGCTGAGCTGAGATGCCAGGAGGAGCTGGATGCAGCAGTCTGTTATGTTGGAAGATACTAATACCATCAAGTGGGGTTTTGATCTCTAGACAATAGCAGACCTGGTTAGAGCTAAACGGTGTTTTAAGCACCCTTCTTACAGGGTAAATGGAAAGCGCAATTAAGCGAGCGAGATAGCCAGAGATGATAGAAGCTACTACCAAAAGCAATAGGGCCATATGGCAAAGCCTGATCAGAAGCTAAGCCATGTGTGGGTTCCCTGATCACAAACCCTGAAGCTAGGCGGTAGTTTGACAAGTTGTGTTTGTTATGAGATGCAGACTGGGAGAAACACAGCTGTGTGTAAAAACAACAAGGAGGCCGGTGGCACCTTAAAAACTAACAGATTTATTTGAGCATTCATGGGTAAAAACCCCACTTCTTCAGATGCATGGAGTGAAAATTACAGATGCAGACATAAATATACTGACACATGAAGAGAAGGGAGTTACCTCACAAGTGGAGAACCAGTGCTGACAGGGCCAATTTGATCAGGGTGGATGTAGTCCACTCCCAATAATAGATGAGGAGGTGTCAATTCCAGGAGAGGCAAAACTGCTTTTGTAACGAGCCAGCCACTCCCAGTCCCTATTCAAGCCCAAATTAATGGTGTTAAATTTGCAAATGAATTTTAATTGTGCTGTTTCTCTTTCAAGTCTGTTTCTGAAGTTTTTTTGTTCAAGTATAGCTACTTTCAAATCTGCTACAGAATGTCCAGGAAGATTGAAGTGTTCTCCTACTGGCTTTTGGTTGTTACCATTCCTGATGTCCGATTTGTGTCCATTTATTCTTTTATGTAGGGACTGTCCGGTTTGGCCAGTGTACATGGCAGAGGGGCATTGCTGGCACATGATGGCATATATAACATTAGTATATGTGCAGGTGAATGAGCCTCTGATGTGGTCGGGTCCTCTGATGGTGTCGCTAGAATAGATATGGGGACAGAGTAGGCAACGAGGTTTGCTACAGGGATTGGTTCCTGGGTTAGTGTTTCTGTGGTGTGGTGTGTATTTGCTGGTGAGTATTTGCTTCAGGCTGGGGGTATGTCTGTAAGTGAGGACTGGCCTTCCTCCCAAGGTCTGGGAGAGCAAGGGATTGTTTTCCAGGATAGGTTGTAGATAGTTGATAATGTGCTGGAGAGGTTTTAGCTGGGGGCTGTACGTGATGGCCAGTGGCGTTCTGTTATTTTCCTTGTTGGGCCTGTCCTGAAGTAGGTGATTTCTGGGTACCCGTCTTGCTCTGTCAATCTGTTTCCTCACTTCCCCAGGTGAGTATTGTAGTTTTAAGAATGCTTGATAAAGATCTTGTAGGTGTTTGTCTCTGTCTGAGGGACTGGAGCTAATTTGGTTGTAATCTTAGGGCTTGGCTATAGACAATGGATTGTGTGATGTGTCCTGGATGGAAGCTGGAGGCATGTAGGTAAGTATAGCGGTCAGTAGGTTTCCGGTATAGGGTATTTATGTGACCATCACTTATTTGCATTGTAGTGTCCAGGAAGTGGATCTCTTGTGTGGACTGGTCCAGGCTGAGGTTGATGGTGGGGTGGAAATTGTTGAAATCCAGGTGGAATTCTTCAAGGGCCTCCTTCCCGTGGGTCCATATGATGAAGATGTCATCAATGTAATGCACTTAGAGGAGGGGCATTAGGGGACGAGAGCTGAGGAAGCGTTGTTCTAAGTCAGCCATAAAAATGTTGGCATACTGTGGGGCCATGCGGGTAGCCTTAGCATTGCCACTGACTTGAAGGTATAAGTTGTCCCCGAATCTGAAATGGTTGTGAGTGAGGACAAAGTCACCAAACTCAGCCACTAGGTGGGCCGTGGCCTCATCAGGGCTACTGTTTTTGACAGCTTGTAGTCTATCCTCATGGGGAATATTGATATAAAGAGCTTCTACATCTATGGTGGCCAGGATGGTGTTTTCAAGAAGATCACCGATGCACTGTAGTTTCCTCAGAAAGTCGGTGGTGTCTCGAAGATAGCTGGGCGTGCCGGTAGCGTAGGGCCTGAGGGAACGACCTGGCATGACCCTGAATATCAGCCTGGTGCTCTCCAGTGGCACCATGACCCTCACCCCAGCAGTAAAGGGAACAAATACAGCCCCCTCTGCTCCCCCAGTCCTGCTCCACCCCTGGCACTTCCCCCTGGCTCCTGCCCCAGCCCCCCCCCGGCACTTCTCATCCCCCTGAGCCCGCCCCCACCCCATGTCCTCGGCACACCCCTTGGCCCCTCCTACTTACTCCCGGCCCCTTCCCTTCCCGTCCCTCTGGCCCCGCCCCAATCTCTCCGTGCCAGCGGCTGAGTTCGCTCCCCCTCCGATGGGGGCGGAGTCTCTGCCTCCTGCGCGTCACTGGCTTCCAGGCCCCACCCCCGGGCGCTTGCTGATGACCTCTCGCACTCTCCCTGCCGAGTCCGAGGAGGTGTCAGTAGGCGGTTACGTCATCAGGAACGCGACAGTTTCTGGGGCGGCGGCGGCGGCAGTAGGAGCGCGGCGCGTGCGAGAGTTGCCCGCACGTGCCGCGGCCGGAGCCATGAGCTGCCCCGTGACTTGCGCCGCCTGGGTGCGCAGGGGGGTTGCCAGGGAAACGCCCGACAAGGTGAGAACCCGCGAGCCGGGGAACGCGCCTCTTCCCTGACCCCCCCCCCCACCCGCGCGCGGGCCGGCGGCCGCCTCGGAGCTGCCCGCGGGCCGCCCCTGGGGCAGGGCCACGGTCCGTCCCCGCGGCGCGCCGGGCTGAGCGGACCCGTCCGGGGCTGAGCGGGGCCCTGCGCTCCCCGGCCGCTCGGTCTCAGCGCCTTTCCCCTTCTAGGTGCGGCTCAGCGCGGAGGAGCTGAAGCGGCTCGTCGGGGAGGCCGCGGAGACGCTGCGGTGAGTGTCCGCCTTCCCGGGGGGGATCCCTCCGTGTGCCCCGGGGCAGAGCCTGCCCTACCAGGCAGGGGCGGATCAGGGCGCCCGGGATACGTCTCGGTGTACAGCAGCATGGGCCCAGCCCCGCCGCCGTCCCCACTGAAACCCCCTGGCCTGGAGGTGCTTTAACCCCGGGCTGGCTGGGGAAGAGGGATTGGAGCCCAGGGTCTGCCCTAACTGCGTGTGGCTGGACCCTGCCCGCCGGCAGTGAGGACTCCGGCAAAACGCACTGAGTCCCTGCCACCCTTCTAGCACTTGCCTGTAAGTCTCCTTGAGCAACAGACACGTTGTCCCATAGTTCATTGGGAAAGAATCCCAGAGCATCTCAGCACAACAACAGCGGGATGTGTGCCCCCTCCCTCCCCCCGACACACAGGGGTGAAATCTGGGTGTCTGTCCCCCAGTTTAACTGTGCAGTGTCCGCATGGCCTTGAGCAAGCTGTGTGTGAGTTTTGAGGCTGGGGAATGGGGAGATTAGTCATCTGTACTTGCCCATTGATAGGGAGTGTTGTCAGCTCTTGCAATTACACAAGTGTCTCAACTTTCATGTTAAAAAAGAGTGAGTGTCTGGCCCTGCTGATTGTGGAGCAACGCTTGAAAATGTGACCTCCGCTCCCACTCTCCCCTGACTCAAAAAACAGAAGACAAATACAAGGAATCTCATACTTATTTGTAATAACATGATTTTTAAACCCATCTCTTGATTTTTGGCTGTCTGATTCAAGATTTTTGAATGTTTGGAAGAGCCAATACTGCAGACCTGAAAAAACAGTTGATGTTAAATAAAGAATACCTATATACCAGAGGTGGGCAAACCACGGCCTGCAGGCCACATCTGGCTCGTGGGACTGTCCTGCCCAGCCCTTGAACTCCTGGCCCCTCCCCCACTGTTTCCCCTTCCCCCACAGTTACGCCACCGCACAAGACTACAATCTCCTGCCGCTCTGAGTGGCATGGTAAGGGGGCAGCAGTGGGGGTTGAGTAGGGAATCCTGGGGGGCAGTCAGGGGAAAGGGAGCAGGGGGCGGGGAACGGGGGGGTTGGATAGGGGGTGGGAGTCCTGGGGGGCCTGTCAGGGGGTGGGGGTGTGGATAGGGGTCGGAGCAGTCAGGGAACGGGGGGGGTTGGATGGGGATGGGGTGCTGGGGGGACGGTTAGGTGCAGGGGGTCCCGGGAGGGGGCAGTTAGGGGACAATGAGTGGGGGGACGGGGGTTGGATGGATCCAAGGTTCTGAGGGGGGCAGTCAGGGGGCGGGAAGTGGGTGGGGTGGATAGAGGGCAGGGGCCAGGCTGTTTGGGGGGCACAGCCTTCCCTACCCGGCCCTCCATACCGTTTCGCAACCCCAGTGTGGGCCTCGGGCCAAAAAGTTTGCCCACCCCTGCTATATACATTCACTGAGAAATAGCACACCACTCATTTTACCTAGGTGGAGGGTAACAGTGTTTATTTGTTAGAAATGATCTTCTGGTCCCCAATGCCACTGGGGCTCTGCATTGGTGCAGTGGTCTGCCAGGACAGATCTGATTGCGGGGCCCGAGTACCATGAATTCCATGTGCATTCTGGTGAATATTGTCAGCTCCCCTCCACCTGATCTCAGCTTTCATTTTTTAAAAGTCTACCCTTTTCTTTACAAAGAGAGCTTTCAAAATATTAAGCAATTACCATACTTGTAAGTTCTAATGGCTGTCCCTAAAAATCACAAATGTTATTTCTTTATTTCTGGTCTTTTAGAAGTGTAACCTTTAAGAGTTGCTTCCTCCCCCCTTGACTTTATAATTCTACTGCTGTTACCAGTAGCTTTGCACATATAAATGTAAACTGCATGCAACTTTCTCTTATGGATTCTCTCCCCCATCCCCATTTGAAAAGTATGCAATGCAAGATTTGAGGAGCCTTTTGTTGATAATTATGCATTTTGTTAAAATTCATTGTGGAAGCTTAGAGAATCACATCTAACAACTAAAAACGTACTTTGTAGAGTTCATTAGAACTCCAGTCATTTTATTTCTGTACAAAGATCACAAGTCAGATTTAAATTTAGAATATGTAATGATCCTGCTACCAATTTTTACTCTTGTTATGGGATAAATGTCATATGAAGGGCAAGTGTTGTTTTATAAAACAAGTGACAAAAATAGCTCTTCAGCAAGCTCTTTCAAAACTGAAAGATCTTTGCATTAGATATAGATTAGATATTAGATCCGATGAAGTGAGCTGTAGCTCACGAAGGCTTATGCTCAAATACATTTGTTAGTCTCTAAGGTGCCACAAGTACTCCTGTTCTTTTTTGTGAATACAGACTAACACAGTTGCTACTCTGAAAGAGTTCTATTATAGACACCCTTGATCTTTGTGCATTGGTGTCAGTGGGAGTTTTGAATGCAGGCATAGTAAATATGCCCACTTGGGAGCAGTCTCTCTTGGAGTTCTGTCCAGTGTTAGTAGTTGGGTGTCCTCCTGCACAGTGTTGTATTAAAAATAAAAATTCAAGAATTGTTACATTGCTCAACCTGCTCCTGTTCAGACCTCTGCATTGTATATGTTGGCAGAATCTGAATCATTGCCTTGGGGAAGGAAGCTTTGTGAAAGTTTAGGGTATTTGGGATAGGTTTTTTTTCCTGTAGCAAATGTGGTGTGAAGCAGGTAAGTCTGCTACAGACACTTAACTAATGAAGCATATGCTTCTTTTGGACAGAAGCAAAAAGAATTGTTGGAGCCACTGGAGTCTTTCAAAGAGTGGGTGGGGCTGGTCATATCAGGCAGGAAGACATTTTTAGCAGCTCCATTTTGGGTGAATGAATCAGGGGATGTGATTTTGTTGTTGGGGATACCGCAGAGGTTACTCTAAAGAAAACAGGCTATAATGAAGGCATAAATGAGAATTTCAGCTTATGGGATATAGAGGGAAGATCAGATCTTCAAATGTGGTGGAAGAAAGAGCAAGATTTGTATATAGGCTGGGGTTGTGTGGAGAACAAAAAAGAGGAATCAAAGATCAAACACACCTATGTGTAAGAGGGAGGATGATAGTGTTGTCACAGTAATGGAAAGGGTAAATGAAGAGGGGTTAGGACACTCAGTTTTAGCTGTTTAAAATTAAGTCGTATTCTATCAGGAAGACATACTAGAGAAAATGTCATTGGTAGGCTGAAATGCAGGTCTAGCTAGGAAGAGACAGGAAAGGAGTGGGAAAATAGATTTGAGAGTCATTGGTATAGAAACAATAGTTGTATTCATGTGAGCAGGTAAGTTAATATTCCAGTGCCAGTCCCCAGAGCAATTTAGTGAAAATGTTCCAAACTCTGAACCGACTCTCACACTGATAATTCAGTGAGTATTTTTTCCTTATACAGAGAAGAAGCAGATGGTAGTGATGAAGAAGAACATGGACAGGCTGCAGAAGACAGCATGGACGTTGCTAGTGGTGAGACAGCTGAGCCTCCTCAAGAAGATGGGGACCAGGAAGAAGACACTGAAAAGCTGAATGATGATGAGCTGGCAGAGTATGGTTTGGATGAATATGATGAAGAGGAGAATACAGGTAATGTCAATCTATTTCTCCTGTCAAAAGTGCAGTGTCAATGAAGAACCAGGTGTTTCTCTTTTAGGTTCGGTTAATGTACTTATTGTGAAACTGTCATATAGCTTTACAGGTTTCCTCAACAAGTGCCTTGAAATTCAAGGTTTGAAAGGCCCACTTGCCCAGACTCAAGTATAAGTTTGGAGAAAGCTGAGTGGAGCTAAGGAATGGAGTAGCTGGAGCTATTGGCCCTGTCCGTGCGGGAAGGGAACAAGGCAGAGAGCTGTGTTGGTAAGGCGGTAGCTCTCTTAGGATATATCTACACAGCCCATGGCAGCAAGCCTCCCAGTCTGGGTCAACAGACTCAGTCTGGCAAGGTTCATGCTATTGCTGTAAAAATAGCTGTGTAGACAGTGCTTTGAAATTGTGGCTCTGGCTCTGATGCCTAGGGAGCGGGGTGGGTATCAGAGCCCAAGCCGCAACTTCAGAGCGCTCTCTATACAACTATTTTTAGAGTTCAGAGGAACAGCCGTGTTAGTCTGTATTCGCAAAAAGAAAAGGAGTACTTGTGGCACCTTAGAGACTAACCAATTTATTTGAGCATGAGCTTTCGTGAGCTACAGCTCACTTCATCAGATGTCTGCTGCAGTTTCCACGGTAAACATCTGATGAAGTGAGCTGTAGCTCACGAAAGCTCATGCTCAAATAAATTGGTTAGTCTCTAAGGTGCCACAAGTACTCCTTTTATTTTTAGAGTGTTAGTGTGAGCCCCAAATCTGTTGACCCAGGCTGAGAAGCTGGCTGCTGCAGGCTATGTAGACATACCCTGATTTGGAATAGCAGCTCCCCTTACTGCAGTTCCAGTGCAGAGCAGCTGCACCGTCTTTGAGCATGTTTCTACCAACAATACAGATTTATCAGGGAGTTCCTGTTGCTTTGGTTTGGAACCTGTACTTCTCTCTCAATTCATTCTTAAGTTTTTGAAACAATGTCCTGCTCTTATATTGAAAGAAATGCTTCATTATAGCTACAAGTGCAGGAGTTCCTAGTCTGATAGCTCTATCACAAGCATGGAAAAAAGGGTTGTGTTGTCTCATATATTCAGTGATCACAACTCCATTTATTCCAGGGGTGGCCAACCTATGCCTGAGAAGGAGCCAGAATTTACCAATGTACATTGCTAAAGAGCCACAGTAATATGTCCTCAGACACAAGCAAACACCCCGCCACCCTCCCCCACTTCCAGCGCCTCCCACCCACTGGCAGGCCTGCCGATCAGCTGTTTCACGGCATGCAGGAGGCTCTGGGGGGGAGGAGCGAGGGCATGGCAGGCTATGGGGAGGGGGCGGGAAGGGCTGGACTGGGGGGCGGGGCCTGTGGCAGAGCCAGGGGCTGAGTAGTGAGCACCCCCGCCCCCCCCCCCCCCCGGCACATTGGAAAGTTGGCACCTGAAGCTCCAGCCCTGGAGTCAGTGCCTATACAAGGAGCTGCATATTAACTTCTGAAGAGCCGCATGTGGCTCTGGAGCCACAGGTTGGTCACCCCTGATTTATTCATTTAAAAAAAAAAATCTTCCCTTCCTCTGAAAAAAGCCACTGTTGTGCTTTAACTAATAAATGGTATGTTTGGTCCAAATATTTTTGTTGCTTTATTGTCTTGAGAAGGAAAGTGGCTGCCACTAACTGGGCTGTCCTTTTATTTGTCTATATATAAAATACACCCAGAAGAGGAAATATTTAAGTGCATGTGTTATATAAATTCTCCTCTCCATAGTCACTTGCCAAAAGTTCACTACTGTGCAGTTTTTTAATTTGATTTTTTTTTTTATAATTAGTGCCCCATTGTAACGATGCTAGTTCTCCTGGGACCCAACTGAGAGTGCCAATTCAGGATGAATTGCTTAAAGCAGGGCAGTTACAGCCCAAGGCTGGGGTTTTTCCACCTCTAAGGCAAACCAAACCAGCCAGCCAGAGAGGACTTTGGTTTTAGCCCATTGGCTAACCACAAGTTACACAAGTTTTCCAGTATCACCACCAGTGCCACTCATTATGGGGACAAATGCTTATGAAAACCAATACCCCAGTAAAAGAAAAAAGGCTCTCTCGATCCCAAAGGACCAAGCCCCAGACGCAGGTCAATATACAAATCAGATCTTACCCTCAAATCACGCTGTTGCCAATCCTTTAGAATCTAAAATCTAAAGGTTCATTCATAAAAGGAAAAAGATAAATGAGAGCTAGAATTGGTTAAATGGAATCTATTACACACAGTCATGGCAAAGTTACTAGTTCAGGCTTGTAGCAGTGATGGAATAAACTACGGGTTCAAATCAAGCCTCTGGAGTACATCCACAGCTGGGATGGGTCATCAGTCCTTTGTTCAAAGCTTCAGTGTAGCAAAGTTCCTCCAGAGGTAAGAAGCAGGATTGAAGACCAGATGGAGATGAGGCATCAGCCTTTTATACTCTTTTCCAGGTGTAAGAACACCTCTTTGTTCTTACTGTGGAAAATTACAGCAAAATGGAGTTTGGAGTCACATGGGCAAGTCCCTGCATACTTTGCTGAGTCACAAGGCATATCTGCCTTCTCTCAATGGGTCAGTTATTAAGGACCATCAGCTACACGAGCCATCAAGCGGGCTAGGCAGAGCTGACACCAACTTCTCTGGGGTGTCACCCAGAAGCATAGCATAAGTTTGAAATACAGACAGTATGGAGCCAGATTCATAACTTTAACTACAAAAATGATACACACATATAGACATCATAATCATAACCAGCAAACCATAATCTTGTCTTAGACACCTTACTTGACTCCCTTTATACAAGATTTGGTGCCCCTACTGGACCTTGGTTGCACAATGATCTATACGGTCCCAGATTACGTCAATAACGTCACATCCATAATTGTTGTTAATTGTGATATACTGAAATTTTCATTATAGATGCTGTGAGCCTTGGAGACACCTTAGCCAGTCTTACGGTATATGGGAGTAACGAACGTGATCCTTACGTCACTATTAAAGATACTGTAAGTTTTTTTTAAATCTTTTGCGGTCTTTCAAGGTTTAGGCATCTTAAATAGCATAAACTAAATATTACATACAATTTTCACAAGTGGATACGGGACTTAGGCTTCTAGATGCCTAAGGCCTTGCCTACATTACAGACTTTGGTTGACACAAATTAAATTGTCATGAAGCCCCCCAAGTTATATTGCTTGTGTGCGTGTATACTTGGCTGCTTGCATCAGCTCAGAGCATACTCAACAGGAGTGCTTGTGTTGATGTAAAGCGTGGTGCACCATGCTTTGCAATCCTAATGTGCTGCTGTCTGACACAGTGCCTTCTGGGAAGTTTTTGCAGTATGTAGTGAGATAAAATGACTTGCCCAGGGGTCTTTGGGAACTAGGGGTCATGCATACGAGCAATATAATAACTTGAATGGCTTTATGCCAATATGCAGCTTCCCTCATCCATATGTCATAATTTTTGCACCTTTTTAAAAATACCACAAACCTGCATAGCACTTTTTGCTATCTGTCGTCTCTTGACAGAAGCAGTAAGCCTGCACAGCTCTGCATTGGTCTCATGAACATTGCAAATACAGGATGCATGATCCTCCAGTATTTGCAGACCCATAGGAAGAACCATAGTGATGGAGGATGTGACTTTTTCTTTGAGGACATATTGTTAAGGACTTAGCAAAAAACAACTCAGAGTTGTTCATGGTGTTCACGGAGCAGCTACAGACTCCGGAGCCCCACTTCTGGGCCTGGGAAACAAGCACTGACTGATGGGATGACATCATAATGCAGGTTTGGGATGACGAGCGGTGTCTGCTGAATTTTGGATATGAAAGGTGGCGTTCCTGGATTGGCATCCCGTGCTCAGCCCAGCCCTCCAGCACATGGACACCAAAATGAGAGCTGCACTGATAGTTGAGAAGCAAGTGGTGATCACACTCTTGAAGCTTGCAATGCCAGATTGCTACCAGTCAGTGTGAAATCATTTTGGAATTGGAAAATCCATGGTAGGGGCCATTGTCATGCAAGATAATTCTATGAAGTGTGTAGGATTATTAATTGTCAGGACTGTGATTCTTGTCAATGTGCACTACATTGTGGATAGATCTGCAGTAATGGAGTTCTCTAATTGCAGTGGGGCAATAGGATGCTTCATCAGTATCAATGTGGGCTGGTCAGGGAATGTGCATGAGGCTCGTATCTTTAAGAACACAGGACTGTTCAGAAAGCTGCAAGCAGGAATATTCTTTTCCAACAGGTGGATTATCACTGGTGATATTGGAATACTGTAGGGATCCTGAGGGACCAGGCCTACCCCTTTCTTTCTGGCTTATGAGGCCATACACTGGCTAACTCCACAGCACCGAGGAAAGATTCAACTACCACCTCAGCAGGTGCAGAATGACAATTGACTGTGCTTGCGGTAGATTGAAGGGACGCTGGCAGTGTTTACTCACAAGACTGGATCTCAGTGAGAAAATCATCTCAATGGTTATAGCTGCCTGCTGTACACTAGATATCTTCCCTAGTACTCTTCTTTCTCCTCTTCAGAGTCAGGCATTCCAGGGATGTAGAGGGGGCACCCTTCAAGGCTGCAACAGCAGCAGCTGTCAATAAAACAGACAGCTGTATCATTGGATTTATAGCCACAGTGGAAAGTGACGGATAAGTTTCAAAACTTCCTTCCCTTATTTTCATAAATCTTTTTAATAAGACATGCTTATTGACACTTCAGCTTTGGAGTGCCTCTGCACAGCACTGCTCTTCAGCCCGAGCCATAGTGTGTATGGCCTGCCAGGAGCGAGGATGGGAAAGCAGAAGGGAATTAGGATTTTTTGGTTGTATGAAACAATATTTTGGTCCTTATTTCCATGAGTATAGGGCAATGGCACTGAAGATTGGTACTATTTTCTCCAGGCAGTGTTGATTTTAGCTGATGTCTCACTCCTGAAGGTAACAAAGGCACAGAATACAGCTGCTGCTGGCATTCTGAAGCTGCCTGCCACTAGCTTGTTGGCTGCAATGGTGCCAGGTGAGCTCGTCACAGAATGGCATGGGAAAGTGTCCGACTGCAGAGGAAGAAATAAGGCTGCTGCTCTAGAAACCTTCAGAAGTGGATTGCAGAGGACCTCCATAAAAATTTCATTGAGATTTCTCGGGAGGATACAAGGGACATCCCTGTAGGGGACCTGCTCTGCATGCCCTCCCCATACCAAATCCTTCAAGGGAATGAAAAGCTGATAGCAACTCTACCTCTGTTTTACTGCTACCTATACTTGTATGAGTAAAACAATGAAAAGTCTAAACCTATTTCTTGTTAACTTGGGGATGGGACGGGTGTCATGTTTACATTTAAACACTAAAAAAAAATGCATGAACGCACTTAAGCAAGGTTCCTTCCCCTTCATCGGTGTTACCAGCTTTGCCCGTTACTTTGGGGTATGCTCATTTATTAGGGTTACTCTTCTGGGAGTGGGGGTGCGTCTGTAATTCTATTAATGTACCGCTTGTGTCACTTGTGTTTTCATATGAAGCTCTACTCCTCCCTTCTGCAAGTCCCGTCCCAATGGAACTATCTTGCAGGACTTAGGCTCCCCGGGGCTGGGTTCCTCCAGCCCCAGAATCAGATGAACACACACATTAACAGAGCACGTCTGAGCAGGCTGGGTCAAACAGCACTTCCAAGCTGCCACCCTCATATGTCACAGGTTCAGCACGTCCCTATCCCCACTTTCACGTTACAATTGTACTGGTAGTAACCCACTTGATGAGCAAACCCCACAGTATTTTTGGGCGCTACAGGGATCTTTACCTTAGGTAAGAGAAGCGTTGCTGCAGGGTAAATGGGGAAGCTAAAAGCAGAAGAGTAAAGTTCAGAGAGAGAGAGGGAAGCAACCAGCTTAACCATAAACGTTATTTATTGAATAATAGTGATAACTACACAAGGAGAGCCTAAACCAACATAACAGTTACATTATTAAAGGTTATAAAAGTCATATATAGAAAATTACACCTGATCAAACAAGTCAGGGTTAGAAAGTTATACCTGAGGTAGAAAAGAAAACAGAGAGAGAGGGATCTCCCCAATCCATGAAGCTTGAACTGGTCGGGGTTCTCAGGTGATGGTGGTAGCTCAGGGTCCTGAGTGCTGGAGACAGGCAGAGCCCCCAGCACGATCAGTCAGGAGAAGATATAATTCCAGTGGAACTGATGTAGAGTTTGGCTCCATGCATCAGAACATACTTGAGCGTGGGTAGGGGTTTCTTGTAGGGAAACAAGAATGGTTCAAGGGAAAACACTAGATTTGTTTATGGGTAAACTGATGACTCAAGGGTTTTCTTTAGGCTAGACAAGTAAGGGCTGACCACTCCTAGCTATGGGTGGTGTTCCTTCAGGGAGCTCACAATGCAATTAGGCTGCTTCAGTATTTTGGATATCGATCAAAGATTTATTACTAGAATTGGTCTGATAACTGCTGAGTTGGGTGTGTGCGGGTGTAGGTTCATTAACATCTGGAGCTGAGATTCCCCCAGGATGCAGTGTTTCCCTGCTTCTGTGGTTGCAGAGTTCAGTGCAGTTCTTGCCTTGGAATCTCCTTTCTCCATTCTGTATGCTAATGGAGATGCCTCCCTGTACCATCTTTGATGCAGATGAGGCTAGGGGAGTTGCCATAAGCCTATCACCCTTGTCAGGAGGGGTCTAGGTGTGTCTCCCGCCGCCTTTTAATGTGCTCTGCAAGTCTTTTCTCTGTTCAGTTTTGGTTCAAGCAAAGGCTTGGGTGGGGGTAGGGGGGGTCCTTCAAGAGTCAAACAGGCTGGATACTGTGCCCTGGTTCCCCAAGAACACAGAGCTGACTGGTATCATCGGGCTCATCCATCCTTGGTTGGCATGACCAGCTGGACTCCCCTCCTGCCCCTCCATGTCCTTCTCCTCTCTGTTCACAGCAGGGTTCTCTGCCTTGGTCTGTATGGTGCCAGTGGGGTCTCTACAAAGTATGGCATGCAGCTTGTAAAAGCTGCAGGTCTGTAGCTCAGCACCATATTGATTGTTAGCCTCCCTCTCCTTGTGGTATGTCTGCTGCAGTTCCTTCGTTTTCACAAGGCACTGCCACTGATCTCTGTCATACCCCTTCACCTAAAACCATGTGCGACCTTTTCATGGATGTCCATGATTCTGTGCTGGTCCATAGCTGTGTTTGCACAGCCTCTTCTCACGCAGGCCCAGGAGATCCAATATTTGCTGTCTACTCCGACAGGTGTCTGTCTAGAGCATGCAGATGGCTTGGTCAGTTGCAGACAAGGGGATACTGCTAAGTGTTCGTGGTAAGCTCGGCTATCAGGAAAAGGCATTTAAAAAATGTGCAGTATTTTAAGGAGGGAGTTGGCTTCTGGTCTCTGTGACCCCTGTAGAGTGGAGTTAACAATTGTGACTAGAGCAGTCATTGTCTGGCATTGTGAGACAGCGGGTGGAGATCTGTTAGGATTGTCACAGGTCACACAGCATCTGCACTTGCTCCGTGTCGACCTTTGCAGCTCAACGCCATCCAAAGAAGTGGTTCTACTGCATCACCTTAACAGGGTGCTTACATCATGTGGGGACTAATTTAGGTGTAGACGCACACACAAATAGGTTGACACAAGGCCACTTACTTTGACCTAACTTTCTAGTGTAGACCAGGTCTTTAGTCACATTTGAAAATAGGTCACGTAGGCACTTTTGAAAATTTTACCAGTTGTTGTCAGTGTTCCCTCTAATTTTTCCCACCCATGTGCAGAATTAATTTTTTGTTATGTGCACCAATATAGAGGTGATGTGTGAGACATAACCTCCATATTGGTGCACATAACAAAATTAATGTGGCAGGGTGGGGCTGAGGGGTTCGGAGCGTGGGAGGGGGCTCGGGGCTGGGGCAGAAGGATTGGGTGCTGGGGGGGTTAGGGCTCTGGGGTGGGGCTGGGGATGAGGGGTTTGGGGTGTGGAGGGTGAGGGCCCTGGTTGCGGGTGCGGGCTCTGGAGTGGGGCCGGGGATGAGGGGCCCAGGGCTGGACCAGAGGGTTGAGGCTGGGGGGGGGAGAGTTCCGGCTGGGGGTACGGGCTCTGGGTCGGGAATGAGGGGTTTAGGGCTGGGCCAAGAGGGTTGGGTTGCAGGGTGGTGAGGTCTCCGCTGGGGGTACAGGCTCTAGGGTGGGGCTGGGGATGAGAGGTTTGGGGTGCAGTGGGACTCTCCGGGGCTACGGTGGGGAGAGAGGGATCTTCCACCTCCCCCCAGCCCTCCCAACTCTCTCTTCCCCGCAGCAGCACCTGGGCTGGCAGGGAGAGGCTCCCCTCCCCCGGCTGCGGCAGGGCTGGGCTCGGGGAGGGGACATCTCTTTCCGCCGCAGCCCTGGGCGCCTGCGCGGTGCTTAATAGGCAGCTGCGTGGCCGTGCAACTCGGAGGGAACTTAGGTTGTTGTGTCTGATCAGTTTGATCACTCTTATTGCTGGCCGGTTAATTTATTTTTCTCCATAATTGTAACTGCAACATTTTGGGAAGTCATTCAATTTGAAAATATGCATGTCTTTATTTTTTTAACATAGCACTGAAAGGAACACGGCTGATTTGGGGCTTTTCTAAACAGGGACACTCAAAGTTAAGTCAAATTAATTAAAGGTGTGAAGTAAAAACACATTACAGGGCATTAAACCCGTGTATGGATACTCTCATTCAGAAGTAAAGTGGCCATAGTTTTCTGTAGCTGAATCCCAAAGGGATTTCACTAATGTGCTTTCATTTCACACCTTTAGTTAATTCAATTTAACTTTCTTCTGAGTATTGTGTGTAGGCATGCCCATTTAGAAATTACATATCTGAACATTTCTTAGCCGTCATTGTTACAAATAACAGCAGTTGTACACTTTAATCCAGTCAGAGTAGTTTCCAAAATTTTGGAAAAAACAGTTAGAGTAGGCTAATAATTTAAAGAGGGCTTGTTAAACTATATAGAAGTTCAGGGTGTGCAGGCCAGGTAGGAATGATACTGATGTGTGGGGGAATAGGAACTGAAGAGCTGGTGATTTTGGGGGGTGGGGGTCTGGAAAGATTTTGGGCAGCAGATTGTATTGTGTTAGGGGTACTTCTCAGGAGGTGATTTCATTTTCAATACTGACACACTCTATTGAATCCATCTAGGCCCACATAATCGTTCCCTCAACTCATTTGATTGTCTAGTCTCACTGCTGTGACACTTCCCCTCTCCCCTTCACCTTGTAGGATGGCCTCAAGGGCTTGGCTACCTGACCTTTTTCAGTTAGTGGTAAGAATTAATATTCTGTGCTTCAGAAAATTTTAAATTTTTTTTAACACTTTAAGTTTTCTCCCTCCCTTGGCCCTTAGGAGCAATATGAACAGGAAGATTTTTTGATTAAGCCCAGTGACAATCTGATCATTTGTGGAAGAGTTGATAAGGACCACTGCAGTCTAGAGGTTCACCGTGAGTAAACAATATTTGGTCATAAAAGCGGGCCTAGAAAATACTCTGCTTATCCAGTCTGATCCCTATGGCTTTGCAGGACTGCTCCCTCTGTTGTTCTTCATTTATCCTGGCTTTTGGCTAGATGGTGGCATCTGGCACAACTACATTTCTTGTGCTCTTACCTCTGTAAAATAACTGTTTAACAAACACTAATGAACCCTGACCTGTATAAATATACTGAGAACCTGTACAGTGAAACATCAGCCCATCAATAATACTCTATCATTCTTATTTTATAAATACACGTAGGCAACAAGTGTCTCTTATATACCAGATGTTTTAAAATAGTCTCACGAATACAAATGAAGATGATGTAGGTGTGCAAGGCATAAACTGAATCAGTGTGTACTTGATGTAGATAAGTACATCATTCTTCGGTCTGTTGAATTTGTCACCTAAAGTAAATGTTCTGTGATGCCTAACGTTATATAGAGAGGCTGTGGCTCTATGTTAGAAACTGACAGCATCACAAATCTAGCTTCCAGACATTATCTCTACATTGGGAATATTAATATTTGCTCCATCTGACTGTGGGAATGTACTATGTAGAGTGGCTTATTTTTCTCTCCACTGACATAAGTGTTTTTCAAATTCTCTATTTCAGTTTATAATCATGAAGAGGACTCATTTTATGTACACCATGATATTCTCTTACCTGCATACCCTCTAAGTGTGGAGTGGCTTAACTTCGATCCTAATCCGGATGAATCTCCAGGTAATAAATGTCTTGAGGGTGCCAAAAGAGATCATAGCTGTCTAACAATAGCAATTTTTGAATATGAACTGCATAATTAACTTAAAATGCTGTGACTGAATAATGATCTCCTGCAGCAATATTAACACAGAAGCAAAGCCAAGACATGGGAGGAAAAATTAAACATGGTGGTGAATGTAACAGGGGGTGCTCACCTCGAGTACCTCCTAGGGGCAGGGTGTGATACTGCAATCTTTGTCTCTGCTCATTGCACCCCCTGTAGGTTGCCGACCTTGCAAGATGAGTCTTCAGTGGCTCAGCCCTCCAGCCAAGTTGCACAGTTGAAAAATGAACCCCTTCTGGGGTAGCAAATAGTGCACCAAACTGTCTCCTCTCACCAGGGTCTTCAGCCCGGTTTCTGAGCCCTTTAAATCTGGCCCTCTGTTCGGGCTTCTGAAGGAGTCTTGTCCCCCTTTTGGGCTTAGGGCCCCTTTGCCAGTGGGGGAACCTGGGCCTGCCCACTACTCCAGGTTCCAGCCAAGGAGTCCTATAAACAGTGACATATTGCTTCCTTCACTTAGTTGCTGCTGCATTCCCTGGGGCTCTTCCTACCTGGTCCCTTTACTTTCACCTATTACCTTAGAGTTAAAGTTCTCAGGTATAAAGGTCTCTCTCCCAGGTCCAGTAAATGCAGCCCATCAAGCTCCTTTCTCCAGAGAGGAGCACCCTTGCTCATCTTTCTGGTCCCAGCCAGGAACTGACCTGCTATGGTCCTGCATCTCCTTTTATCTGAGCCTGCTGGGTTCTGATTGGCTGCTTCCTTCTGGCTTTTCTAGGGAGACCTGGAGGACGCACCTTCACTGCTCCTTTCTGGAGCCGGGTGTAGTTGGACCTCAGTGCTTCCAGCAGGGGGCCACAAAGGGCCGGCCCATCACAGTGAACAATTTTTTTTTAGAGCTGTATGTATCTGCAGGGTTCTTTTAGTAATGTCATTATACCAAATGACTAAACTAAAACACCAATACTAATACCAAAGGCAAACCAAATCTACTAGGCAGACTAAAGGAAAACTTTTCTTTAGACTTCTTGTTTGCAGATGTGTTTGGTTTTGTTCAGAGAAGACATGGCCAACAGAGTCAACCAAATTTATTTTAAAATAACACACTAAAAATTATATTTTATAATTTGGGGGGCTGTACATAATTTTCTTTGCATTTTTATCATTAATTGTACTAAAGGGAGGGTACATGCATAAAAATGTTGGCTCCGAGTACAATTGTATGACAGGATTGCTTGTGTTGGTAGGGGGCAGGGCTCAACAGCCCTGGGGCTCACTTCTGGTTTATGTCCTATGTTCCTAAAGCTCATGCTTCAGGGTTTCAGCCAGCCACTGCTCATGGCAGGGTTGTGAAGGGATTTTTCGCCCCGAGTGTGTTCTGGAAGATTGGGGTTTTTTTAATCTTTTTCCTTTGAAGCCTCAGGGATGACCATGGCATGATCTGGGCTGACATGGTCTGGGCTAGGTCTCTGAGGTGGCATTCTCCATTCATTCATTCATTCATTCTCTCTCTCTCTCTCTCTCAGAGGTGATGGCTGGCTAGTTCTTGCTGACAAACTCAGGGTCTAGCTGATTTAGTCTAGCTTGAGAATTTTATCTCAAGTCAGATTGGTAGTGATGTTGGGGGATTTTCACTGCCTTTGCAGTGCCTGAGTGCACGTCACTTGTAAGGATTATCTGGTCTATCTCACTTAATCGTTTCCCTGCCACTGCAGGGGCATTGCGTATTGGTGCACCTTGATCCCTCCTATTCTGTGCCTGTGGCACATAATAGTCTGATCTCTCTGGGCAGTAATACTTTGGTCTCGTTTCGGATGTTGGGTTTAGCGTGTGGGTGCTGGGTGGTGGTGGCAGCGGCATGTGCTATACAGGAGGTCATACAAGATGATCTAGTGGTCCTTTCTGGCCTTAAACTCTAGAACTCTGCCTTTTTGCAGGCAGTTTCTGCTGATGTATCTTTAAATGGACACTAACCATGTACAACTGGTAAAAAATATGCCATTGAAAGACTCTGGGCACATAGAAGAGGAGTACTTGTGGCACCTTAGAGACTAACCAGTTTATTTGAGCATAAGCTGTAGCTCACGAAAGCTTATGCTCAAATAAATTTGTTAGTCTCTAAGGTGCCACAAGTACTCCTCTTCTTTTTGTGAATACAGACTAACACGGCTGCTACTCTGAAATCTGGGCACATAGGCATTAATTTAAAATAAGTACTGAAATAGACAGCTTGGTTGTATTGCCCTACACTCTTTGCATATATTAATCTAAATCAACACTATAGTTGGCATTTGGGTTTTTTTCTGCAGGAAATTATGTTGCAGTGGGTAACATGACCCCTGTTATTGAGGTCTGGGACCTTGATATAGTGGATTCTCTAGAGCCAGTCTTTTCCCTTGGAAGTAAAAAAGAGAAGAAGAAGAAGAAGAAAAAGGGAAAGAAGGTAAATAATGTGTGTCTGCTGATCTATTTAGATTGTAAAATCTGCAGGCAGGGACCTTTTGTTTGTAAGGTTATGAGCCCAGTAATACACACAGATACTTGCATCTGTGTTTTTTTTTGTTTTGTTTTGTTTTTTAAATTAAAGTGTAAGGTCTGGTTTAGTTACCTCTGCCAAAGACACTGCATCTGAAAGATATTATTTCGGCAGTTCACAGAAACTATAAACATGGCTCTGTCCAAATAGCTGCTAATCTATACATCATCCAGCTCGTGGGCCCACTCTTCTGCGTAATTGAGAAAAGGATTTACTTTTTTACCCCCTCAGACCTTTAGATAGTAAAAAGCCCAGTGGAGTAGGGTAATGATTCTATGTAATTTGCTGCTGAAAAGTTTGGACATATGAGTAATGTTTGCAGTAGCATTTCATTAATTTAAAAATCTAGAAGATCTCTCTCATGGTTACTGGGTTGGGGAGAGAAAAATAGGAGGAGGAAGGATCCTGGAGGGACTCCCATTTACTCAGAACAATGTTCTTTGTAGCTTAACCCTTTCATTTCCTAACTTAAAAAAAAGGTAGGCATTAGGAGGTGGTGAATCAGTGTTGATTGAGGAGAAGGGGGCAGAGTGGGAACTAGAACACTGGGAATGAGCAGGGAGACTGTGGGGACCCAACTGGTGAATGTTTGAATCTGTGCCAGCTGGCGAAAGGGAGTAGCTATTGCTGCATGCTGGCCAGATAAGGGAAGAAAGGGGAGAAGAGGCAAGCTGAGAGGAGGTGTTGCAGAGGCAGCTCTGTACAGAGAGGATTTCAGCAGGTGGGAATATGTTGAATTCTCTCACTGTTCCTAATCTGTGCATATAACAGTACGTTAATGAATAAGAAATACATGATTTCTCCTGGAAGCTGTAACTTTTTTTAAACCTCTTTAAAATGTATTTGTATGCAGAATTCATCTGCAGAAGGGAATCTGGATGGGCATACTGATGCAGTTCTTGACCTTTCATGGAATAAACAAAACAGGTAAAAGAACACTTGAATGATTACATACAGATAACTCTCTAAATTAGTGTACATCTTTTTGTATGAAATATTTACACATACCTATAACTTTATTGCTTAAAGATCAGCTTAACATAATGCAGAAGTTAATCCAGCTGGAAAGTACTTGAACTCTACACAAGTGAAAATTGAGACCATCTCCAAGTTTTTTTTAAGAAGTGTTTTTTGTTTGTTTGTTTTTTGTGATTTGTATTTTTCAAATTTGTACCTAAAACAAAGGTGGCTTTTAGCCATCTCAGCGCTCCTGCAGGCCTGGTGACATTTGGTCCTTGGGACAAATCAAAATTGTCCAAAGGTGGCTCTGATTTGTGCCAAATTCCAATGGACCGGGTGGCTAATGTGCAGGGAAGCCCAGGCCATGCCCTCTTTTTTTTTCCTGGCTCTTCCCCTTGGTGCTGAAGTCAGAAAGCAGGGAGAGGTGATGAAGGAGCTACTATAGCACAGATATAGAATTATGTCTCCATCTCCCTCGGCTTACACTAGGCAGGTGGAGTCCTCTGTTGCTTGGCTACACCAGCTTTAGGGTTCGCTTCCCACTGCCAGAACAACACACAGTTAACCTGTCAAAAGGGGAGCAGTCAGACCCTTATGCTTAAGAACAACAGCTTCTTTTATTAGTTCTTTGAGTAGTGTCCCTCTTGGGGCTTCACTTCAGGTGCGCATGCGCCTCTTGAGCCCTTGTTTGAAGTTTTTCAGTTAACCGTGTCAATTCGACCTGTGCATGTGTCCTATGCCTCTTCATGCCCAATACTGAGGCTATATAAGGGTGCATGGTTAAACCACCCTCCATTCTGTCTCAGCTGCCTTGGCCTGAGAGGAAGCCTTAGCATGTCCACCTTGAGCGTGCCTCTGCTCTTGCACTATTTCTCTAGTGTTTGAGGGAGTTTTTATAGTTTAGTTATTTAGATAAGTAGTGAGAGGACTGTTTTACTCTTCTTTCTCCTCTAGCAGGGCATGCTTGGCTTGCTAGGTTTCAAATGCTGAGAGGCTATACCTATGAGCGACGGCCACTATATGTGTATCCATTGCTTGGGAGAGTTCCACATCTCCTAGAAGTGCAATGTCTGCTTTGCCCTCGAGTCCAGGATAAGGGAAAACAGACAGATTAAACTCAAACTGCTAAATGATGGAACACTGCCTTTGGCCAGCTTCTGAGTCAGGTCTCTGGACCGATCCAGTGCCCCTTCTACCTTGGCACGGGCTTTCTCTAAGAAAGGGAGGACTTTTTGGAGGATTCAGGGAAGGTTTCCAAAAAGAGGTACTTATGTAAGTCTACCGTGTATGACAAGGACCAAAAAAGACTGGATCTCTTTGGGTGAAAAACCTATTCATTGGCAACCCTGCAATTCAGGATTGCAAATTATCAGGTTGTCATGGCCAAATATAATTTTACAAACTATAACAGATTCATGGCTTTTATTGAACATCTGCCCCAAGAACATAGGGAGCAATTTCAGTCCATCATCTGTGGGCCAATTGGTGGACAGAACTGTTCAAGTATCGTTTGATGCTATGGACGCTGCTGCCAGGTCCATCTCCACAGTGGTGGTTATGCACAGGGCATCATGGTCCCATCTCTCGGGGTTTCTGAGAGACTCCAGAACACCGTGGTGGGCTTCCACTTTGATGCTTGTAAACTGTTCTCTGAAACCACGGATGAGTCTTTGCACACTCTGAAGGACTCTAGGGCTACTTTATGATCACTGGCATATATATAAAAAAATATATAGAAAGAAAGAAAAGGTTTCCTAGGTCATAGAGGTTGCATCCATTCTTAGATTTTTAGGTTCCAGAGATCCACCAGAAAGAGAGAGATTTCAGAGGAAAGAGGGCTGCCCAACCACTCTCCCTGACCACCCAGCCAGTTTCGAATCAGTAGTTTTGTTGGGTTGGTCAAAGGTTCAAATCCTCCAACTAAATTTACTGCAGTGCCCATTAGCCCACCTCCCTGTCTGGAGACTACCTTGCCCATTTCCAACATGCTTGGAGCAGGTCACTACAGACATTTGGGTTGTAGAGGTCATAACATTGGGCTATACCATCCATTTTACGTCACTCCCTCCCTTCCACGCCCCTTCCCTGTTCCTCTTCAGGGATCCCTCTCATGAGCTTTTATTTAGACAAGAAATGAACTCTCTCCTTTGAATAGCAGAGTAGAGCTAGTTCCTCCTCCTCACAAGACAAGGGATTTTACTCAAAGTATTTTCTTCTCCAAAAGAGAACGGAGGGTGGAGACCGATCTTAAATCTAAAACGTCTAAAGAAGTTCAGAAATTCAGGATGGTGGCTTGGGCAGCTGTAATCCCTTCATTAGAGAAGGGGGTTTGGTTTCTGGACCTCAACGTGCAAGATGCTTATTTCCACATAGCAATACACCTATCACACAAGAAATATATGTGCTTCATCATTATAGGACAGGATCATTTCCAATACCAAGTTTTTCAGTTTGGTCTTTCCTTGTCCCCCAGAGTGTTCTCCAAAGTCCTGGCAGTGGTGGCTGCTTACCTCCGACAAGAAGCAATCCTAGTCTTCCTGCACCTTAATGACTGGCTACTCAAGGGCCGTTCTTACGAAGCACTGCTATCTTCCTCCCAGACAGCCCTTGCCCTGTTCCAGGAGTTGGGTCTGCAGCTGAATGTAAAAACGTCCACATTAGCCCCAGTACAGAAGACAGTTTATAGGGGCATATTTGGACTTGTTGGCAACCAGAGCCTATCTTCCTTTTGACGGATTCGTAGCCATGTCAGATTTGGTATGGGCAATTCAGGGGAGCCCTTGAATCACAATAAGGAACTGAGTTCAGCTCCTGGAACACATGGCAGTTTGCATCTTCGTGACCGATCACAAAAGGTTACATTTCTGCTGCTTTCAGGGTTGGCTCGGAACAACCTGTTCTCCAGTCAGACGCGCCTTGGACAGACAGGCTATAAGCAAGGAACTCCTTACACTGGTGGAAGGATCAACTCAACATCTGTGCAGGTGTTCCTTTCTATCGCCCAGCCCCATCATGGTTGGGGGGGAGCACACCTCAGTACCGTTGCAACTTAGGACAGATGGACAACTCAAGAAACCAGTCTCCACATCAATATGTCAAAGCTCAGGGCTGTCAGGAACAGTTGCCTTCATATCTTACCCCTCATTGGGGCAAATCAGTCTAGGGTCATGATGGACAATGTATCCTGCATGTTTTTTTATTAACAGGCAGGGAGGAGCGAGATCTTCCTCTCTGTGCACTGAAGCTATGAAACTGGGATTTGTGCATAGCTCATCAGATGCAAATTTCAGCAGTCTACCTCACAGGTATTCAGAACACCACACCTGATATCTTTAGCTCCCATCATAATCCTGTGAGAAGTGTCTGCTGAACACCAAAGTTCTCCATATTATATTCCAAAGATGGGGGCTTCTAGAGTTCCAGAACAGGAAGTGTCCTCTTTTCTGCTCAAGATGGGGTTTGGGCTACCAGTCCTTGGGAGATGCCATTCTTCTTCCTTGTGTTTCCTCCAGCACTACTGATACTAAGAGTGAGGAACAAGATCAGACAGGACAGAGCCAGATTTATCCTTCTAGTAGCAACCTGGCTGACACAAGTTTTGTACCCTTACCTGCTTACCTGTGTCCAACCATCATTCAAGCTCCTGACTGTTCCTCATTTCCTATCACAGGATGTGAGTTGTGTGCTTCATCCCACTCTAGTGGTTCTCTGCCTCATGGCATGGCTCCTGGATGGTTTACGGGGTTAGAATCCTCCTGCTCTACAGAAGTACAGCAGGTCTTACTGAAAGAGATCAACCCACATTACTTACCTGCAGAAATGGAAGAGATTCTTCTATTGGCATTGCTGCCTCCAGCCTGATTTGGTGCCACTTTGTCATCCTGGTTTACATGTTGGATATAAAGAAATTGGGATTATCCATTAGTTCAGTTTAAGTTCCATTTGGCTGCAATATCAACCTTTCATCCTCCAGTAGAAGGATGCTCCATATTTGCTCATCTAGTATTGTCTAGGTGTAGTAAGGGTCTGGAGACTCTCTATCTGCAGATTAGAAACCCTGTCCCAACCTGGGACCTCAACCTGATACTCAGTTACCTTATGAACCTCCATTAGAACCAATGGCAACCTGTTGTCTGTTGCATTTATCTATAAAGATGAACTTCTTAGTAGCTATCATATCAGCCCGTAGCGTTGTGGATGTTGGAGCCCTAATGGCAGATCACCCCCTACCCATACCACTTACGGTGTTCTTTAAGGACAAGGTCTCTTTACATCCATACCCTGAATTCTTGCCTAAGATTCTGTCGGAGCTCTTCCTTAATCAGTCCATTCATCTACCAGTATTTTTGCTGAAGCCACATGGTTCTCCATAGGAATCCTGTTTACACATCCTGTATGTTAGAAGGGCATTAGCTTTCTACTTATATAGAACCCAGTAATAAAGGAAGTCACCTAAGCTCTTCATTTCTTTCACGAATAGATCCACAGGGTTCTCGATTTCTATTCAGACACTGTCGAGGTGGCTATCTGGATGTATTGTCACTTGTTAGGATGCTGCAAGCGTTCATCATCATCATCCCCCCCCAAGGGTGATAGCATGTTCAACCAGATCACAGGCAATAAATAGCTATGGCATTACCGAAGAATGTACCAGTATCTGAAATATGTAGGGCTGCTGCATGGGCTTCAATGCATGGGCTTCAGTGTTTTCAAAACGTTGCGCTCTGATCCCAGCTGTCAGATTCAATGCAGCATTTGGGTCTGCAGTGCTGTTTGCAGCATGGGATTCTATGCTGAAGCTCCCTCCTCCATCAGGGGAAACTGTTTGGAAGCCACCAGAAGTGGAGCAAACATCAGGACACTACTGGAAGAAGAAGATGAGATTACTCACTTTGTGCAGTAACAGCAGTTCTTCAAGATGCCTATCCCTGTGGGTGCTCCATTACCCGCTCTCCTTCCTGTCTGCTTCAGACTGTTCCTTAGGGGGGCGTTTGGGTGGAGAAGGAACTGAGGGCACTTTGCCCGCATACTCTATATAGCCTTGGTATCCAGCACGAGGAGACATAGGGCATGTGCAGGTTGGATGGGCACTACTAACTGAAAATCTCTGATCAAGGGCTCAAGAGGCACATGCGCACCTGAAGTGGAGCACCCCTAGGCACCCGCATCTCAAAGAACCGCAGTTGCTGCACAAGGTGATTAACCCCTTCTTTCTATCACCTAGGTTGTTTTTTCAATAACAATTAGTACAGGATCCTCAGCAAGGGTCTTGTAAATGGATTTTCCATTAGATACGGTATGATCTTTTCCTACTGCTGTTAACTCTCTCTCTGAGGATACACTTGACAGTTCTGCATCCTCGTTTTCAGCAGCTGTCAGCAATCTCCTCTGAAAACTCCTGGTTTTATCCGGATATTACAGATGAAAAAATTCTCCTGTAGATATTCACTGAACATACAAGAAATTATTAGATGTTAATTGGCCACATGTTGTCTACTGCAAAAAGAATGTGTCAGATGACTAATGTGAATGTAAGAAATGATTTAGTGATGGATCAGTGAATGGTACACAGTTTGTGTGCAATCTTTCAGCCTTTATCATGGCTAACACCAGCAGTGTGTAACTAGAAAGTCAATGCCATGATGACTAAAAGCAGCTGGTCTTTGTAGGAGTAATTTGTGTGACCCTGTATAATATTAAGCCCCTGTACGAAGCTGAATAAGTGATTGGCATTCCTGGTTCTGTAGTGTACTGAGTAATATAACCTTGCTGACACCAGTGGATGTTGCAGGAAAAACTAATCCTAAAATGCAAAGGTTGGGTGCAAGTCAAGAACTCAAAGAGCAGTCTTAGTGCAGCATTTTTAATTGCATTTTAAAAAGTAAGACAAGCTATGACAGCTGCCTACAAATCGCTTTCTGGCTGAAGGGTCTCACTGGCATTATTTGTAAAATGTCCTTGTAATCTGCACTGTGACTTTTGTAAATTTCCCCTCTGTGGCGTCGCTTTGGGGGAACAGTGTTTTGGAGGAAAGTCAGATGTCTTTCAGTCAAGACCTTCATTCTAATATGGAAAGCAGGGGAAGGTTTCAGACAGTGTGCTAAATTATAAAATCTAACACCTTTAGACAAATAAGGGTGATTTTTGTTGTGCATTTAATAAATCTCTGACACTGCTGCTTGGGCTTTGTCTGATTAAAGTTCTTATCTCTGTATTTACAGCCCTTACCATCATTAATTTTTAAATATGAAACGAGGGCCCAAATGTAAAAACCATGCAAGTAGCTCTTTTGACTTCAGTAGGATGACTTGTCAGAGTAACAGGTTTCAGAGTAACAGCTGAGTTAGTCTGTATTCGCAAAAAGAAAAGGCGTACTTGTGGCACCTTAGAGACTAACCAATTTATTTGAGCATAAGCTTTCGTGAGCTACAGCTCACTTCATCGGATGCATACTGTGGAAAATACAGAAGATGTTTTTATACACACAGACCGTGAAAAAATGGGTGTTTATCACTACAAAAGGTTTTCTCTCCTCCCACCCCACTCTCCTGCTGGTAATAGCTTATCTAAAGTGATCACTCCTAAATGGCCCACCTTGATTATCATACACGTTGTAAGGAGAGAGTTGCAGGTTCGGACTATTTAGTTAGTGGAGAGTCTGAAGAGGAAAATACTTGCCAAAAATGGGTTTGTTTGTCTCTTAGCTATGTCGATACAATATTCAAATCTATACTATGTAGCTCATATTTAAGAACCCCATCTTAAAATGTCCAGAAAGGAATAAGTCCTCAGATTTCTTAGTCATATCACTGGTACCATATAATTGACAGGAGAATATTTTTAGTTGGGGGCTGGGGGAGAGAAACACAACTGTATGAGCAGTACACTAAAGGTATAGCCCTTCCGTACAATACTAGATTTTCTGTTCAGAAATATGTAACATATTGCCATTAAATACCGAATGTGTTGTTCTTCTGCCAGATTATCTTTTATGCTTGAAGGTTGTAGGCTGTAGACCTGGGCTTACTTGAGATCAGAATCAGTCTGTGTATTTATGACCTAGGGCCACTATTTGTTCACATGTATGTAAATGTCTAAAGCTTTTGCTTTTGTATGTTGTTAGAAATGTGTTAGCAAGTGCCTCAGCTGACAGCACTGTAATTCTGTGGGATATGTCCATGGGTAAACCGGCAGCAAACCTTACTTTACATATGGACAAGGTATGTGGATATTGTTATATTTCTTCTGTTGTAAAATATAGAAAACAAACCGCAACTTATTACATTGAAAGGTTAGTGGCAAACTCTAATGTTGCAAAACTGCTTTGGTTATAACCACCATGTCAAACGTTCATAATTTTCTGAGTGAATCACTTTTGTGGATTACACTATTTAGGCTCTGTCAAAATCTAATTTGTTTTATCCTTTGGAAAGTTAGAGGGAATATTTAACTCAGATTTTTAGGGCGTCTTAAAATGTAACCCCATGACTGTTTTAAGACAAGGAGAAGCCTAAAAGTGCTGTCATAAGTGACAGAAGAATAGACCTGAAAAAATGGGTTAGATCAGGGGTCAGCAACCTTTCAGAAGTGGTGTGCCAAATCCTCATTTATTCACTCTAACTTAAGGTTTCGCATGCCAGTAATACATTTTAATGTTTTTAGAAGGTCTTTTTCTATAAGTCTATAATATATAACGAAACTATTGTTGTAAAGTAAATACGGTTTTTAAAATGTTTAAGAAGCTTCATTTAAAATTAAATTTAAAACGCAGAGCCCCCTGGACTGGCGGCCAGGACCCGGACAGTGTGAGTGCCACTGAAAATCAGCTTGCATGCTGCCTTTGGCACGTGTGCTATAAGTTGCCTACCCCTGGGTTAGATTGTCAATAGTTCCTTTATAGGACAATGAGTAATGGTAACAATGTTTCTAGCCCAGGTGTGTTTTAATTAGGGCTGTCAACTAATCGCAATTAACTCATGCGATTAACTCAAAAAAATTTATCATGATTAATCGCACTGTTAAACAATGGAATACCAATTGAAATTTATTAAATATTTTGCATGTTTTTCTGCATTTTAAAATGTCTTGATTTCTATTACAACACAGAATACAAAGTATACAGTGCTCACTTTATATTATTTTTATTACAAATATTTGCACTGTAAAAATGATAAATGAAAGAAATAGTATTTTTCAGTTCACCTCATACAAGTACTCTTTATCTTTTCTCTTTATCGTGAAAGTGTAATTTATAAATGTAGATTTTTTTTGTTAGATAACTGCACTCAAAAACAAAACAATGTAAAACTTTAGCGCTTACAAGTCCACTCAGTTCTACTTCTTGTTCAGCCAATCGCTAAGCCAAACAAGTTTATGTACATTTACAGGAGATACTGTTGCCTGCTTCTTATTTACGTCATCTGAAAGTGAGAAGAGCCATTCGCATGGCACTATTGTAGCCGGTGTCACCGGTATTTACATGCCAGATATGCTAACCATTCATATGCCCCTTCATGCTTCGGCCATCATTCCAGAGGACATGCTTCCATGCTGATGATGCTTGTTTAAAAAAAATAATGCGTTAATTAAATTTGTGACTGAACTCCTTGGGGGGAGAATTGTATGTCTCCTGTTCTATTTTACCTGCATTCTGTCATATATTTCATATTATAGCAGTCTCGGATGATGACCCAGCATGTTATTCATTTTAAGAACACTTTCACAGCAGATTTGACAAAATGCAAAGAAGGTACCAATGTGAGATTTCTAAAGATAGCTACAGCACTCTACCCAAGGTTTAAGAATCTGAAGTACCTTCCAAAATCTGAGAGGGATGAGGTGCGAGCATGCTTTCAGATGTCTTAAAAGAGCAACACTCAGATGCAAATACTACAGAACTCAAACCACCAAAAAATAAAATCAACCTTTTGCTTGTGGCATCTGACTCAGATGATGAAAATGAACATGTGTTGGTCGAGCAGAACCTGTTGTCAGCATGGACACCTGTCCCCTGGAATGGTGGTTGAAGCACGAAGGGACATACGAATCTTTAGCGCCTCTGGCACATAAATATCTTGCGATACTGGCTACAACAGTGCCATGTGGCCGCCTGCTCTCACTTTCAGGTGACATTGTAAACAAGAAGCGGGCAGCATTATCTCCTGCAAATTGTAACCAAACTTGTTTGTCTGAGCGATTGGCTGAAGCAGGACTGAGTGGACTTGAAGGCTCTAAAGATTTACATTGTTTTGAATGCAGTTTTTTTGTAAATATTTCTGTGTTTGTATTTTCAAACTACAGGTCGCAACCAAGTGCTGGGTCATGGAATGTAAGGCACTGGGTCGTGGTGATTCTGGTCAGTACCGCCGACCAGGCTGTTAAAAGTCCCGTTGGCAGTGCTACCCATCTAAGACAAGCTAGTCTGGGGCACAGCGTAGTGTCAGAACAGGTAGGGAAGTGGCCAGCAGCAGGTCTGCCCCGCTCTGAGCACCAGCTCCTGGCCAATGGGGGTGGAGGGTGGTGCCTGCGGGCGAGAGCCGCACGGAGCCACTTGCGTACCTCCTACCTAGGAGCTGGACCTGCTGCTGGCCGCTTCTGGGGCACAGTGTGGTCTGCAGTGCCAGAACAGGCAGGAAGCCTGGCTTAGCACCCCCACTGCATTGCTGACCGGGAGCTGCCCGAGGGAAGCCCATGGCCCAATCCCCTGCCCCAGACCTGAGCCCCCCCAAACCCAGAGCCCCTTCCTGCACCCCGAACCCCTCATCCTCGGCCCCACCCCAGAGCCTGTACCCCCAGCCCAGAGCCCTGACCCCCTCCTGCACCCCAGCCCTGAGCCCCCTCCCACATCCTGAACCTCTCATTCCTGGCCCCACCCCGCAGCCCTCACACCCCAACCCTCTGCCTCAGCCATGAGCCCCTCCCACACCCTAAATCCCTCATCCCCAGCTCTGTTGCATCACAGGCATCAATAATTTTCTTCAACTGGGTCGCCAGAAAAAAAGTTTGTATTAGGTGAATTGAAAAATACAATTTCTTTTGTTTTTTACAGTGCAAATATTTGTAATAAAAATAAATATAAAGTGAGCACTGTATGCTATGTATTCTGTGTTGTAATTGAAATCAATATATTTGAAAATGTAGAAAGCATCCAAAAATACTTGGTATTCTATTATTGTTTAACAGTGCGATTAATCTTGTTAATTGCTTGACGGCCCTAGTTTTAATATATGGCACCTAGATATTATGATGACAGGTGCTTTAGAAATACTTAGCTCTTTGTAATTAAAATGTGAAAATTATTAATATAATCTCAATCATCTAGTCAACATAGATCACTGCTCTTGGCAAACTTCTCATGTACTTGTTTTTTTTCTTTGCTCCTGCATGCATAGTTATACAGTTGTTTTTGTCCAGCTGGAAGCAGATTTTTTTTACCCACCCCGGCTTATTTTTTGAAGATTTTTGGCAAAAGAGGGAACACCTCTTGTTTCACCTCTGGTGAGGTCCTCTTGGAAATCTAAAATGAATGTCCTCTATCTTGCTAGATGCATACTCTGCTCTATGAAAAGGTCTTGAGTACCAGCAAGTATACCAGAGTTATAGGGAATAGTGCTGTACCTTATCCTACATGACACTGACTGAAACAGGTGTCCTGTATGTATTTTAAATCCCAATGTGTGTTTCTAAAACTTTCAATGTCCTTATTAGGTCCAGACGCTACAATTTCATCCATTTGAAACACAGACCCTTGTTTCTGGATCTTATGATAAGTAAGTGGGGAAATATTTGCTTTTTGCACTATTGTAGGTGGGTCTGGTAGCACCTTCTTGTATTCAGGTTGCTGGATACTTCCTGTTATAAAACCTAATTTTCAATAGCTTATAACTTTTTGCCAAATTTTTAACTGTTTGGGATGAAGTTTTCCATGCCAGGTGTCTGCCTCATGATAATTTTTAATTTATTAATTCCGCCAGAATGCTTTGGCTGCTTCCAGAATTGAGGTTAGGGGAAAATGTTTTCCCCCGTTAAATAAATAAATAAATAAAAATCCTGGCTACATTTTCTTTGTAAAGCTCTAGCAATCCCATGCTTTGGAGCAGGTACTTGAAGTTTGGCAGAAGGTGGTGGCCTTTGTCTCAGGACGGTGTATTTCTTCATTCCCATGAAAAACAGCCTAAATTTGGTCAATTTAGAAGCCTTTGACAAATTGCAGTTCACCCAGGCTCAGTAGAGACTTCTGTGCTCTTACTGTTCCTCTCTCCACTGGGCCTAGGTAGCACAGATGAGGAAGTAGGCTGATTTGAATGAAGAAGGGACACAAACCAGACCTATGGGAGGTGTAGATTAGGTTAACGAGACCTGTGGGAGGTTGGGGGTAGAGGGCTGAGTCTGGGGACTATCAGGGCAAGCAAACTTGGAGCTAGTGGGTTGGAGGGAAGGAGATGTGGTGAGGGGAGAACGGATCTGATGGGGAGCTGGGGTGCAGAGGGAGAACTGGGAATGGCTGGACAAAGGGGCTGGAACAAGTAGCCAGGAGAGGGATATAGGGGAACGTGGGTTGGGGGAGGTGACAGGAGGCATGAGAGTGACAGATTGGCTAAGGAGCCAGGAGGAGTGGAATTGGGAATGGGTGTGGACAGTGGCTGGGATGGTGTATGTGGAATGGTGAGGATAGGGCTTGCTGGGCAAGGTGACTGGGACTAGGCTGAGAAGCCTGAGGAATGGAGATAGGGACTGGAACAGAGACAGAATTGGAATTAGGGACAGGTTGGAGAGGATGGGGCAAAAGGGGTCATGTTTGGGGGAAATGAGCAGAAGTCTGTGCTCCCTAGAGCAGACTTTTTTCTAGAGCTTGAAATGGAACCCAAGATTCCTGAGTGTCAACATTCCTCGTTGGTCAGCAGATATGCTGCAAAGTGTCCCATCCACCTCTAGTGTGGTCCACATAGAGGATGGCAACCTATAATTAGCAGTTACTGTTAGCTCAAGTGGCAGATGTGTCTGCAGTGGAGCTAAGGGTTCCAACCCTGACGATGAGCCATGTCTGTCAGTGCAGTACCACATGATGGAAATTGGGTGGTTTTAGTTCCCTTTTTTTTTTTTTAAACGTAGGAAATTACACAGAACTGCATAAAAAGGCCTTTATTAAAGTTGAAAAGTAAAGCACTCAAAAGTTCAGAAATGCTAGAATGAAGGTTGCCTGTGCAGCCTAAGTTTGGCTCCCCTGTGTGTCTGCATTATGGTGCAGTCTTCAATTATATGATCACAGCTATTTTTTCCACAGGATGCCTGCCTGACTTAGTACTTGAGATGGACCTGATCTGGGAATGAACTGGGGTTTTGTAGTGAAAGAGACTTTTGTCTGTAGGATGCCTGTTTCATTTCTTGCAGAAGTGGAGAGGTGTGTAGTAAATGAAGCAGGGAACTGCAGGAAGAGAAAAGATGGTCTCAGGTCAAATGCTGCCCTGGGGAATGGGATTCTGTCCCTGCGTGAGTTCCTTGTGATCTTGGGCAAGTCACCTAAGCCAGATTTTTCACAGATTGCCACTCACTGTATGTTCCTCATTTTCTGGATTCCAAACTAGAGACCCTAGGGTCTGATTTGCAGAAGTGCTGAGCTTGCCCAGCTGCAATTATAGTCAGTCGGAGCTGTGCTTTGAACTTATTAAGTGCTATATAATGTTAACTACTCTGAAAAATCAGGTTCTGTATGTCTCAAATACAGCACCCAGAATTAGATGGTTTTGATATTAATTTCTCTGTTCCTCACTTCTCCATCTGTAAAACTGGGATAATATCCCTTCACAGAGGTGTTGTGAAGCTAGATTAATGTTTGTGAAGCACTCCAATACTATAGTGATGAGCACTATAGAAAAGCCACTGAGGAGATTCTCTCTTTGGAGCAGGGGTTGAATAGTGTGTGTAGTAAATAAGGCCTGGGGCCACATGCTGCACAGTGAGAAGACAAAATATTGAGTAGTTGCTCGTCCATGTTGTGCACTGCATAAGGCGCAGGGATTCTATGGAAAAAATAGGATGCGATCATGTCATTAAAGACTGTATCCTAATATGTGCTCACAAGAGGGCTGAATTAAGGTGGCACAGGCATTCTGCCATTTCCGACCCTTTCCTCATTTCCTAACTTTTGAGTGCTTGACTTTGTGACCGTAATAATGTTCTTTTAATGTAGTTGTGTGTGTAATATATAAAGGGACAGAAAGTGTTCATAGGGGAATACAGAGATTCCAGCTTTGGTGTATAGTCGCTTCGCTGTTTCTTAGCTATACTTCCTGCGTGTTGTTCTCTGCTTAAATACCAGTCATCCTGTTTCATTTATTTATTTAAGTATTCTCTTAGCAGGTCTTTGTTTCCAAAGCTTGCATTTGGCTACTTCAGAAGGATATACTACCTGTTCTCATATTTGTCTGAGAGGGGAGTAATTTTATCTGATTAGTGGTACCCACCATTATTTCATTCCATAACTACTCTTTCCTGTCAAATTTCTGTTCTAGGTTTTAATGTTTTTCCCTTCACATTGCCACATTTAAAAATGTATCCAAGGCAGTCACACCTTTTCATTTGCTGCATTTAGCTTATCTTAGAAATCTGGTAGAGTCTCTTAAAATATTTAGATGGCCTCTGGGATGGTTTTGAGTCTACTCCTATGCCCAGTTTCCCTTTTTTTGCTAGGGTAGACTTCTCCAAGTCGTCTGCAGCCAGTCCTCCAATGCCATAAGCACCCGTAAACCATTGTACTGATTTCCTTGAAGTATCCTGCGACCTAGAAGTAGTTGAAGGCTTCTGAAGGATGTCTGAGAAAAATGTTTGTTGAAATGAGCTTTCATGACATAAGTCAAGGAAATCTATTAAAAGCTATGCTATAGCAACAAATGTGCTTTTCTGCTGCGGGATGGAAGACATGAGGCTTTCAGATCAGTGTTTGGGCTTTATGTTTTTGTTTTTAAACTACAAGATTATATTGTGGATATTAACTGAGTTGAAGAGGTTTCTGAAGCTATGGTGTCTCTTTCCTCCTTTCAGGGGTGAAAGTAAGCCGGTATGGGCCGGTACGGTGTACGGGTAAAAAGTGTCTGCCGGTACTGCCCCGTACCCAGCTGACTTTAAAGTGCTGCTGTGACTTTAACATCGCTGCCCCTTTTGCTCCCCCGGCGGTGGCGGCGGCCCTGCCGGCTCCCTTAAAGCACCGCTGCGGCAAAGGACCGTGTTTAAAGTGCTGCTGTGACAGCACTTTAATGTCGTTGCCCCTTTTGCCTGCCGTTGGTGGGGGAGGAGGGAAGGAGCAGCTGCCCTGGGGCTGGCAATTTAAAAGGGCCCGGGCCTCCGGCCGCTGCTGCTGCTACCGCAACAGCGTCCGAAGCCCCAGGCCTTTTAAATCGTTGCTGGAGCCCTGGGCGGCGTGGGCCAGGCAGCGTGGAAGGGCCGGCTGGGGGGACGCTAACCCCCAACCCCTCCCCTTCCGCCCGAGGCCCCGGCCCCCGTACCGGTAAGTCTTCGGCTTTACTTTCACCCCTGCCTCCTTTCATTAACATCAAACAACTTTAGCATGTTTGCTGCCACTTGAAGAGTTTCTGCCCCATTGGGCTCAAGTCAAGAATTATCGGAGTCCCACATGAGCCGCTCATTCTCATCATCTCAGCTCTCGCTCATCTTAAATATAGGATGTCCCCAGCCACTTCTAAAGCTTAATGTCCTGTTTAAAGCGTATTTGAAAATACACACAAGATGCATTTTTCATAAATTGATTTCCAAACTAACTGGTTATTTGAAACTAGTAAAATGAAATTATGTATGTTCATATTGAAGTGATATGCTGGTGTATAATTCTGGCCCCTATGCGATAGTATTTCCTGTGTAGTGATTGTATTGGAATTTATCTGCCTCATTTAGTCTCAACAGAATGGCTCTTGTACCCTCGAGAAATACCTTGGTCCGTAATATAAATCCTTTCTACATCTTTAGCATCATCTTTTATTTGCTTTTCAAAAGTCAATCTGAAAACCTAAATGCTTCCTGTGTTTTGAAGCTGCTTTCATTCAAATTCATGAATAAATTAGTGAGAACATTGCTAGGTAATAATGATAAACCAAACTTCATGAAATGTTCTGATGTGATTTCTTCTAGGTCTGCTGTCCTATATGACTGCAGAAGTCCACAGGATAATCATCGAATCTGGCGGTTTAGTGGACAGGTTGAGAGAGTGACTTGGAATCATTTTTCACCTTGTAACTTCCTCGTGAGTATATATTCTATAACCACACGCTTATGGCTGTCAATGGTGCACTTTACCTGCTAATCAAAGATAAGGGTGCAACTGTTCAGTTGTTGTCACTGCTATTTCATGGGCTGAGTTGAGCTACCAGCATTTTCCCCCTTAGGTGTATAGACCTTGATTGATAACCCGCCAATAATTAGTAATGCTGATTACTTATGAATTTGGTATCTTTTTCTCATGAATGCAGTTACACCATCACTCAGCCAATTTGTACTGTTTCTTTATCACCCTGGAGACTTATTTCTGAGCTATGTTTCATTAATTTCTAGTGGTTGAAGTAGATTTTCCTCTGCTGCAGCTCTATTGTCTCACTGATACCCTCTATTGAGATGTTACTTGCTCAGAATTTTTATTTCAAACATTTTAAGTATAGATGAGACCACTTTAATTTAATCCCTTACTTAAGCACTAGAAGGCACTGTCTAACAAGTGTAGCTGGTCAAAAAATATTGGAAATTTTAATGAAAAAACAGGGTTAGACAGGGATTCAGTCTCCACATCCATTCACTTCTTTGCTTACAATCACCAAACGTGACTTGCATTTCATTGCATTTGTGAAGTAATCACCTTTTTGCTAAGACCACCAACTCATTTTACATAGACCAGATCAGATAACTTTTCAGTCACTATTGACCGGGGATTTGAACTGGTAGCCAAGAGGTGAAAGGCTCCATATCCTCTGACATAGTGGGGAACAGCCCAGATCAGTGAGGGGCTGTGTCCCCCTGTCCTGTAACTTGTGGTGCCTTGCGATGCCTTGTCACTGTAGCGTCCAATCTGGACTGCTCACAAACAGCCTTCCAGCATGCAGGTCACTCCCAGATGTGTTTGTGTAACGGCAGCCTGCCAGTCATACTCTGGCTCTCACCAGCCGTGGTGATACTGCAGGGTGATCCCAACACACTGCTACTTCTCCCAGATTTTCCCCCAGAAATGCATGTCTTATACTGCCCAGCCCTCTCCTGGGCAGTCCCAATTATGTTAAGTCCATTATTCCTTTAACAGATAATATACACTAGACTGTTATCTTAAAGAGTTACCCAGGAACTTCAACTTAAACACACTGGATTAAATAAAACAATAAAACAAATTTAGTAACTACAAATAAATTGATTTTAAGTGAGTACAAGTAATGAGGCATAAACGTCAGAAATAGGCACTAGAAAATGTTTTATTTTTCTTGTAACTAACTTCTCAGACTATATTAGATTCAAGTAAAATTTCTCACCGCATGCTTCTAGCAGCTTTACTGACCAAACTCTTTAGATCAGAACCTCTCCCCCACAGTTCCATGGCTGTTTCCTTTGTCTTCTCAGGTGCAGAGAATGAGGTGGGCAGGGAAAAAGAGTGGCGTCTTGGTGTGTTTGCCCCGCCTTTTTTATAGTTCCTGTTTGAAAAGCATTTCCAGCTGAGAACGGGAGACAGGCAGTCTGCTGAAAGAAGGAGACTCCATGCTGTTTCTTTGTTTACATGCAGATCTTAGACCCTGCCTCCCTTCCTTGTCAAAGACTTGTCTGGGAAATGTACTTCAGGCATGATTTTAGCTTATGTTCATAACTTTACCTATAATGTTGCTATATGCACTTTACCTTGATATTACTGATCAGCAAGTTGAGTTTTCAAATACATCACAAGGCATACCTTGTACAAAGATTATTATAATAGTGCGGCGGCTGTGAACACAGGTGTTTTCCATCACATATCCCATTACCTAGTGTTTGAGTCATGCGGCATGTCAGCTGTGCAAGCTATTTAAGTGCAAGCTTAATCAAGCGTAGTTTCTTGTTTAAGAAATGTGTTCTCATCTTGTTCAGGATACTGTAATATAAAGTCTGACTTTGATGGATTTTACAAACTTTAGATTGGATGCTTAATTCTTAGGCTGTTTCTAGTGAATTGATACGGCAATTTCTTTTGACAACGTAATGTTTTCCCCAGGCTAGCACAGAAGATGGCTTTGTGTACTGTCTAGATGCTCGTTCCGATAAGCCACTTTTTACTCTGAAAGCTCATGATGAGGAAGTATCTGGTAAATTTTATATCTTCCTTTTATATGTAAAACGTGCCCATTAATGTGTAGTTGGAATAAGTCTTTTAAATAGTTAAGTAAATATGAACTTGTTTGAGAGAGGCAGTCTTTTGTTTAGCAAAAACCTTAAGTACTAACCATGGTAGCTGGCCATTTAAATGGCCTCTTGGTCGAGTTGTATTTTAAGGGATGTATGTTTTGACCATTGTGCATTTTTCTCATAGAATTGCATGAATAAAAATGTCAAAGCAAATATCACTGGTTTGGGTCACATTCTTGAATGAAGTAGTTTGCACAAAAATATTCCTGCATGAAGAGGATTCTGCAAAAACAAAAGAAACACCATTGATCTTTTTTGTATTTTAGTTTTTTAGATTAATAATCTCTCTCATACTCTGGGCCAGTGATGATTATTACTAACACGTACACACTCTGCAACTGACTCAAAAATGAGCACATAGTCTGGGATAACAAAAAGAAGTGCCTCTCTGATAGTTGAAAGAGGAGGCCATGAGGCTGGACAGTTGTCAGAGAAGCCATGAAGTAAGGAATTAGCAGTTGGAAGGAGAGGATTGAGCAATGATTGCCATCTGAGAGGTCCTGGTTACTGCCAGAGGAGAAAGGGGCACTGAAGGTTTTTCACACCCAGAAGGATCCCTGCTTCTCCCACTAAGTGTGTGTGTGTGGTGGGCGCACAATGTTTCTATTGGTCTCCCAGTCCTTCCTTTAAGGCACATGGAGAATATGAGGTTCTTTTGACTTCCCTTTAAAATGTTACACAGGGAAGAAAAATATGTAACAATTAAATGGTGATTTTAAACTGATCTGTTCTAACTTTTCAGGACTCCAATTAAGCAGTCAGATCAAAGGGTGCCTTGTGACATCATCTGCTGACAAATATGTGAAAATTTGGGATATATTGGGAGACAAACCAAGTCTGATCCATTCCAGGGATATGAAAATGGTAAGTAGCTTATACGTCATTCTAAGAAAGTTTAAGTATAAACCATGATTAATAAAGCTCACTTTTGATTTTAACCAGGCTTCATTGTCTTGTTCTCCTTAACACTTCATATGAATTGGGCATCTTGTCCTGGGTACTGTTAGTACATCACACAATTCAACACATGACTGGCAGCCTCTGCTTTAAAGCCTGGGCCAGAAAAGGCAATTATTTTTTAAAAATCATTCAAAATCAGTTTTGAAGAGGCATAGGAGGGCCTTACATTTGTTTAAGTTGTTCTGTCAAGGTGTGTTAAGGTGACCTTTTTTTGGACATTAAAACAATATTTTTTCCTCTAGGGTGTTCTCTTCTGCGCAGCTTGTTGCCCTGATTTGCCATTTGTCTATGCCTTTGGAGGGGAGAGAGAAGGGCTTCGAGTCTGGGATATAAGCAGTATTTCTGCAGGTAACATAATCTCATTAATCAGAGTTTCAGGGTTCCATTTCTTCTCCCTAATATACTGCATATTCAGTAATACATCAAACGAAGCAACAAGGTGGTTGAGAGAACTGCAGGCTTCCAGTGGGTAATGAGGTGTATCCAGCATCCTGTTACGTTGTTCTGCTGCTAACAGTATGCCACGCGCTTTGGGTAGATTAGTCCCTGTCCTGATGAGGTTTCAGTCTAAGTGGAACAGGTGCCTTGATCTCATGCTTTGAAATATGGCATTGCAGTCTCACAATGAAAGTGTTGGAATCCTGCTTTTTTTTTCTGTTCTTTTCCTTTTTTTTAAAGTGTGAATCTTTAAAAAAAAAAGTTCATTTTGGTTAAGAATTTGAAGTGAAGCCTCCAATGTTTGTTAAAAATTATGTATTTTCTTTCAAGGTGTATACAAAGGTGACATTGGTTTAGCTTATTCTTTTCATTTGTCTAATGTACTGGTTTTTTTTAAATGCTGGCTGCATGGCTGAGGTTGAAGATCTTCAGTTACTTTTTATATTTCGTTTCTAGAACCACTGGCTTTTAATATGCAAAAAAACTTTTGGCTGTGGTTTGCAACAGTTGGACTGGTTTTGTCCGCATGCCCAATTGTATTGTTTTATCGTGTTATAAACGGTAGTGAAGTTGGATCTACCTTTTAAAAGGCATGCAGAAAATCAAATGAAAATCTAAACCCTAAAACCAGAATTAAATTTTAAGCATAACACCTTATGCAAAACTTAGCCTATCTCCAAGTGTGAGTACCACTTAAGATACCACTTAAGTACATAGGAAACAACCTGCCTTTCTCACACTTCTCTTCAGATAGAACAATCACAGACCATTTGCAACATGACCACAGAACAGCAGCCAGCGGCTCTGTGCAGGAGAAGAACCATGCCTTCCTCTTAATGTACTTAGTTAGCATAATTTCTTTGCTTTGAAATATAAAACTTAAACCCTCTTGGTTGAAAAAAAGCTTTCAAGACTCTGTTCGACTAAGTTTAAGGTTCCCATTTCATTACTGTAAACCATGCTCTAGCTGCTGTAGTGATCTTCTCTCCAGGATACTGGCATTTATGTAATCTCTTGCATTGCAGTGAATGAAGTTTTTGGAAGCAGAGAGAGGCTGGTAGCTGCCAATACAAACTCTGCAACTAGCAGCTCCTTTGCCAGCAGTAGCAGCAAAAGTCCAGAAGCAGAAATGGAATCATGACGGATCAAACCTCACACAGATAGTATATAAATGCAAAACATCAAACCAGAGTATACTTTTGGACCTCAGTTAATATGTATTCTGCACCCACTGGTTTGGAAAGTGTTTATGGAAGTGTATCAAGTGTCCTGCAATCTGCAGCTTTTTTTCATCTTATGGGAGGAAAACATGGTCTTGTGGTTAAGAGATAGGAGTCAGAAGTTATGGGTCCCTGCCTCTCACTAACTTGGAAAAGAGGCACCTTACTTTACCTAGCACTGAAATGGGGATTACAAACACACATGTGATGTGCTAACTTCACTTGTAAAGTGATCTATATAATTTGGCAGGAAAGAACTGTGCTACTGTATAGTGTATATAAAGGATTGTAATAAGTATGGATTTCTTTTTAGTTACAAATGAAAACTACTTCAACTGAAAATTGCCCTCGTATTTAAGTCAAGGGCTGAACAAAAACACTTTTAGTGTAAGTAGTCAAACAATGCTTAAGTTCCCCCAGAGTAATCTGAGGATGGACTGTTTAACAAATTTCCAGTATCGCTTTTGAAAGATTAACATCTTATTTTAAATCTCTTAGAACAGTGTTTTTCAACTGGTGGATGGCAACCGCTAGGGGGAGGAAGGTGAAAGGCAATTGAGGGCACTCAAAAGTGAAGCACTGTAAAACTACCATATAAAGAAAATCTCACTCCCTAACCCTTCAACGTCAATTATTCTGTAAACTTCTCAAATTACACAGATTTATTGTTGTGATATTGATACATCCCCCCCCGCCCTCTCCCCCAAGTAAATGGAAGGGGGGTTGTAGAAATCTTTGGCTGTGAATAAAAGGTCACCAACCTGAAATAGTCTTAGAATATGAAACTCATAACCAGCCACAGGCTTTGGCCATTACACAAAGTTATGGGTATTCTTTAAATACAGTATCTTAGACTACTAAACACATGCAACTATCCCACATTCTTATTAAACTGGAGGGAACACAGAGAGGGCTTTTAAACAGTCTCTAATTAGGTTTGCCTAATTATGGCATGGGTTAGGATAGCAGTAGCTAATGGATATGAAGTGTGCATAATGGAAAGCTCTACGTGGTGTGTACTTAATCTTTAAACAACACTGCTTCAGTATGTGCCATTTTAAAATAAGAAAGACACCCCAAAGTAAATCCTGCCAGGATAAAAATAAAAAGGGCGGTTTGTACTTATCCCAGTGCTGGCTGGCTGCCTGGGGTGGCGGACTTGCTGTCCTGTCCCAACCTCTAGCTTGCTGATCAAAGCAGGAACTCTCAGGTTTGTCTGTTCTTGCCATAGCTTGCCCCCCTGTGTGCTTTAGTTCTTCTTGTATACTCCAGAGGAGTACTGATCACTAGATTCTTCCCCCCCCCCCCCCCCCCAGCCAGTCCATCCCTAACCTATAGTCCTGACATTGTTTCATTCTGTCTTGACTCCAGTCTGCTTATTAAAGTATCTTTCTGTCACTTAGGTTTGGCTAGATGGTGGGGTTTTTGGTTGCCAATATCTCACAATAAAGTTTCCGCTTCTGGGATGATGATCTGTGAGAAATTCAGTTTCTGGTTTCTTTTTAAAATGAGGATAGGCTGTGTGGTATTTTGTTTGTTTTTACCAATATACTGACTTATACCAGTATACACCCTAGTGCGGTTGTAATTACACAAAGGTGACACGCAGCTTATTTCCCATGCGAGAATAACTTTGTACATAGGGCAGTTGTACTGCTTTAGCTTTATCAGTATAGATTAAAAACAAACTAGCAAACTTTTATTAAATTCCATACTCCTTGGGCTGGGTCACTGGTGCCTTTTTTTAATTGATGATGTATATTTGAGCCCCCAGGAGTTGAGAAAGTACTGTATTGTCAATTAATACTATTATGTTTTCAGCTAATTGTCTTGTAACTTTTGGAAGGGGGAAAAAAATCAATCAGTAGGTAAAATCTGCTTTTGTTTGTGCACCTAGATTCAGTTAACAAGGGATCTCCTTTTGTACAAGTGAACTTTACTTTCTGCTTTTCAAGGTAGGAAGTGTAGAAGTAGTTAAGTGCCTATTTTCAAAGGCTTTATACTTATGGATAGTCTGTCTTTCATATAATGGAGTGTTTGCTAATCCTATGCTCCTTTAGTGGCGGAGATGCAAATTATGTTTCTCCAAAGCAGTTGTGCTTACTGTAAAAAATACCTGGACTTTTCAGAAACTAAGGGTGTGCTGCACTTCCAGCTTGAATTTATTTTCCAGGTGCTTTTGCCATGTAAACATATGAGCCCTACTGCCACCATGGGCTGCCCAGAGCATACCCACCCAGCTGTGATTGGAAGATCTAACTTCCCCTGGTTTGATAATCGTGCTGGGCCTGAGGTATAAAAGTCATCCAGCTGCTTGCCCAGAGACAGAAACTTGGGTCACCTAGGGAAACTTTAGATGCCACATAAGTTTAGATAGAAGGCGAATGGGGGATTGCATGCATCTAACTACCTTTGTAGGTCTGACCCCTTGCCAACTTCTGTAAACAAAACCCGAGTAGATACTCATTTACACAGTACATCCTCTTTCCACTCATGCTCCTTATGTATTTTGTCCCCACTGTGTCCCACAGCCTGAATACATATAGGCATTCTGTTACCCCACCCCCACACCTATGATTAGTTCAGCAGCTACTCATTGCATTTTCACCAGGATCTGTACATCTTTAACCATGTAAAGTGCCTACAAGGGATACAGGCAAGGGCTGGGACTTAACAAAATCAAAGTTCGGGCTGGAGACATATCAGCAAAGTTCCTATTCGTAGTGCAGGTCACTCTTCCTCAGCTGTGGTATCTCTCTTCAAACTGTTGTTTCCCAGAGGAAGCTCTACAGTTTTCAAGTAATTGAGTAAGAGACTGTTAAGAATAACCAGAGCGCTCCTTTTGCCATGCTTGATGTTAAATTCAACCTGGTTGACAGGCTCTCAGCAGCCATTTTATCAAACTGGCTCTGAAATGACAGTTTTTCAAAATAACGTTTGTGTATAATGCTTAACCGCATGGGGACAGTACTAGCAAGCCCTACAAAGGCAGAATTGGGTTAGGAGTGTGGCACATGTTGAGACACACATTGAGGATCTGCATTTTTCCATTGTGGTCTGGAAAAGCATAAATTCAGAAACTTTCAAAAGGGAGACTTGTAATTATGAGAGAGCACCTTAGAAAAGAGCCATATTTTAATTTTTCCAAAAGGAAAACAGGTTTGAATGAAATACATTTTCATTCCATAAATACATTAGCAGCAAACCCTCCCACCATCACCAGCACCTCACATGGCTACAGTTTACAGCTTAATAATGAGTAATATAAACTAGCTGGACAATTTCAAGCCTCTGGTGTTCTGAAAGCCAAGTCAACCCATCAAAACTGAACATATGGAATTAAGTAGGATCACTACATGCCTCATCTCCTATTGAACTGGAAATTAAGAGGCAACACTTATCTGAAAGCCAAACGTTGGTCTCCTATACAATTTTGTGCTCAGGTACTTGTGTTATCCACCATGAGTGCTGATTTCACAGACTATTTTTTAACCAAAGCATTTAATTTGTACTTCTAGAAGGAAAGCTGAGCATTCAAATTCTCTGTATTATGCTCTGAGCCTCAGAGAGAGAACACAAACCCCTTTGAATTAAAGTGTCAAAATACACAATTTTTTTTTTCTTTTAAATCCCCAACATACTTTCATGGCTTTGTCAGTTCAAGATGTTGGCTCACAGGTTCCTATGGTAACCAAATCTCATTTTTGTTTCATGATTCTTCCATCCAAAGAACGGAGCAAGGTGACTCCCTTATCCTGTCAGTGTTTGAGCAAAATATAGGAAAGACAAGAGTCAGTCTGTGCACAGTGTATTTTTATGATCTCCTTACTAGAAACTGTTCCTTGTCAACTGATAAGTGTGTCATCCATTCTCATTCAGAGTTTTAGCCATAGGGCTTAGTAAATAGGGATATAATGTTTCATTGATAAAAACATGATGCTTGGGGAAAGGGGAGTGACTTTTCCTCCCTCTTCCATCACTTATGTCCAGAGAGAGAGTCATCTGTCGAATACACTCCACTGTTAATCCTACAGTCTTCAGTCCTCACTGACTCTATTAATTCTTCCTCCTCCGAATCCTCCTCTTCCTGTGCTGAGAGACTGGATGTGGGGCCTTTACAGATTTTTAGGTGGCGAGTGAGGTGATATTTGGTTAGATAAGCCTTGGAGCATTTTTCACACACATAGTCCCTCTTTCCTTCATGGGAGTTGAGATGTTTCTTCAGGTGATTTGTCCTCAGGAACAGCTTGTCACACCTGGGACACTTGATCTGCCGTTCTCTACAAGGGATTGAAAAAAAGTTCGGTTTTCCTCATGAGACACAGCAGCTATACATTAACAGTCTTGTTTAAGTGATTAGAGGAGTTTGGAGAAAGGGGGTTGCTTAAAATAGTGATTAAATTATAACAGTGATTAAAAGAAACCAGTTTACAAATGATTTCACATATGGGGTGAGACATCTGCACAGGGTTTACAAGCCACTGTGTGCACACAAAGGCTCCATATCCTCAGTGTAGGTTGCTTTGTCACACTGGCAATAAATCTACTAGGGCCAACAACTGTATAGCCTCGTTATAAAGCTCTTCTAGGGTAGAATTCATTGACCAGAACAGTTTGGTTAACCAAAACTCCATACTGGCGCAGGAAGTTGGAAGGATGGTTACCCTGGTACCAGGGATCTGCCTGTTGTTCCCAGGAAGAACTGTCCAAATTTGGCAAAATTATTTCTTTGAAAAATCTCTGTTCAGTAGACACATATTAAGAGTTTGGCAGCTAAATTCTCTAAAGATTCTGTCTGCACTGCTCCATACCGGGGCTCAGCATTGGTGCTCAGGGCCAGCTGCTGTGATACCAGAACTGGGAGCAGGGAGACTCCCTGTCCTGTGCTGTCAAATGTCCCTAACTATCTCAGACGCTGTGGAGAATAAATCGGCCTGACAAATGCAGAAAGGACAAGAACTGGGAGGGGGATGGGTGGAGGCATTAGATTCAGCAAGGAGCTCATGGGGCACGGGAAGACAGATTGGCTGCAGATCCCAGGGTGGAGACTGGGAATGCGTGGACAAAGACTGGGATGAGGAGTTGATAGGTGAGAATGCTAGTGAGAGGCTGTGGCATGCTTTCTGATTCTGCATGGTCACACTGGAACTTGGAGAGTTTTCAGCTGAGAATTAGGGACAAAAATCAGTGGATTACCTTCCTTCCCAAAACTAAGGGCTGAGAATGCTATTACACAATGCAAGCAGGATGATTTGGGTTTTCTCTCTAGTAAGAAAAGCAAATTTTGCAGAAGCCTTGAAAGGTTCAATGGTAGCTTTCCTGTCAAAATATTCCATCCCCAACAGATGGCCAATAACACAGCCATCCTAGAGTTGATCAAGATGCACTTCCCCATAACCTAGAGTGATATTTATTTTCTGAGCATGTCCACAAAGTATTCTGTATTGTTTACGCCATAGGCCTGGCTCTAGACTTCCTGCTGGTTAGCTGCCATACTTAAGGTCACTTACTGTGTGTGGGTGAGTACATGCTGCTTGAGGTCCTGCCTCCGCATGAACAGCTTATCACAGTAATCGCACTTCAGGTTCTTCTCCCCAGTGTGGATAACCATGTGCGATTCCAGGTGAGCCTTTTGGGTGAACGACTTGTCACAGAGCGCGCAGCGATAATTTTTCTGACCTAGAATTGCACACACACACAGTGACAATGAAGTCTGCAAAAAAAACCCATCATTCACTTCAGAAAAATCTTTCCCTGAAGCATTAAGAATTCACCTGTCTATTTCTGCAGCTCTGTTTCAAACTCAGCATGATGACTTATTAAAACAACAGTCTGGGCTAGCCATGCAAGAAATCAAAATTTGACACCTGAGCTCAATTCAATCACTCCAGAGCTGGGAGCTTTATAAAGAGGCAGGATACCCAGAGACGCTGTGCAATTGCCTTTGCAATTGCAGCGTAGATAAGGTAAATCTAATGAACAGTTTGTATAATCAAATATTTTAAGCACTTTGGGGTACATCTGAATGGAAAGTACTCTTACAGTTAGAGTGCTGTCATTGAGTGTTCAGTACTTGACCTGAAGACTGGTATTTCAAGGTTAAGAACTGGGACACTGAACACTCAAACACTGCCTCGGTCCTATTGCTGGTTTGGCCTTCTGGGTAATCTTGGGCAAGTCTACTAATGGCTTTTAGCCAAGATAGCTGACTGCCAGATGTTGGGACTAGACAACAGTGGATGGATCAGTTGATAATTGCCCTGTTCTGTTCATAGCATCTGGAATTGGCCATGGTCGGGAGACAGGATGCCATTCTTATGTTCTTACATCCCTTTACCACTCTGTTCCAGTTTTCCCATCTGTAAAATGGGGATAATGATGCTTACAACAAAAACTGAGCTATACTGATGAAAAGTTATATATAGGAGTTAGTAATTACCACCACCACCAGGTACCCATTTAACTAAGGCAGTCTGCAAAGATATTTACCTTTCAATTTCCTGCCTTTAAAAAGTTCATGTCGTAAACAAGCCTACTTTGTGGCTCCTATAGTCCTATCGTGCAGAGCAAAGTAATTTATCCTAGGATTTCGGGCTGAAGCCATAAACCTCAAGCAATATGTAACTGGTGCCATCCACAGACTGACAGCTTATTTAGATTTAGCCTCTGAGGAATGAAGAGTCTGGATAAAGGCTTGGTTATGTACCTCAATGTGATTAAACCAGTGACTGAGGAGTTAAAGCTGGCACAGATGGATTACTGAGTAAAGGCAGTTACCACCTGACAAGTGTTCAGCAGTTGACATGGAAATGAGATGGTGGTCTTGGTTCAGTTCCTAGTGGATAGGTGTCCATATCACAAAACCCCCAACATAACTGGCACTTATGTTAGCAGTCTCAGCACGTAAGGTCAAGAACTGAATGGATCTGGAGACTGTTACTCTCTCAATCCATAGGCAGGCCCTGGATACTGAGGTGCTGGGGGCGTTATCAGTACCTGGAGACAGAGACAGTGCTTCCAGGTCAAGGCTGAAGCACGTAGAGGCAGCAGCTGGGATAAGTGCATTGCTGCTGTATGTATAGAACTTATTTTGTGAATGAACAAAGGATTTCAGTCTCCGGGGCTGATAATCTGGCACCTTTTGCCAGCAGTAAGTTTACTTCAATTCAAACAACACTTTGTGAAATGGCATCTTAAAGTCCAACTCAGGCCATCTGCCTTACCTGTGTGTATCTTGAGGTGAGTCCGGAGGTTGCTGGGATCGCTGAAAGCTTTGCTACAGAAATCGCACTTGTGTGGCTTCATGCCCATGTGTCCCATGAAATGGACATGAAGTTTGGAAGGAGAAATGAAAGCTTGGGGGCACATGGAGCACTTCCACTTCCTTTCCTTACTGTGGCCTGATCCATGATTGCTGCTGTGTCCCTGGCTGGGGAGGTGGTTATGGATGTGACTGCTCAGATGGGCCTTAAACTCTGTATAGGAAGTGCATTCCTTTCCACAGTGACAGACGTGCACATCTGGGTGTTCAGGGACACCTGTAACCCAAAAGCATTTCTTTTGATTAGACACACCATTCCTTCACACACTCAAAACATTGCTGACCCACTTTATAACATGGCTGCATACTTTCCCCAATTTCTCTGATATTACATATAATCAAGTGCTGTGGTTTTTCTACAGCTTGTTAAATTGAGTCTTATGCATGCTTCAAAGGGTATCAACAGACTACAGTGGCTTATGATACCTGTTCTACCCACGAACCTTGGGAACACCAACTAAAGCTATTCATAAGCTACAGGATGGATGAACTGTACTTCAAGTGAAGTAATAAGTTCAACAGACAAAGGTCTGGGAAATCAGAATTCTTTCACTGACTCAGTCACTCGCTGTGCTACCTTGAACAAGTTTCTGTGCCTCGATTTCCCCACCTGTAAAAGGGTGATAGTGATACATATTCACACTTGTAAAGTGTTTGGGATCCTTGGATGAAAGGCATTATATAAGTGTAATATATTAATCGTAGTAATAGTACTGAGCCAAATTCTGGTAGATCTTATTCAGTTCTTAACTTCAATGGAAGTTTTGCCTCAATAAAGATTAAATACAGCTGGATAAGGACTTTAGATTTTGGTCTATCATAGTCTAACAGAATTATGGGCAGGAGCAGCATCCTCCAACCCTTGAAGTCCAATGAACGAGCAACAGTCATTTTAAATTCTTTCCTCCTTTGTGCTTGGTTCCTCCTGCTTGAAAACTAAAGGTGGACCTAGAGTTCCCTTGTTAATCAGTGCTGGCATCTATCAGGTTCTCAACTAAGCCATGCAGGTGAAGGGAAGCTTGCACTGCATTTGGTACTATACAATAGTTTGGCTCAGTGCCCTCATCCTTCTGCAAGCGCTAAGTTCACCATCATTTGTTATGTGGAAATTTAAACTATGAAGAGCATTACACCAATATCTGTTATGACCACTCAAAATCTTGAGAATCTTACACATCCTATTATTGTCTCTCCCAAGTTATGGATGACAGAGAAACAACTCTCTCTGTCCTACTGGAATATGAAATCTTTTCATTCTGAGCAGAGAGAAATGAAAGGGCTGTGATAGCAATAGTGAAGAACCTGTTATTTACACGTAGTGAATTGGAATTTATAGGAATACAATGCCACTCACTACCAAGTGCTAACAAAAAACTTAAGGAAATCCCAACTCACATACCAGAGGCAGCATATAAAAGGGAGCTCATGTTCGACTTTGTAAAAGCAAATAAATGTGCCTGTCTTCTTACCAATCTGTCTAGCATAATCCCGACTGTAATAAAAGAGAAGCTCTTGTTCAGGAGGGATGTCCCGTGAGGTGCAGAAGTACATTTTTCCATCATGGGGATAAGCTACCAGATTCTGCTCTTCCCGATTCCTACACCAACAAAGGAGACTTTAAACACCTTTCAAAATTGTCAGCTTTGCTTTTTGTTCCCAAGCTATCAGTAGTACTAAAAGACAATGGAATCTCCTTAAAGAACTCTCAGCATCCTGTGGAGAATTTTCATTTCAGAAACAGTTCTTCTCAACTGCAATTCTACCACTTCCCTCATTCTTTATTACTAGGGATGATGACATGAAACTCATTTATTCCTATTGCTTAGTTCCCTATAAAGTCATTGCGTATTTGTGACATCATAATTGGTTGCTGTGAAAACAACTGACATCAGAGAGAGCAAACTGGAGGAAACGAGCAGATGACCTCTTAAGAGAACTAAGACCCTTTTTCATGCTAATGCCCCTAATAAAAAAGACAAGGGAAGAGAAATACAAAATGAGTCTTATAAGCAGAATTAACTGAATTTAAAGCACTTGCAAAGTTTTCCAGGAGGCAATAGTGTCTTGCTAGCCTGGCAGATCAACTAGGTAGAACATGCAAGCAGCACTGCACCACTTTGCTAGAAGACCCAAAGCCAGGAACAACTTGATTCCCGCTCACTAGCCTGATGAAGTGAATTACAGAGGAGACCTGCTTTGTGTCTCATGGAGTAATAGGGAAAATATTATATCCTTCCTTCTGACCCACTCATGGGGCAATATTCACATCAGTTTGCACAGCTCTCCTTGCAGGCTCCCAGGTAGAGAAAAAGGTATAGCTATCAGTAGGGATTAGGAGAAAGGTAGTGAATCCCAGAACAAAGGGATGGTGTTGGCCCACATTGCAGTACCTGGAGCATCTTATCAGTAAAGGTATAAAGCAAAAATGCAAGCAAATGCCATCTTAACAGATATATTTTAAAAGGTGTGAAGAAGGGAAGAGACAATAATAGACCACCATATTCACAAAAGCAGCAGCTGGCATAAGGCTTAAAAGGACAAATGACTAGATTCAATTCACAGGTTTGGAGTGATGCTTTACCATATAATTAGTTTCCCCTGTAATACCCTGCCCAGCCTCTTGCTTGCTGCTTTACTGATTTTCTCCTAGCAACAATCCCAGCTTCCTAGAAATCCCTGGAAGGCTCACTCAGCACCACTCTTTAATTATCACATAGGGCAGCCACTGCAGTGGGCTGCACATTCACTCTTCAAAATTTCTCTAGGCCATGGGCAGACTTCAGAGTCACATGGAGTCAAGGGGACTGGCTGTTTGCATCAACCCTCCCCCTCCCTCACAGTCCTTTAACCCCAGCTTCACTCCATGCCTTCCCTGTACCCCTACCCCTCACTTTCTCTTTTCCTTCCATTTAGTTGATCCCCTTGTAAATAACCCCTTCCAAATAAACAAATAATGGAACTAACATGACATTTGCCACCAACACCTTCACTCTACTTGTGTTCTACCCCCACCCTGTGTCTGTCTGGTCCATTTAGACAATGTCTCATTGTTTCCTTGTACATATCAAACCCCTCCTCTTTCCCCCACCCCCACATCTGTCTGTATCCATCTGTTGTCTCTTGCCTTATCATAGATCATAAGCTTTTTATGGTACGGACTGTCTTTTTGTTCTGTGTTTGTACAGTGCCTAGCACAATGGAATGCTGGACCACAGGTGCATGGAGCTCCTATGCACTATGGTAGTACAAATAATGCAGTTTTTTTTTTTTTTTTTTTTTATAAAGGACAACACCATAGGGTCCAAATCTGCTCAATCTGGGTAAACGTAGCTCTCACCGGGCTCTGTGTACAAACATCATCCAGTTACACTCGTTTTCATCCGTTGTAATGATGTAGAACTCCAGGACGCCATTGTGGTACATCTGACAGCAAAGACAAAACAAACAGTGTCAGGATAATAAGTGGCAATGACTTTGGTCAGAGCTCATCCCTTTCTTTAGGGGAGGAATTGCTTTCCTCCCACACAACTGCTATCTGACTTCACTGTGTCTTTCCCGTGCTGCCCCCAATGGTGAACCAAGCCATAACAATATAGGGGCACCTAAGCTACAGGAAGTGATTTAACGTCATTTCTTCTCCAAGCTTGTCTTCAACCTCAGAGGGTAACGCTGTACCTTGCACAGAAGTTCCCTGATCCCTCCATCGAACAGGCCTTGCAACAATCACAAATCCTTGGTGTAGAGAGAAAAGAGTCATACACCATTGGGACCTCATATTCCTAATGGGAGCCGCCGCCACCACCACCACATCACAAATCCCTCCCCCACCTGCGCCCCCCACCCTCAGGTTAGCACAAACATCCTGACCCCTGGGGACCAAGCTAGAGACTGACGTATGGTGATGCCTGACACCACAATCACTAGTCTTAAATCTGCTCATTTATTTGAATATTTTTCTCCTCCCTGCTTCCATTTAGGCTTTTGACAAATATTTTCATCTGCTTTTCTAACAGGCCAAGCTTCAGGAACAGTGGTATCTTGTGGCTCTCTCCAACTACTTGCTCCACACAGCTCAAATATTAACCACTGTATTTTTAAATATTTTTTAAATGATAGTCAGTAACTGCAGTTAACAAAGGTTTATCTGATTGACAATGAATGAATGCAGTTCATTTTTCATCACCTCTAATAGCATTAAAATGAGAAAAAGATTGCAGGGAGGTAAGGGAGGGTGTAAGTATGTACACCAGAATGAAGGTTAAAATGATTCGTTGGCCTGAATTAACTGTTAGTCTTTAAGATTGTTACCTCTGCATAGTCACCCTTGTTGGACTGGTGCCTCCTGGCATCAAGCTGTGGGAAATCTTTACAGTAATGTTGATTGTGGCCATTCACCCTCCCTCCCCATCATGGAGAGTTCCAAGGGTATAAAAATGGGAGTGGCCCCATCCATCCCTCAGCTGCTTTCCTAAGTTTGGAATTCTTGACCTGAGAATTTGGGATGGAGAGTGAATATGCAGATTTGACACTTTTGAAGAACAATTGCTGGTAAGTAACCTCTCTCTTCGAGTGGCCTCTGCGTACTATTGCTTGTGGAGATTAGCAAGCAGTACAAATACTATAGAAAGGCGGGCTGAGTTGTTCTAGATGAACAAGGAATACAAAATTGATAAAACTATGTGGCGTGTCAAAAGAAGTTACAACATGTCACTCTTACAGCTCAGACCTCAGTGAGAGAATTTTTTTGCTGCAGACACCTACAGTTTCGAGCTTTGCAAATTCTATGAAAAAAACAAACAAACAAACAAACCGTAAGACATGCACTGGATGCTGCCTTTGGATCAGTTGACTAAGTTAGACGTTACCAGATGAATGAACATGTGCAAGTCCTCACTTGGGCATAAGGGAGACTTGGGGAAATATAGACAAGTTAGCAGCCAGTGTAAGATGAAAATAGAGATTAACTGAGACAGAGTACTGTCAAGAAAGAATGGTGCCTTTGTAATCGATCAGTTTTATGGCGGTCATAGACATAAGTCTGGATAAAAGTAATACCAGGTACCACTGGTAAGGAGCCTGTCTGTGTACCAAAATCTAGCTATAGACATGAATGCACCAATGACCTGATGTCCACGACACATCAGGAAACAGTTCACACACCCGCTCTCGCTCTTTTTTTTTTTTTTTAATTTGCTGCTTAAATGAAAGCATCCCATGGATATTTGTGGTGAGTTGAACTGGAATAATATGGCTATACCACAAGGAGAGAGAATATAATGCCAGTGTCACCTTATTGGTAGCAATTGCTATGTGCTGACTGGTCAAGGAATAGCAAACATCAAAAATCCCAAGGAATTGTTCTTAATGTCAGCTGAGAATCCCAATTTTACACGTTAAGTGCTTTCCCACTGGGCACTGAGACTGGAGGGAAGTTTAAAACAATATGAAGACACTTTCACAGGACCTGTACCTGACACAGATTGCCTGCTACACACAGAGGATGAAAATCCAAGGTCTTCCTGGCAATGCAGTAGAATAGATTCCAAAGACATGGCACCAGATGGCTTAATCTAATCAGAACTGAGACTTCTGGTGCAAAGGCAGCATGGTCCTGGAGAGGCTGCCACTTTTTTTTTTTTTTCCTTTAAATAATAAAGCATTGCTCCTTGGAAGCTCAGAGCTGTCAGTATGCAGTTGAGTGAACATAAACAGAAGAAGCATGCAGAACCAGTAATCCAGCATCAGAAGATGACAGGGGTGTGGACTCCAGGAAAGCTTTTTGTGGCCTGTCTTCAGAACAAAGCACTGACACTGCTGTTTGGAACCTAGCTGTCTCTGGGTACCAATGGCCTTGGATGGTTTCAAAGTCAGGACATTAGCACTGGATTAGCAATTGTATTCATTCCCAGAGGTGCAGCACTGAATGAGACTCAGTAGGTACTGAAGCCACCTCAATCTGGGAATGGTTTCCAAGGTTTCAGTGCTGAGGGTATCTTGGCACAAGGAAATCTCAGCTAGGATTTCAGAGCAAAGAAAGTTCATGGCAGCTCCTACGAAGAACCCTGACCTGGTTTCAGAAACAGTTCTACTGATTTTGTCTAGAGGGACTCCCACAAAAGAAATACCTATATCCTCATTCAACTATCTTGCAAGTCCTTCAAGTAAACCATCAGCAGACATCACCTCTGGGTACTATTTAGATAAGACTAAGTATCTGACACTGGAAGGAAAACACACTTCTGGGATAAGAGACCCAGATTTGGGAGTGATGACTCAGTAGACACCAAACAATCAGGGATTACAGTGTCAGTAGTGCCAGGATTTCAGCATCAGACTTGGTCATTCTAGATAGATCTGCAGACCTCTGAGCCATTTAAACTAGGAACAGAATCCCACTGCATGTGTTTCTCCTGGGCTTGCACAGCTGGATCCTCAGTACTTCACTGCCACATGTAGAGTTGATGGTATTAGAAAGTCAAGAGTGACAGAGCTGGTGCTAAAAAGTCAAGGGTGTCAGAATCAGTTGACCTTGAGAGATCAGGAAACCTTGATGACACTTATGGATGGCCCGGAAAGGAAAACTAAAGGTTTTAAGTGCTTTCCTACATCAAATGACCTATCACTTTGGTGGGGACTCCACACAGTCTGCAATGTAACCAAATAAAACAGTGCTGATTCCAGAAGTACAAATGAGAACTCAGTGTGCAACACTATGGAATATTGGTCATCACAAGTAGCCCACTCCAGGACCTAGCCCTAGACTAGAGAATGTTCCATTATGTTACAAGTTTAACTGTCAGTGCATTGTGTTATATCAGCTGTCACTAGTGGCCTGGCAAAGGCCATATTGCATAGCTAGTATCATATACATCAGGGGTCAGCAACCTTTCAGAAGTGGTGTGCCAAGTCTAATTTATTCACTCTAATTTAAGGTTTCACATGCCAGTAATACATCTTAACGTTTTTAGAAGGTGTCTCTATAATATATAACTAAACTATTGTTGTATATAAAGTAAATAAGGTTTTTAAAATGTTTAAGAAGCTTCATTTAAAATTAAATTAAAATGCAGATCTTATCAGTTTTGTGTGATCTTTTCCTTGCTGAGTTTTCCAATGTCTGGCATGTATTTGGATACTTGAAGCTGCACACAGGCTTGTGAGTGATCAGTTGTTAACCGGCTCCGAGAGGGACAGAGGACAGATTTCATGTGTGAAAATACCTGTTCACACAGGTATGTGGATCTAAATGCTGAAAGAACTGCAAACGCAATTTTCTTCAAACAGTTAAATTTCACTGGCAGTGAGGTCCAGCAGGTCAGAATAGAGGCCCCATGATCTCTCTCAGTAGCTTTAAGTGCACTTTGCAGATCTCCAAACTTTGATGCCCACAATTCTGAGCGTTTTAACTGAATGAGCTGCATTTTGAAATCTTCAACACCCATCCACTGAAATACAGACAAATCCAAGTCGCTTTCGTTGAACTTTTCAGGTTTAATTAGAAAAGAAAGCATTGAGCCAAATCGCTGGAAATCTTGAAATCTGTCAGAAAATTATGATTCCAGTTCTTGCATGTACATTCCAATCTCATCAACACTGACAGTGCAACGTGCCAATAGCTCTTTTATGTGTTGGAAGTAGCGGAAAGTCGAAGTTCAAATATCCCGAGAAAAAAATGCTAGTTATTCAACAAATGCCTTCCAGGTTTCATAAAGATCCAGAATCGTTTGCCCTGCACCCTGGAGATGGAGGTTGAGTTCGTTTAGGTGAGAGGTGATGTCAGTTAGAAACATGAGCTTACACAGCCATTTGTCATCATCCAGTTCAGGGTAGTTTTGTCATTTTTCCGACAAAAAGGCCTTGATTGCATCAAAACAGTTTACAAAGCACACCAAAACCTTGCCACAACTTAGCCACCAAATGTTGCTGTGAAGTGGAATGTCATTATAAACAATGTCCATCTCTTCTAGCAGTTCTTGAAACTGTCTGAGAGTCAAAGCAGATCGAGTAACAACGACATTCACAATTTGCACCACAGTATTCATTACATTATTAAGCTCTGAATTAGAAATTGTAGCACACAGTATTTCTTGATGGATAATACAGTGAAATTTGACTGTCGGGCGGCCAATTTGATCTTCAAGTAACTTTACAAATCCCTTCTGTTTTCCGACCATGGAAGGAGCACCATCTGTTGTCACACAAAATATTTTTCTGATGTCAACTCCTCATTCTTCAAAATGGTTTACAAAAGTTTCTGCTATATCTGCTATATCTTTTGTTGCGCCATGCAGGGGTTTTAGGCAACAAAGTTCCTCTTGGATTTCACCGGAAGCACAATATCTTGCAACAACTGCCAAACGTGGAACACTGTTTATATCCACGCTCTCATCAACTACAACGCTAAACACTGCTGTGTCTTTTAATGCAGTTGTCTGCTTTTCGTTAATGTTTTCTGCCATTTCGCTTACGCATCTCTCAACTGTTGTGGCAGAGACAGGCAGTTCTTTTATTCTAGATACGCATCTTTATTTGGCAAATCATTGAATAAAACCTCTGAACTGCAGAGGAAAACTTCTTTTATGTATTTCCCATCTGTAAACGGCTTTCCGTTTTTTGCAATGCACTGTGCAATCTTGTAACTTTGTCCTGTGGCTTGATTTTAACTTACACTTAAGCATTTTAAAAACACTGCTTTGCTTTTCATATCCTGCTACCGCCTTTTTGATCGATTGAGTCTTGTCTCCTTCTTCAAGAAAGGTTCTCTCGTGCTTCGTTTGAAAATGTTGAACACTTGATGTGCGACAAACACAAAGCACATACAAGCATGGTCCTTCTTTTGAATAAATCCAATGTGTCTGTCCAAGAAGGCTGAATGAATGGACATGTAACTTTGCTTTCTTAGGAGCTGACATTTTGTCACATGTACCCCTCAGCTTAACAGTGGGAAAAAAAATCGCGACAGATGGCACACACAATGTCAAAAGCAATGCGCTGTTCCATGTGACATGATAGTGATGTAAGCAGCAAATCAGGACTTAAAAATATTCCAGTAGAGTGGTGCTGGAACAATTTTTAAGGTGGGGGTGCTCAGCTGCACCCCCTCTTGCCTATCCGCACACCTCACTGCCCCAGGCTGGGGCCAGTGGACCACAGCTGGGGGCAGCTACAGAGCCCCGGGCCAGTGGCCGGGACCCCAGGATGGCAACAGAGCCCCCGGGACTGGTGGCCGGGACCCACAGCGGGCTGAGCGGGGCTAGTGGATGGGACCGGCATCTGGGACCCCAGGACGGCAGCAGAGCCCCCGGGACCGGTGGCCGGGACCCAGGCAGTGTGAGTGCCACTCAAAATCATCTTGTGTGCCACCTTTGGCATACATGCCATAGGTTGCTGACCCCCGATATACATATACCCCCCACAAAAACCGTCTTGATTTGGGGGTGGGTTAAAGAGAAGAGAGCATTCAAGTCACAGTTAAAACTACCACTAACTGGCAGTTTTGACACTGACATAAGGTTTAGGGAGACTTGACATACGCTGACCTTCCAAATGTGATTGGTTGTCTTGTCTGTCCAATCTGCTACTTCCAAAGAGTGACTCTGTTGCCCAATCAGAGGTCCAAAGCAAGTCCTCACAGGAATGGTCTCCCGAGTCCACACACCTATCAGCAGAAAGGCACTGACTGCAGAATCAATTATTTAAACAACAAGTCAAACAACTAAAAGATGCAATGTTTGTGAGATAATGTTCTGAGGGTTATACCTGGGCATCAGACCATAAAACCTTGTATTCCACAAATGGAATACAATTATTATAGAAACAAGTGCCACCACCATCATATAATGCCCCTGTGAGCCATTTTGTTCTAATTACAATATTTATTTTTGGCTTCTAAAGCAAGTCATTTACTTTCAGATGAGCTGTAAAACTAAGGTCCTGACCATTTATGCCCATTAAAAATTTTATTGCATTTTCTGCAGAACCAGAAAATCATCATTTCAGTACCTACCTAATTCCCATAAATTTAGCCTACTTAATCCCCATGAATTGCCAGAACTGTTGCTGGGCACCGTTAAGTAGATTCTGCATTTCTCATCAGAGGCAAATGTATTTCTGTGATGAGCAGAGAAATTCCTGTATCCAGATTATTATTATTAAACATTTATATTTATAGCCCCACACCAATACATTAGCTTCCAGGAGCAAAGCGGAAAGCTCACAGAGCACAAGGGTAATCTGTTCCCAACAAGAAGCATCACTAAGCAAACCAGCTTCTCTAGCTGAAGTTTCCAACTAGTCTTCAGACCCTTGACGAGTGCAGTGCAATAATCCAATCTTAAAGTGACAAAAACATGGATTATAATAACGAGGTCCACATCTAAAGGGAAGGTCACAACCAACCTGCCAAGTGCAGATGGAAAAGACGGCACTTGAGCAATTCTACTACCAGAACATCCAGAAGCAACTAGGGATTCAGCAAGACTCCCAGACTGCAAACCTGAAGGTATGTCCACACTAAACCACTGCAGCTGTGCCTCTAGCGCTTGTTTGTAGACACTACCTACACCAACAGGAGAGGTTCTCTCATCAGCACGGGTAATCCACTTCCCCAAGAGGCGGTAGCTATGTCGACCTTGCGCTGTCTATATCGGAAGGTCGGCATAGCGATGTCTCTCAGGAGTGTGGATTTTTCACACCTCTGAGACATAGCTATGCCGATATAAATTCCCAGTGTAGACCAGCCCTAACTGATGAACAGTGGTCAGATATCAACTCCGCTGTTCCTTCTGATTGTTTCCCCTAAACTACAATTGGTATCTCTATCTTATCTAAGTTAAGCCTCAAGCAGCTTGCTCTTGTCAAGCTCCAATTTCAGCCAGACACTGGGAAAGTTACTTAACTGCAGTGTCTGGATTTGATGACATGGAGTCCTGAATCTGGGTGTAATCCACATACTGAAGGTAACAGAGCCAGTCTGCTTCACTGACTCCCTTAACTATCTAATAAACAGGAAGGATAACTTAATAAAATCCATTAAAAGAGAATTTTTAAAGCAGATGAGCAATCATCCAATACTATCTCCTCCCACACTCCAGGTGGCTTCCCCAAAAATAAAAATGGATTGCACAGATTCAAAAGCAAGTCAATCAACCCAGCTAGGGTCTGCTGGCACATCAACAGTACTAAAGCTGCTAGTAGGTCTAGCACCGTGGCATCATATTGGAAACCTGATCTTCATCCATTGCCAGGAGATAATCTTCCAACACAATTAGTACAACCTCTATACCATATTCAGGTCTAAAACCAAACTGACCGGTGTTAGGAAAGTTAGGACTCATTATTGCTAGAGCTGCCTCATCACAATCTCTTTGATAATCTTCCTCAAAAAAAGAAGACTCAAGGTAGGGAAGGATTGGTAATACTGACCATGTCAAGAGAGAACATGTCAGTTCTTGAACTGGTTTAAGTCCGTCTAGTTTCTTTGACTTCAGTGGAGCTATGGAGATTTACACCACCTGGATCTTGTTCGATCTGAATGGAGCCTTCTTTCAGAAATGCTGGCTCCTTACTCTTCCACACATCAACAATCTCTTCTAAAAGAGACTAAATACTCCTTGAATGAAATATGCAAGTCTAAAGTTATGTTTTACATGTATACTTCACTTATTGTGGCTATGCAACATTTCCAGCATTTCAGAGTAACAGCCGTGTTAGTCTGTATTTGCAAAAAGAAAAGGAGTACTTGTGGCACCTTAGAGACGAACCAATTTATTTGAGCATAAGCTTTCGTGAGCTACAGCTCACTTCATCGGTAGCTCACGAAAGCTTATGCTCAAATAAATTGGTTCGTCTCTAAGGTGCCACAAGTACTCCTTTTCTATTTCCAGCATTGAAAACAGAATATATTTTGCCTAGACAGGAATACTGCAGGACCTACTTGTTGCTGAATGGTTACTAAAGAGAAACAAATAAATTTCCTGTGCTAATGTTTTGGCTAGACTAGACATTAAAAGTATGTTACAACACATTAGCAAACACGTCCGAAAAGTCTAGTGCAGACAAGGCAGTATATACTTTAACATGTGCTAAACAGGGTGAGTTGAAGCTTAGGCTTTGCTCCAGCCTTCAATCCGACCAGTCTAGCACATCATAAAATACACATTGCCTTGTCTATACAACACTATCCAGTGTTAGATAACACATTTAATAAGCCACCCTAAAACCCTAGTCTGGGCAAAGCCCAAAAACATGGCCACAGACCAACACTTTGTGCATTGTAAGTGATCATGGTGACTGTCTGAGGGGAACACCTCTGGAGTCACCTTCTTAATGTGGTGACTTCCAGACCCTTTCCAACTGTGTTCCATAACTATATTAATATCACTGGGGTTTGTTTTACTGCTCTGTAGAGATATATGATAAATAGATCTTCCTTACCTACTTCAGGTGCCATGATAGACTGCCGGAGAACAAGCTGTTTTGGGAGAGAAAGTCTGGCTCGGCTCTCTATTGGGGTGTCAGGAATGAAGGTTACTGGCCCATGATCTGGGCAATCTGATGGGTAGGCCTTGTCACACAGCGTGCACCCTGTGGGTGTAGAAAAAGGACAACACAGTTCAGTGAGGTATTATTTATTATTTGTATTACAGTAACACCTAGAAGGCCCAAATGACACAAGGCCCCACTGACACACATAGGGTGGGAGGAAGTACTATTATACCCCTTTTATAGGTGGTGAATGGAAGCAAGAGAAATTAGGGCCTTGTCCAAAGTCACATAAGAAATCTATGACAGAGCTGGGAATGGAGAAATCCTACCAGAATCAGACTACAGGCTTCTTCTGACTGGTAACTCATCAGCTTCATTGGATTTTAACCTCATTAATATGTTGTTTTAGTCAGAAGAGCTAATACATAAAAATGGCCCCTTCTTACTCCACACAGATTTGCTTGGCGATGCCTCTACCTACTTTACTGACTTTAACAAGTTTTTCTAACCTTATCCCTGCATATCCAGTATATGAAAAAGGAAGTCTATTCTTCCTTCTGCATCAGCAACAAAACTGGAGCAGAGTTCTTATTGCAGCATCCTTTTTACTGGTACTGATCCAAGTGGTAGAAAAAACAGCTTCATTTGAAATCACAGGTGGAGTAAGATTTACTGGCAGTTAAAAAATACTGGCAGTTAGCCATCTTTCTGACTTGCATATTCAGCACATCAGACAAGTAACATGCAGACTGCTCATGTGTGTAGAATTTTTTAGTGAAGGGAGGCTAAGACTTCAGGATTCTTCCATTTTACCACCATCTTAAAGGGTTGGTTTTTTTTAAGCTTCCTGTCTATGATCTTGCCACATGAACACCTTCATTCCAGCAGAAACTGAAACCCCTGTAGAGGAACTTATTCGTATATATTTATACTGTGTGAAGTCTATCACTAAAATTGAATTTATGGAATGCAAGTGAAAGGAATGGAAATTTGTTCCCAAGAGCGCTCAGTGGAGTAATTTCCAATAGCTGTCACTAAACATAAATCTCTATAGAACACTACTGAAAATTATTTCCATCCACTTTAAATACAATCGGGAGAAGTATTTTACACTATGACTGACTGTCACATAAAGAGTTTGCTGCTCTACTTCATTATGAACAGAGCTGACAATCCTCACCCCTCCATAATACCTCATCTCTTCACCTGGAAAGATGCTATATAAAAATTAAACAATGGCAGATTTGTGTGTGCATCCTGGAATTAATGTGTTATGGGTCAAATTGCAATACCCTTACTCAGAGCAAGTAGTACCTCCCCAAGTGGTCTCACCAACTCCAGGAGGACTAATGGTGGTATTAGGTATATTCAGTGTGGCAGGTGATCAGCTGGTATAACCTGTCACAGCTCTCATAAAGTCAACAGAGCTATGACAATTTATACCAGCTGATGGTCTGCCCCCAAAATGAATAATGGTGTCATAACGTGACCCTTTATGAAATACATATTGAATGACTATATGATCATATCCACATCCATTGCTGGATGGATGAGTGTGTAGGGCTGACATTAGAATGGATTAATGCATAAGGATGATTCTCATGTTTAGAGCAATTGCAGTAACAGGTCGATAACGTGAAATAGCCCCTAGTTCAACAACTGAAAGATAGTGTGGAAATGAATGAAAATACAACACTTAGAATGGCATCATTAACTTAAAAAAAAAAAAAAAACTGGACATCTACATCTTGTAGTGGAATGGATGAGAAAATTCATTGCCCATACTTTATCTGAACATTAGTACTCCTATCTAGAGAATCTCAAAGTATTTTACAAATAATAATTTTAGCCTCAAGATATGTGAGTAGTTATTAGCCTTGGTGTGTGCTTTCTATTTTCCCTATTTGTAAATGGAGGCACTGAAAAGAGGCACCAATCTCCCACAGTAACCACGGAAAAGAAATCACACTTGAAGTAACTGGAAAAAAAATCTCTTCCCTCCTTACTTTCATGTATCTGGCCACAAACTCATTTTATTAAGAAGTAAAATGAAAAGCCAAAATGAAAGCTTTCAGCTGAAAAGTTATTCTTTACAATAAAACATATGTCTACACTGCCAAAAAAAGGTGTGCTCTTAATCTGGATTAGCTAACCTGCATTACCTAATTGGGGTTGAAACAGCAGTTTAGACACAGCAACTCTGCTTTTAATTGAGGTTAGCAGCTCAACTTAAAGCCCATAACAAGCTGCTAACCCCCGTTAAAAACAGTTGCTGTGTCTACACCACTGTTTCAATCCCAGGTTAGCTAACCTGAAATAAGAGCATACTTTTTTTGAGTAGTGTAGACACACAAGAGTAGCATTCTGCAATGCCATCAATTTATGCTTTGTCAAGTCCTTACAGTCATTTGATATCAGAGAGATCAGATTAAAAAAATCTCTACATGCACATAAAATCATGCAAAATGTGGAGATTTTTAAACTAAATGTATTTCTTCTTCAAATGCTTGACTAGTCGATGGGGGATTCTGATGGGGTGTAGTAGGACAGAGAAAGATGAAAACCAGATAATGACCATGATGCTGAAATTTAAAGGCCTTCATATTAAAATCCAGCCTCACAGTTAAGTGGCAGCAAGCCAGACAGACAGGTGGTGGAAGTACTAGACAGACACAGATCTCTGCCACAGGAAATGAACTTTGTGATAATCTCAAGCACTACCCTTCAGGCAGTCCAGGAGGGATGACAGGCTCTAGAGCAAGTCCCGAACTCCTCCTCTTGAAAGATCAGTTAGCCTCAAAACACAAAAACCTTTTTATAGGAGTCATTGGAAAAGTTAGAAGAACATCCCTTCCCCTCCTTTCTGGATTTTCTGTTGAGTGCCTCATTTCTCATGGCTCTTTACAAGTCATTCTATGTTATAATCACGGATATATACATGTGATGTAATTAAAACTTGTCAAATTAAAAAATTCATGCAATAAATTTCTTTCTTAAAGGACATTAAAGGTCAAGAAATCCACAAAAGCCAAAAAGGTCACAGGGTAATGATTAAGATTCCAACCTCCAGGCAAAGTGAGAAGACAGATACAACAGAATGATGTTAAAACGGTGACCCATTATACCTAGTTGTTGGAGGTTTAATCATCCTCAACTGCAAATTTTTCTGCTTTTTTGGGTTTGTTTAATGGCCTTAACGGATTCCCCACCCCCACTAAAAGACGTCTATAAGGCTCGCTGCAATAGTCTTGATCTTCGCATCCCTTATAACAGTTACATGATAAATGCTACCCAGAGGTAGAAGCAAGCACACTGGCACACTCACATATGGTAAACAAGGTAGCCATATTCTCCTTGTTTGAATTGGAGTCTTCCATTTGCAGAGATGATGGTACAAAGGCAAGACTGTCTGAAGACACATCCACATGGCCTGGCCCCATGGCTACTTCCTGGTTTATGGAAGACACAGCCACAGGCTCGAGACTGAGGCCCACTTCATGCAAGGAGACAGATTCCAGGGAAGTTAGGTTGTGTGAGGTAGAGAGCGCCACGCTCACAGAGTTGGTGCTCATGGCCACGGTATGTATGGAGTCATTTAGTGTGCTGTCCGATATACCGCTTACCCGGCCTGCAATGTGGTCAGGCTCCATGACAACAGGAATCTCCAAAGTGTTACCATGAATGGGTATGACACCACTATGACCCACTGCATCTGAAGCCAAGTTACTGCCTACCGTGTCTACAGCTAATGGTGCATGATTCCGGGAGCCATTTGGGATTTGTGAATGATCCCCAGCTACATCATCCATCGTAAGCTCCTCAGTCATCCCATCAGTAGATATTGGACTGGTTACCCTCGAAACACTCTCCATAGCGATTGTGGTATCCAGTGCTACCTCATGGCTGTCACTAGGATGTAGGCTTTGAGCACCATGTGTGTTCACTGCACGAGAGTCCATGGAGACAATCCCTGGTTCCAGGCCCACAGTTCCACTGGGTTGGAAGGGATCTAGGGCTGAAGGATTATTGGAGACAGATAAAGCTGGATTGCTATCGACATTTATAGTGTTGGGGTGGATGTACTGAGGTGGAGGTCTGTCAGCTAAATAAGATAAAATACCTGATGAAACGGAAGAGGTGGAGAAAAGGAAAAAAAGAAGAGAAGGTGAGTTTACAATATCAATTTTCAAACAGTAAAACAATCCACAACTGCAATCCATTTAATCACACTTTATTAAGATCTCTTTATGAGTCTATCTGCAGTTTCCTTTAAACATTCCCATTTATTTTCAATTAAGTTAAGACAAGACTCAGGTAAGTCTTACAAATACAAACTCTTGGCAATTCTGAAACATCCCAATCACAAAGAAATATGCGACCACCATAAACCTTTCCCAGTGGCAATATAGGTGCAGTTTAAATTTGTAAAATTATGATGAATCACCTTTGCTCGTTTCCACCCACCAAAGCAAATGCTCTATTAATCTGATAAACTCAGGATTGCTGAGACTCTGGCAACATCTGACCCAGACTTCATAGTACAAGGAGTCAGAAAGAGTTTACATGGCAATTTGGGTATAAGTATGCTTTGCTTTCTTATACAAAAGAACATCTCAATGAAGTCTTCAAAAGATTGCTAGTGGAACTGCACATTTCATATTATGTGATGATGCCAATATACTTCTGTTAGGATTAAAGAAACTGGAGGAACTCCTTCAGGATTTACCCATTTATTTTAAAATATATATTTTATACACTTGTTTCAATCATTTGTATCAGCCAATATGTCTGGCTACAGTTCTTCCTCCAGAACCCATCTATTCAACTCCTGGATCAGCTGGGAGAGCATCATTCAAGAGTAACATGAAGGTATTTGCTCTTTTCCCTAAGGGCTAAGTCACCACTTCTTCAGCAACCCTAAACCTTTTTGCGCTAGGGACTGACAGCCCGATATAAGGACCTGAATCCTAGTGCACCTGCCCATCAGCACCAGCCACCCAGCACCCTCGCACATAGTCTCAGGAGAGAGGCCAATGGTGCACAGTAGGGACAGGAGGCCAGCACCTGTGCTGGCTGTTTAGGGTCACCATTCTGTATATGGTCACCATGCTGAGGCCTGTGAAAAGCTGGGAAGCCTCAGCAAAACAGAGGGAGCACAGTCCTTCAGCACTCTGTTAAGGGGAAGCAGGTGGGGCACAGCTTTCGGGAAAGGGGCAGCGGCCCTTTGCCCCATGCCCTCCCCACAGCCCGTGCAGAAAATAGGGGAGAAAACGGCCCAGGCAACCTCCAGAACCCCACCACCTCTCCAATGGAAGGGCATTGCATTAAATAACATGGTAATTTTCTGCACTTTATATTGATGTAGAATAGATATATTAGACTTGAGGAAGAATCCAGGGAATTTGTCATAAGGAATGCCATGCAGAGTATTCTTTCACAGTCTTTAAGTATGCACAGAAGGGGAAAAAAAGCTATGTAGCTCTTCAGGTGTTCTGTAACAGCACCTATCTCAACTTCAATCTTCAGAGCTATACTACTTACCAGGTAGAATGTGTCTGAAGTAGCTGCTCTCCAGGTGAGGATAAGGTGGTGGAGGTAGGGTGTAGTTTCTCTCTGGTATACCACACATCACTCCTCGATCCCCAATACCCATTGGGAGCATCAGAGATAGGGCAGAGGGCAAGGAACTCAAGGAGGGGCCCAAGTTTGGAATCGCAACTGGCAAGCCTGCAAGAAGAAAATGCCCATTAAAATTCAGTGGAACTATGTAAGTTTAATGAACATGTAACCAAGACAAACGTTTACTAAAGTCTTACGGGTTTAGTGCAGTGTAGGAATATAGTCAAAATTCCCATTACCGTTAACTGGGGAACAAATATTTCATAATGGGCTCTTCAATCTAGCTGACAAAGGTATAACCCGATCCAATGGCTGGAAGCTGAAGCAAGACACATTCAGAGTGGAAATAAGTCATACATTTTTAACAGTGAGGGTACTTAACCATTGGACCAATTTTCCAAGGATAATGGTGACATTACTGCCAATTTTAAAATCAAGATTGGATGTTTTGCTAAAAAATATGCTTTAGGACTTATTTTGGGGAAGTTCTATCACCTGAGTTAGGCCAAACTAGATCATCACAATGGTCCCTTCTGTCCTTGGAATCTGTGAGTTATGCAGCCAAAACCACACACACTGCACTGAGCTATGTGAATTTACATGTTCTCTACTATAGGGGTTTCCCCTAGTTAGTACAATGAAACGTCTCAGCTTTCATGTGCATATTTAGAATGTTGCCAGGAGCAATCTGAGGGATAAACAGAACCCAGTGTTTCCTAAAGCATGTTCTACATCTGCCTTTTCCCTGTAACTGCAGATTTTTATTCCAGGTGAACTCCCAGCATATAATTTTTACTGATTTATTAAGATACAAGTACGTGCAAGTATTATGGCTGTATTTATGGTTAGCAGTTAGAGCTTTTTTGTTTAACATATTTGAAAGTTTTTGGTTAATTAAGAAAATGTCATTTCAAGTTTCTTTAAATTGTGTATCATTTTCTTTAGTACAGAACTTTGTTTATTAATTTTATTATGGGGCTGGGATGGGGCAAAGGGGGAGAATGAATGGAATAAACAGCAAAAGGAGAAGGTAAAAAAAGACGGAAGGGGAGAAGAGAGAAAGAAGGATGTACAGGACTATGGAGGGCATGGGAGATAAGACTGACACTGGAAGGACTGTGAGAATGCTGGGGCAAACAACTGATCAGAAGACAGAAACTGTCCAGGGTTCAAGTTGTAAAAAGCAGTCCACTGACACTGCTGGGGTCAAGGGACTGTGCAGGCACTGAGGGCATGGAGTCCTAGCTGGGCCCACCTTGCCTTGCTGCTGCTCCCAGGGGCTGGTTCTACCTTGGGAAGTCATGCTCCATTTCCCAAGTGGCTGAGGCAGGTGGAGTATCCCCAGAAGACATATAATTTCTTCTAGAATCTGGGGTTCTGCTAAGGTCTAGCTGGGCCTCCTGCCCTATGGCTGCATTTTTATATACTGTCTCATTCTCTGTTTTATGTTTTCACTTGTAATGGACACTTCTGTGCAACTTCCTGAAAACTTTGTCAGGAAAAGAGGTGTGTTTTATCATTTAATATAATCTGAGTGTGGCTTTTACATAGTCTGGGGCAGATTTCTCAGCAGCAGCTCTTATTTCGAGGGACTCAAACACCACAATGATGAATGCAGCACAAAAGGAGAGAGAGAGAGAGAGAGAGAGACAGGTAGCTCATTAATACCCTATTAAAAGAAAAAGGAACTTTGGCAGGAACTGTGTGGGACACATCCATTCTTGCCACAGAAAGCACTGCTTTTGCCTTGTCTACACAAGCAACAACTTTCAGGTGTCTCTTCATCCCACAGTGTGGTTTACAACCACGAGATCAAATGTCAAATCTGCTCATTTCACCCCCCTGAGGACTCCAGCCTTCAGAGGACAAACCCAGATGCCACTATCCAGCTATGAGCACTTCACACTTATGCTACTTTGGTTTTCAACTGTTATGCAAAATGCAAATCCATAGCAAGTGACAAGTATCATCAGCCCTTCTTGCAACTCTCCAAGTTACCTGGTGCCGGTATGGCATTATGAGTGGGTGATGCAGTCAGTCCCAAGTGACTTCCTGAGACAGACAGGGCATTGCTCACAGAGGATGAGGTCAGCTGGTCCATCCCTACCGAACTCAGGTTCATTTCATTCATCCTACAAAAACAAACAAATAAACAAAAAGAATATCATTCTTAAGTTTGTTCAGTCCTAGAAAAATAAGATTTGTATACAACGTATGTCCACTAATCAAAATGTCCACCTCACTAATCTAAGCAGACAATATAGTTTTCCCCCATTATCAAATGGCACACATAATTTTTGTAGATAACATATATCTAATGTTGATCAAATTAGATAAAATGAAACAAAAATCAACACTAACAGACAAAAATGAGATCTCAGCTCATTCCCTGCTGCCCAAGTATTGAACAATATTGCTGAATGAAAAGTAATTGTACATACTCTTATGCTGAAATATCCAGTCCCTATAGTACAAAAGAAAGGAGATCTGCTTTATGTCTCCATTTTTAGGATTTGTCAGATTTGCCTTTTGAGGGGAGCTATTTGATTTCATTTTTTAAATAAACCACAAGCTAGAAAAGACCTCTCAAGACTCAAAACACTTTACTGTGATCTAGATTCTGTAAATATATCTTTACAAGACTGTCACCATAATTACAAATAGCTGTATTAGTTCCTTCTATACTGTCAGTAGCTGGATTGTTTATATTAGAAGTTGAACAACAGCACACAGGCATTTTGATTTTTATGGTTTATGGATTTAAACTCATTTTTTAAAGGCAGAATCAAACTAAATCTTTCTTGGGTGGAACAGATGACTCAACCGGTAATAGTTGTTTGCACTGTTGTTATAACTGCGTTGGTCCCAGGATATTCAAGAGACAAGCTGGGTGAGGTAATATCTTTTATTGGACCGTTGGTGTAAGTGACAAGCTTTGGAGATATAGAGGTCTTCCTCAGGTCCTAAAGAAGAGCTCTGTGTAGTCTGAAAGCTTGGCTCTTTCACCAACAGAAGCTGGTCCAATAAATGATATTACTTCACCCACCTTGTCTCTCAACTAGGTACAGAACCTTCAACTCACTAAGGGCTAGTCTACAGTGGCAGCGCTTTAACATGGCTTGTGTAGTCGCTATGCTGCGACTACATAAGCCATGTTAAAAAACCGCAAAAAAACCACCTCCACGAGGGGCGCGGCACCTAGCACTGTAGCATTATCTACACTGGCGCTTTACAGCGCTGAAACTTGCTGCATTCAGGGAGGTGTTTTTTCACACCCCTGAGCGAGAAAGTTGCAGCACTGTAAAGTGCTAGTGTAGACAAGCCCTGGGTCCACTATGACCCTGGAAAGTAGCGACAAAGTCACTTCCACAGGAGGGCTGTTCTGCGAGTAATTAATTGGTATTCAAGCCAGTACACTTAATGGACATGTGTACACATCACACTACACACTAGCTGACAGTCTCAGCAGAAGTCAAGGACTAGTTCAAACATGGATACTAAAACTAAACTCTCTCTCACCCCATTTAGGGGTCCCTTCCAAAACAGAATAGACACATACTTGGCAGGATTGAGGGCAGCAATTTGGATTGTCACTGCCTATTTTACCTACTTATGTTGACAAACCAAGCCCAAGACTTTCAATCCAGCGCAGATCACCAGCATTTAATTCGCTTAGACAATTGGAAGGAAAAATATTTTGCAGAAGTAGCCAACAAAATTTCAAATCCAGGTAGGTTAACGCACATTTTCCTTGTCATTTAAAGTTCAAATCCACACACACGCCCATGACCAAGTTTTCAGTTTGGGGATTCAAGTGCTGATCCTGACCAAACATATGCACGTGCTTGCACTTCCCACACTGACTTTCCATGGACCAGGGCTCTTTTCTTGCTTTGATGCTGCTGAGGAAGTCTGCCCAGGGATGCTCCCATCCCAGGAGCTCCTGCTCCTCCATCCCCCTCCCCGCAGCTCAAGTGGCTGCGGAAAGCCCCCGAAGGGGAGGCTCGCCCAGCAGCCGGCACCACCAGGTGCAGGACACCAGGGCAGGGCTGAGGTCTAGCTCCGAAGCTATAAACCAGGGCACGGCTAAACAGCGAGTTTTACGGGGGACTTTCAACGCCGCGAGTCTCTCCGCCGCGGTCTGGGACTTCCGCGCCCGATCGGCCAGGGCTTTCGCCCCGCGGCGCGGCCCAGGAAACGGACACCTGCAGGCGGCCGGGCCGCCAACAGGGAGGCGGCGGCGGCGGCCGGCTCGGATCCCGCAGGACCAGGGGCCGCCCGGAGAGCCGGGCCGGGATGGGGGCCGCACGGCCGGCGAGGAAGGGGGCGAGGCTCGGCGGCTCCCTCCGCGCTCCCGGCACAGCGGGCCCGGGCCCCGTCACACTCCCCGGGGCCCCGCCACCGCCGCCGCCGCTCACCTGGGGTGCTCGGGCCTCGGGCCGGGCGTCTCCCGCAGGCAGCCGCAGCATCGGGCCCCTCAGCCCCCGCCCTCCCGCCGGGAGCCGCTCCCCGCTCGGGCATCCGCCGGGCTCCCGGGCCGCGCTCTCGGGGAGCCGCCGCCCCCGGCAGCGAGCGGCCGCCCAGCCCCGGCCAGAGCCCCAGCGGCCTCATGGGCCGGGCGGGGAGACAGCGGGCGGCCGAGCGGCGCGAGCCCCGCCGCAGGGAGGGGGCCTGACGCCGGCACAGGCCGAGAACCCGCCGGCCTCGGCCCGCGGCGCCGCTTCAGCTTTGTCCGGCCGCGGCATCCAGGAAGCGCTGCCGCGCGGGGCTCTTCCCGCCGGGCACCCACCTCCCGCCGCGTCGGCACCGCCGCGCGTCGCACAGCGCCGCCACCTCCCCCCGGCGTCCCCACCGCTGCTCTTCCCGTCGCATCGCCACCTCCCCACGCCGGGGCCGCGCGCCGACCGCCGCGCTTCCCGCAGCCCACCGCCTCCCCCCCCGCTGTCCCCCTTCCAACGCTGCCCTGAGCTCGCCTCCCGCCGCTGTCTCCGCCCCAGTGAGTCTCCAGTCCGGGGATTGCCCCAACCCCCCCAGTTACATGCAATGCTGCCCATTTAGTTGTGGGTTGGAAATTTGAATTGAAATGGAAACTAAAATCCACACTTTAAAAGCATACCCAGTATATGAGACAATACTTGTACCTGAGAACGCACAATGGGTTTGAAAAGTCTGAACAAAGACTAGCTTCCTCACACAGCCCTTAGTTATGGCAGTGTCAGCACATGTGTTTCCGCTATATTGGCCTACCCACTAATTTCAAATTATTATTTATAAGCAAGGTCTGAAGGAGCTCTCCCTGGACAGCTAGTGATGAGCCAGGGGTGGGGGGAAAGGCTTCAGGACCAGGCTGTATTTACAGGCACACACCTACTCTGCCTAGGTATCCAGCGGACGGCGTCGTGCTGCCCAAGTGATCAATTTTGGCTGGTGTTGGTTACAAATTGCTTAAGTATTAAATGTGGGGGTCATGAAATGTTGTTATCCTTATTGTATGAGTACAGGGCAGCAGAACTGTGCTTAGCCTGCCTGCATGAGGGGGTCTCCCTCAGTGCTTAATTTGTGCTAGGGCTTGCCAGGGCTGAGCCCTGGCACCTGTAGGCATGGCAGTTCATAGCCCTGGGACCTCTGGGCTTGTCACATCAGTTATGAAAGTAACAAACTTGCTTGAGGCCCGGCACCTCTTTCATTACAAATTAAGCCCTGATCACCCTCAACTGAACGGCACTCCCTACCCAGGAGGTTTGGATGCCAGATCCTAGTGCAGAGAGAGAGAGGGTGGGGTACAGGTGTTTTGTTTGGTGGTGGCTCTGCCTAAGAGTCACAGGCACTATTTGACCTGCCTCTCTCTCCTGTTTAGAGAGAGAGCTGATTAGGCTTCATAGAGAGTCTTTTGGTTTGTTAAGTGACCACTAGAGCTGAAATCAGTGATAACCAGGTCTAAGTGCTTAGACCTGCTGTGGGACAGTGTTTCTGTGGAACAGACAGCTCAGCCTGCCCTAGCAGCGAGGTTCCCCCACTGTGAGCTGAAATCACCGAGAGCTGGGTGGAACCTCAAGAGACCGACTTGCAGAGGTCACAGTGGCAGGTGGCAGCAGAAGGTGACAGTACAGAGCCATTGGGAATGGAGCGGTAGAGTAAACGGAGGCACGACAAACAACAGCGGCCAGAGCATTGGACTATGTTTTAGTGACTTCGCTCCAGAATGCTAGATTTGTGACTGGGAAACTTATATAAATATACATTTCCTAGTAGGCCAAGATTTTTAAAATGTATTATTTACCAAGGTCATTATCTCACATCATCACTATCTCAGGAGGTCATTATCTTGGGGAGTTTCTGTACTAAAGGTTTTTATTATAATTATTTTTTATGTAAGAATGGCCATATTGGGTCAGACCAATGGTCCACCTATCCCAGTATCCTGTCTTCCAACAGTGACTATTACAGGTTCTTCAGAGGGAATCAACAGAACAGGGAATCATCGAGTGATCCATCCCGTCATCCACTCCCAACTTCTGATGAACAGAGGCTAGGGACACTCACAGCATGGTGTTGCATCCCTGCCCAACCTGGCTAATAGCCATTGATGGACCTAACCTCCATGAATTTATCTAGTTATTTTTTGAACTCTGTTATAATTTTGGCCTTCACAACATCCCTGGCAAAAAGTTCCACGGGTGACTGTACATTGTGTGAAGAAATACTTCCTTTTGTTTGTTTTAAACTTGCTGCCTATTAATTTCAGTGGGTGACCCCTGGTTCTTGTGTTAAGTGAAGGGGTAAATAACATTTCCTTATTCATTTTCTCCACACCAGTCAAGATTTTATAAGCCTCTATCATATCCCCTCTTAGTAGTCTCTTTTCCAAGGTGAAAAGTTCCAGTCTTTTTAATCTCTCCTCATATGGAATCTGTTCCATACCCCTAATCATTTTTGTTGCCCTTCTCTGTCCCTTGTCCAATTCCAATATATCTTTTTTGAGATGGGGTGACCAAAATTGCGCGCAGTATTCAAGATGTGGGCGCATCATGAATTTATATAGTAAAAGTGGAGGAGCTTGGTTTGCCAGACAGATCGGATAAACCAATACTGACAACTTATATGAAAAGGCTGAAAAACACCATGCCTCTGGACTGCATCAACATGCAGAAAGCCTTATAAGCCAGTCACTGTCAAAGCCAATTTTAGAAGAACTTAATTAGGCTGTTAAGAACGCTGGAGACACAACTCAGTTTATGTAACCAACATGGCGGTTGCATCATACTTTCTATTTAAGCAAGAGATACTACAAACTGGAGGCCAATGTTAAGTGCATTGTCACTGATCCTGAAATTGGACACTGGTTTCGAACAAGACTGGCAAATGCTCACTATCTTTCTGAAAAAACTCAGCTGACTCTCCAGAAGCATGCAGTGCAATAGTGAAAGACTCAGCAGTTGAAAAAGTGAAGAATTCTCTCACCATATTCAAAATATATGCATACATGGCTGATGAATGCACCAATGCAAATAAGCATCAAGTATTAAGTCATTGCATATGTTATCTTGATGTCCGTAGTAGGCCAGTAGATGCATTCTAGATGTTCAGGTTATAGAAGACACATCAGCTGCACCTGTGACATCTTAGAAGAGTTAAATGCTTGTAAACTGAACCATAAACAGATGACTGCTTGTGCATTTGATGGAGCTACAAACTTCTCTGGAAGACATAGTGGAGCACAAGCTTTGCTCAGAGAAAAGTGTAACCCTAATCTCTCCTATACACACTGCAGAGGCCATCTACTCCAACTAAAGCGCTAGTACAAACTGCAGAATCTTCAAAAGACGTTAAAAAGCCATAAATGTAATGGCTTTTTATTCTATCTCTAAACAGGAGAGAGGTCGGTAGCACGGGGTGGTGGGTGGCGCAGGGCGCGGCGGGGAGGTGGGTAGTGCCCTGCACCACCCACCGTCCCGCTCCACCCACTGCCCCTCGCTACCAACCTCCCCACTGTGCCACCCACCATCCCGCACTACCGACCTCCTCACCGCACCCTGCACCACCCGCCACCCTGTACTACCGACCTCCCCTCCGCACCTCCAACCACCCTGCGCTACGAACCTCCCCACCGCCCTGTGCCACCTACCGCCCCACACTACTGACCTCCCCGCCGCGCCTCACACCACCAACCGCCCCGTGATGCCGACCTCCCTGCTACGCCCCGTCCCACCCACCACCTGCGCTACCAACCTCCCCACCACCCTGCACCACCCACCAACCCACACTCTCAACCTCCCCACCACGCACCGTGCCACCCACTGGCCCGCACTACCGACCTCCTCACCGCACCCCGCCCCAGCCACCGACCTGCACTACCAAACTCCCCTCTGCGCCACCCACCACCCCACGCCACAAACCTCCCCGCCGTGCCCCGCACCACCCACTGCCCCACACGACCGACCTCCCTGCCGCGCCCTGCACCACCCACCGCCCCACGCTACCAACCTTCCCACTGCACCCCTGACTGACTGCCACTGACTGCCCTGTCACACCCCACATGACCTCCCTGCCATGTCCTGCGCTACCAATAATTCACCACATCCTGTATGACCAGCCTGTTGTGTCACCAACCTCCCCTCCACATCCCACATAACCCAGCCTCCCCCTTATATCCCATCCTGCCCCACCCAGCCTCCCCTCCCTATGCAACCCAACCACCTTGCTGCACCCAACCGACCCACCACACCCCACACAACCCGACATCCTTGCTGCATCCTGAAATCCCTGTCATGCCCTGTGCCATTGACTGCCCCACCACACACAAGCCGACCTCTCTGCCCCTCCCAACCTCCCCACTGCGCTTTGCATCAGCGACTATTCCACTGCGTCCTGACCATCGCATCCTGCATCACCTCCCTGCCACATCCTGCAACCCATTGACCTCAGAGCCGCATCGTGCCCTGCACATCCTCCCCACTGCGCCCCACCCAGATGCACTCTGTACCACCTGACCAACTGCCCACCTGCAGCCTGCTCCACTCCACCATGCCCCGCATGACCTCCCAGCTGTGACCATGCCACCTGACCTCCCTGCTGTACTTTGTACAACCTGTCTTCCCCACCACACCCTGGGCCCCATGCTACCCAACCTCCCCGCCACATCCCACTCTCCCTCCCCCGCAACTTTCCTGTCCAACCTCCTTGCCACGTCCTGTGCTGCCTGACCTCTCCGCCGCACTCTGCAAAACCTTACTTGGCTGCACCCCTTGACCTCTTTGTTGCACCCCACAAAACCTGATCTCCCTGCCAAGCCCTGTGCTGTCCAACCTCCTCTCTGCACTACACATAACCTGACCTCCCTCCTGCACCCTGTGCCATGCAACCACTCCACCAAGTCCCACACCACCTGACCTCCCCCGTGACGCCTTGTGCCCCATGCCACCCAACCTCCCTTCTGCGCCCTGACCTTCCTGCCGATAAAATTGCAGGAGTTGGCAAAACTGGTGTCATCTCTTTGGTGGAACGTGAGATACAAAAATATGAAATCACGCTTGTGAAGTAACATTGTGATACCATCACAGAAATTAGAGATGGGAAAGAAGGTATTAGTTCTCTAGTCCCTTGGCTGGGCATGGTTATTCCCTACAGTACTTTTATTTTTTTTAAAAAAGGGCAGGGTGGGATTTCAAGGTGCAAAGCAATACTTTCATGTTGGGGTCTGGAATATAAAAATTTGGCTCTGTCATCTGATTACAGGCTCTTCAGGGAAGGGCCCATGTC